TAAATTGGTGATATCAATATTCCGCTAACTATTACATGGTTGTTGGTAGTGCTTATCACAATACCACTGCAATAGCAACGCGTTGTGAAAAACAAGCGAATTGCTGATGACATTTAATTAAATACACACCAATTACTATCTTATAAAAATATATTGTTACTTTTATTTAAAACAACTTTATTGTTTTATAAAGTTGTAAGAGTTAATTTAACTATATGCCAAGAAAATAATTCTATGTCCACTCATTATGGGAATGCCCTAACTTTCTATATTAAGACCACTTCTTTAAGTTATTATTACCTTTATAAATAAAATATAACAATATGTAAGTACTAGTAGGTGCCCGCGACTTTGTCTGAATTACTTTATATTACTCAAACTATGTCTATACACATCTTAATTGACTTCAGAATGATATGGAGGTAACAGGCAGACAGGAAGCCAGGCATACTTTCGCATTTATAATATTAGGGATTTCCATGAAATTTGCGCTATATATTTCCGAACTGAAAAATATTCATACAGAAAACCTTTGCTTGAACTGCTACAAGCTTAACATCGCATCTCTCACTTATTTGTCGGTCCATTTTTAATTTAGAATTTCTTTTTGTAATTTGCGGTAAACGTTGCTAATGTCACAATTATACATATAATGTATTATGTACTAATTATTTAAAATATATTGTGCCATTGTTTGTTTACCTCAATAAATTAAAAAAACCATCCCATAAATATATGGCGCAAATTTATATGCGCAAGATATTCTAAATAGCCATTAATGCACTTTTAGTTTATGCTTTGCCCACGCGTCCACGTTCGCAAGTTATAAGTACTTTAAGGCGCTTTACAGACGACGGGGCGGGGCGGGCCGGTCAATTTCACCGCGAATAATAGCACAACGTGAATCCTATACTACAAACGCACACAGAGGGCAAAAAGTGCCTGCCTTGGGTGCCCGGCGGGCACTGGCGCGATGGCGGCGCGGAATGTCCGCGGCTGCCCGCCGTGGATCATACAAACCAGTTTATATGCAGTAACGCAGACGACGCGACGGCGCGGGGCGGTCAGCTAACTGCGCGCCACGCGCTTTTTAGTTATGGACTATTCACTAGAACGAACGTCCTGAACTGACTGCCTCTGCCCGTCGTGTGCTTTGTGTACGCGGCGAGGGCAACCGCAGACATCGACGGGCAGACGCGGTTTTTATTGCTTCGCGGACAAAAAGCCCGACCCGCCCCGTCGTCTGCAAAGCGCCTAACGGTGAACAAAACAAGAGCGTACGATTCCGATTAGTTGTCGAACTATAATGGTTACAGCGCAGTTTCAAAATAAACATTTTCGATAACGCGAAGGGAGCGTAAAGTGATCCTACCGACCAGGCGTACTTCAAAGCCAGCCAGCCAGCTCTTCTTATTAAAATCCCCCGGCGTCGCCGTAAAGTTATTTACAATAAACAAACATAGTAAACTGTCTATAAATTAAACATAGAAATGTCTGGTGTTTGAAAATGTTTAGACCAAGTTACTTACTTGAAATTACAAAAACACGTATAATCAAAAGCTACAAAAAAGGTAAATTTAAAAAATCAAAAAACCCGACTGCTTAATTATACTTCAAATTAAAACTGAAAAGAAAAAAAACAAGTCCAGTAGTCTATAATTCTGGTAATAAGAAAAAAGCTACTTTAACAGTCGGGACCCATTAGATATTCAAGAATACATAATATTTTTCAATAATGGGTCCCGACTGTTAAAGTAGCTTTGTTCCTTATTACCAGAATTATAGACTACTGGACTTGTTTTTTTTCTTTTCAGTTTTAATTTGAAGTATAATTAAGCAGTCGGGTTTTTTGATTTTTTAAATTTACCTTTTTTATTTCACACTTTTTAGTTACCTAGTTAGATCTTAAGACGGTAAATACCGTAGTCTTGTTACTTCAGTAAGGGAATTAATATCGCAGGAATTATTAAGTAACTTGGGGTGTTCTAAAAGATTGATTTATTAAGACATATAGAGACTTTACCAGCGGGGTCAAGGCTACAGATGGGCCTTTTTCTGCCCTTTTTCACAAAAATGTGTGAAGTTAAATCAAGTCGTTACATAAATATTTAATGTATGTAAATTTTATAGAAAACTAGCCCTTATCCAAAAAGTCATCTTTTGTTTATGTTCTTTCTAGTAGTTTAGCAGTAAATATAAAATTCATTTACTTTTATTCGTCGACTATTTAAAATTGGCAGTGGCTGCATTGTCATGTCAACGCCGGACGTCTAAGATTGTGATATACACAAATGCAGTGTCATATCTTAGTCTCATAATTTGATATACCTACATAATTCACAGAAACCCAATATGTAGATGCCAGAAGTTAACTTCAAATGTTGTTAATCACCCTATATACAATACCAATCAATGACGTTTATGTCGCAAGTTGAAGAGAGTAGTAATTCCCGTCTGTTGTTTTGGATAATGGTGGCAACTGCCTTAGATCGCTAAATTAAATAATTATGCAATCACCAAAGCAAAGTTTATAATATTTGAAAACTAAAGATGCATAATAAAATTTTGATAACGTTAGGTAGAGCGCCATAGCAATCTCATTTATTATCAATTTATTTTGTAGTTTTCTTTTAAAGCGTTCACATAATTATAACAGGTCAAAGACTTTGTGATCGACCCTTTGTTATTGTTGGTAGTGTAAAGCTCAAATGAAGAGTACTTCCACATATCAAGCGTGCTGCTACCAGCCTAGTGGGTATTGCAAATAATGCAATCATGGCAATTAATTTCCATTTTTTTTGTGTAATAAAAATACCGAATATCGTATCACTGTTAAGCACAAATGCTAAGTAACTTTTACAAAATATAATATAATATAATCAGATAACCCTATTACTTACTTTATTTTTAAATCTTTTTCATCAATTAAATACTATTATCCTAACTATATATACTAATATTATAAAGAGGCAAGATTTGTATGTTTGTAACAAATAATCTGTCAAACTACTAAACCGGTTTCAAATATTAATTCAACATATAAGGTATTTTATCCCTAAAAATAAATTTCGCCCGTACAATGCCCGGGTGGATCACTAGTAAGTATAATATAATATTATAGATGCGAAAGTGAGTTTGTTTGTTGGGCTTCCGTGCCCTAATAGCTAAACCGAATATTATGAATTCCCATATAGAAGTAGATGGGAACTTGGTTCTTAGCTACAACATCGCAATACTTATAGGCGTAGGGTGATGAAAGGGGTGATTTACCTATAAAAATCTACATTATTTACTTTGAATTTTGCAGAATTATTACAAAACCAATATTATAATATATATATATATATAAAATACAATAATCATAAATACCTATTATGATAATATATTTTTCATCATTTAATAAGAAGGAACTGTATCACAGTTTTATTGTTAGTACTTCGTATAGTATCAGATACTGCAAATACCCCATTTTTTTTTCTTTTACATAGTACACCGCGCTATCACTTTGTCATCGTTGTAACTTTTTAAATATTTGTCAAAATGATATAGTGTAAGAAGCAAAGTTTATCGTCTTTAAATATCAAAAGCGATAAAAGTATTTGTTTTGATAAAAAAAGATTTATTAATACAAAATGTGCATTTTGGAAATAGATATCAAATAATATTTTAGTTTTGATTCACTATTTTAGCGGTAATGACTTACACATTAAAAATAGATATATGGTGTCACGGACTTTTTTTTAGAACTATTTCAGAGATACATTTTCACTCTATATTACATTCATGTAACTTTTATTGTTATTGCAGTGCAGGCCAAAATGGCTCGCAGATGGGATATTTTTTTCCGTCTTATGTGACACTTATTGTTATATATTGCCCAATTCACTCGATAACTACATAAATTATTACATATATGTAATTATCATATATGAGCTATATTATTGTTAAGTTTCATCAAAATCCATTCAGTATTTTTCAAGGTGAAAGAGTTACAAAGATCCATACAAAGGTAAGATTGAAATTAAAAGCGTAAGTGGTTAATATAGAACTTTAAAGCGTTGTAGATCCTAAACAATCATATAAAATGAAAAATGGTGTTAGGAACCTAAATATGATTTTTGATTATCTAGACAGTGATACCCCACTCGACATATTTTGTCAACTTATTTTTTTTACTTCGTCACAATATGGCGTCTAATTTTCCCCATATTGAATTTTGATTACTATCATATCTTTAGTAGCACTCCCATGATTGAGACGAATCGATTGATGTATAAATCATTAAAATCGGTCCAGGCGTTTGGTCTCTAGTGTGCCACAAAGGAACAAACATACATATATAGACTGTTAAACACATAACCCTGTCTGCGCGTCGCGCTTCGCGCTCTTGCATTGCGCAGCCGGGTAATAAACATGAAGTAAGTCACTTGACTTCTTTAAATTTACGATGGGAACCTGTTAAAGTTCAGAATTCCGAAATGAGATTATAGTAATTTTTCGTTCTTATTGCACAGGCATCTCTATATTTCACAGGTTTTATATCTATATATATAAAACTCAAAGGTGACTGACTGACATAGTGATCTATCAACGCACAGCCCAAACCACTGGACGGATCGGGCTGAAATTTGGCATGCAGGTAGATGTTATGACGTAGGCAACCGTTAAGAAAGAATTTTGATCAATTCTACCCCCAAGGGGATAAAATAGGGAATGAACGTTTGTATGAAACTTTGTCAATTTTAAACCGATCGGGCTGAAACTCTGCATGCAGGCATAAGAAGAATCATAGATGAATGTCATTGTGTATAATACAAGCCTGAGAACAAAAACTGTAGTCTACACTTCAGCTCTACACCGAAGCGAAGTGAGGGCGGGCCGCTAATATTTAATAAGATTTGTATGAATTACATTATACAGACGGCCTCGATTTTCACTGTTCATTGCAGACCATCAATAAGCTAATGATGATGATGATGATAAATTATTTTTGGTTCCAGAGTGATAGAACAAGATGAAGGGTCGCCTGTTAATCCTGGCCCTGGTAGTAGCGGTGCTCTGCAGCGTCGACGCGCAGGTAAATGTCTCCCAATAATATTACCATTTTAATTTCATAGTGTAAGTAGACAAGTGTAAAAATAGATAAATAATCAATAATAATAATCAAAATCATTTATTAAGTTTAGGCTGTTACAAGCACATATGAATGTCTTGAAGCTACACCATCGGTTCGTAAATCTACGGCGGGAGACCTTCTACTGAGAAGAACCGGCAAGAAACTCAGCAAGGGCTGTTTTTTTTCTCCCTGTTTTTTCAGAGTCGTCAAGTTGAAAAATGACCAGAGATGATTCATGCAGTCACTTTTCATTACATAATGTGAAATTATACATTAATTGTTCACCTGCATTTTGATTGCTGTGTCACACAGTATAAATACAAATAGAGTTATTTATAATATTGAGGTAGTACATAGAACGTTATGTATAATCGGGCAAATAGTTCTAAAGGTAGCTTTTTTATGTTGAAACATGTCGCAAATAAGCATATGGCCCGCCTGATGGTAAGCGGATACCTTAGCCTATAGACGCTTGAGATAATAAAAATATAACTCGCGCACTATAAATAAAAAAAGGGTAGGTAACGTACCCTTTTTTTTTATATACAACCCGCACTGATTGAATGAGGGCTACCGTTTTCTGCCTCACCAGATGGCGCCACTGTTGAGTGAGGTCCTAAATTGTAACTTTTAAAGTTTATTAATACGCACATGAAATCAAAGGTTACATTTAGATCGTATTTTAACACAAAAGAACCATATCCTAAACATAATAGGCCATGCCACAGTGACGCGCAGTTCCGTTTTATTCGGAAAAAATGGGAATATAATCATTTTTCTAAGCTCAAATTTTTAATAACTGACATTCATTGCCATATAACTCATATTTGCCATAATCAAGCCGAATTGTTACCAATTATTCACAACATTATCTTAATTAGAAATAAACCCGCGTAGTCAACCAACAAGCAATAACATTTGACATTTCGGAGACCTCACGCTACACTAGCGCCTCTAGCGGCGGATTCATACGTGATAGCCCTCAATGAACATAACTACGGGTCTCCGGATTAGAAGTCACCGCGCGTCATATCCAATTGTCACACGACATGACTGCCCGGGAGAGGTGCACTATAACATCAACGCGACGGGATGTTATAGTGCACCTCTCCCGGGCAGTCATAAAAGGCCCGCAGGGGGCTAAGGGCTCGCCTCCTCCTAGCTCCCTCTCTCCTGTGTCGGGAGTCCGCGTGAGCTTGTTCTTCGCGGACCCTCTCCGCGGCCTCTTTCTGCGAGATAACGTCCTCGCAGAAAGAGGCTACCGCCTTCCAGGCCGTTACCTTTTTTTTTTTTTTTTTTTTTGTTTTTATTGTTGGGAAAATGCGTTACGCATACCCCGCCCCGGGTGAGTGGCGGGGTTATGTGGGACTCCTCCTCCTCCCAAATGGGGGGCCCTACCCACAAAAACCCAACAGTGCTCCCTCGTCTGCCGAAACGGGTTTTGTGCGATCCGGATGACGCTCCACGTTACCCCGGCAGTAATTCCTCCTCCTCCTGGTGGTCAGGGGGATGCCCGAGAGTACCTAGGCATCCCCCCTCGACGGGTGAGACTGTGCAATGCGAGCGACGGACCACCCTGTCCGCCGCCCGCAGTCCCATTCCAGGCCGTTACCTACCCTGACTCACCGTGGAGGACTACCCCGTGGAGGACTGGAACCTCACTCACTGGCGGAAACAACACCACCAAAAGGTGGTGTTGTTTTATTGTGGTCTTCTCTAAGGTGGAGGATACTTCCCCAGACGGGAAGTAACCCAGACAAACCCACTATGCCCTACTTCTTTTGTCCAAAGTTCTGATGTCTCCCGAACTTAAGGATGACATCAGTACTATATAAATCCTGTAGACTCCCCGAGGAGGCAGTTAGGCGGAGACAGGAGTTCGAAGGGCTAAGATCAGCGTAGGTACTAGATCCGGAATTATAGTTTCGAAGGTTTTTTCACGTTACTGAAAATTTAGTCAAGGACTAGCTAGGATAGATGTTCTCTCCTCAGTATCCACTTTTTGTGGTTGTAATGAAAATAAAAAGGAGAATTCTCAATAAATGCTCGAGATGATTTTTTTATGAGAGTAAATTTTTGGTCATCGACTCGATGATCGACCACTGCGAAAGTTGCCTAACTTCAACGATCGCAGCCGAACGCGATAATTACTAACGCCATCCAGCTCCTTCTTATTGTTAATACTGTAACATATTCTCTACATTATAATACACTCAATCCTAAAAAAATACAGTATCACAGAATATAAATTGCATTTGTAACTTTAATGTACTAAAACAGAACTTACAGTTTCGGAGAATATAGTTTTACTGGTAGTGTTTGACTACCAGCGCCATAAAACGACTGTTTGTGTGTGTGCAGCAGAAGCATCGGCGTCGTCACCGGCGCCTGCGCACCACCACCACGGAGGCGCCCGCGGCGGCGGGAGCTGCGGTGGCGGCAGGGAGGGTTCCCAGCCCGCCCGAGGATGCGGAGGCTGAGCATTTGGAGCTCGGCATGGCGGAGAGACTCGACGAGGCGCGCTTCCAGGTCTTTACTTATACACTATAATTTACTTTCAGCTGTGTTGAACTTACGAATTCTTTTCCAGAATATTGTTCTGAAATCATCAAGTCGCTGATGATGACACAAACACTTGAAACGCTGCTTTGGTAATTCTCAAAGGAGACCTACGATTTTTGCCCAATTTTGTGCCCCAAAACACGAGTATGAGTTATCTGAAATACTTAAAAAGACTCTCCTATTTAAATATCAAACAATTCAGTAAGTAGGTAGCTCAAAATCTGAATTTAAATAGGGAATCTGCGTATATGGAAATATTATCTTAGACACAATTTGTCATTGACTGACAAATGACAGCTAATATTAATGGTTTAAATTTATTTGCTTGATTGTGATTGTTTATATCAAAAATCACGTGATATCCGTAGCTAATTGTTATTGACTTAAAGATGCACATCATGGAGCACCCCCACTAGAGTCCGCATACAAGGGCAAGCGCTTACGCCAAGCTTAAGTAGTATATTACGTATGCGTGAGACACGCCCACAGACGTCGCTATACATCGTTTCATTCCGAAGCCGAGCGTTAGCAGAAGTGCTTCTCTCGTTTTTGCGTTAAAAAACTAGAAAAAAATCCGTACTGTGCAATTAAATTATGTGGAAAGTGGAGTAAAACTTCCAGTCTTCAAAAAGATGGTATTACTTTTCACCGGTAAGTTTAAATGCATTACAAAAAGACAAAAATACTCTTATATGAAATTGCTTTTAATTGTATTTATTTTTTGGTGAACGCGTTGATGTCTTTTAACACTATCCCTTTCTCGCATGCGCTACATCATATATGCTATTCCGCTCTCACACCGGCACGTGTATTGCTAGTGACTTGACGCAGCTCATGTCTGTACCCGTAAGTTTATCGATAAGTTTGTCAGCTACGGAAATAGAAAAAATAAATAAAAACTATTTATTTCATCGTATACAATAACAGATATCATGAGTATACAACCAACAGTTTTTAATCATATCGTACTAAAATTTTAAACCCGAAAATTTGTATGGATGTTTGTTACTATTACACGATTAAACCGATTTGTATGAAATTAAGTGCGCATACTTTATGACCTAGATAAAGACATGGAATTAACGATATTAAATACCCTAGATAGACCACGAGCGCTCAAAATGTGTCCCAATCAAGAAGTGCTTAAACTTTATTCAAGCACTTCTTTGTTTACAGTCACGCGCGGACCGATGAAAAGTCAAAATGCCGCAGAGCTCCGTAAAAATGCGAAAAAAATACTAATAGTACGTAAAGTGTTGTTTTTTCGACAGGTATCTAATTAATGTTTTTATAATTTGGTACATAGTCATCTTTATGTAATAAGTTATTTATATAATTTGAGCCAAATAAACGTTTTTATTATTATTATAAATTTAACGCATTTGAAGCAAATTTTATTGTAATACTTACTATAAACTGATTTAATATAACATATTTGTGATACTCAAAAGCATGGTCGGTTATACGTCGCCCTATAGCCGTCTTTTTTCTTCGCGGTCTGTACCTGCTATAATAGCTAACAGCACATTCAGAATTGAGCGCGAAAAGTTAAAAAAAATAAGGTCTATTTTCTTTCGCATATAACAATAAGTCGTAAAATTTTAGGAACTTGCATTTTGAACTGCCATAAATCTTTGATGCGTGCGTTTTAATTAAGAGCTTATGCCGTATGCATTAAAGGTGACTTTTTTTTAAATAATGCATTACATTGATTTTGACCACGCGATCATCTTACGGACCTCTGTGAATCGTCAAATGTACCTTTTGGTCACGTTTCGGCCACGATTTTGTACATGCTGTCGTATCTAGGGTATAAAATATCGTTGTATAGAATACTTTTTGTAACGGAAAAATGTCAGGTTTCTTTAGGATTTTCAAAAAACTAAAGTTAACGTGGATGAAGTCGCGGGTGGTAGCTAGCATAAAATTTGATAAGTATTTACCAAGTTCCTTCAAAATCAATAATTTGGTTATACTTAGGTTATTTTGCGTGTGCTAAGTCAAGAGCCACGGACGTCACCGTATTAATGTTAAATTCATTAAGTCTGTATATCGCATGTGCCTTTCACGAGAACAGCAACGAGCAAAATCTTTAAAGAGATATTTAAGGTGATATCTTACAGACTGATGCGAGAATCAAAATACAGTAACATTACGTGTTTTATTTATTTCATAGGTTTCCAAAATGTGCCAAGATGAAGGAACTTTGGATAAGTGCAACTAAACGTAAAGATTGGACTCCAACTGTAAACAGTTACATATGTTCTCGTCACTTTACCACTGACAGTCACTCCCGCAAACAAAACGAACCTGTACCGAGCCGATGAGTAAGGCGCCTTAAGTTTTAAAAGTTGTCATAAACAGCATATTATTGTCTATCTAGATATTTTTTTTACGTGTTTTTTGTGTTGCTTATATTTTATTTAGTATGTAGTTACTAGTCGCGTCATGTAATTAGAACGCTGGAAGAAAGTGGAGAGAGTATGTTTGCGCATAGCTACACTAGCGCACCAAAGTACTAGGCCTCTGTACAATGGAGATCCGGCACTTTTCATAGAAAAAATGCTAAACTTGTATACAGTTGAATTTGGTCTCAAAATGAAGCCAAAATTATTTGCTACATAAAACTAATTTTGCCTTATTTTTAGTGAATCGTGGAAAGAAGTTATATAATGATTAATATTTTTCGATATGGAAACCCTAAATCTTCAAGGGACAGAATTTTACTTAAAATATTACTCAAGTGACTGTAAAAACCATGATTCCTTTGCTTTTTCTAAATAAAAAACCAAATGTCAATTTGACAATCCTAAAATACAAACAAAAAAATCATTCGCTCCCGCGTACTGTGATTGTGAATGTTCTCTGCTGTGATTGCCTTTTTATCCGTTATTTCTTTTGACGACCCGGCTACATATAGAGGTTATATTGACAAACCTACGTATTTGACATTGACAGCTAGCTGCTAATGACAAATATTGCCAGACTACGTTACCCAATTATGAAACACAGATAAAAAAATTAAAAAAGTATATAACTTTGGCACATAATGCCGGGTGTTCTTTATTTATCGATATAAAATATCGATATTTTCTAAAATCGATCTTACCCTCATCACTTCGCTGCACTGAGTATATCATCTGACCTTGACGTGTCCAATCACAACGCGGCTGATCTCCCGGCACGCCACCGACTTTGGCGATTTTGATTTCAAACAAAATTTGCGTGATGCGGACTCTAGTGGGGGTACTCCGTGATGCACATTCACCATATAATATATATAAAACTCAAAGGTGACTGATTGACATAGTGATCTATCTAGTGGACGGATCGGGCTGAAATTTGGCATGCAGGTAGATGTTATGACGTAGGCATCCGCTAAGAAAGGATTTTGATCAATTCTATCCCCAAGGGGATAAATTAGGGTATGAAAATTTGTATGAAACTTTGTCAATTTAAAACCGATCGGGCTGAGACTTTGCATACAGGTATAAGAAGAATCATAAATGAATGTCATTGTGTAAAATACAAACCTGAGAACAAAAACTGTAGTGTACACCGAAGCGGAGCTAGGGCGGGCCGCTAGTATAATATATGATCTGTGTTGCTATTAATTTAAATGTTTTACCCACTTTTTTATGTGGTATAAGTGGATAATAATTTCCATTCATTTTTTGATAAATTCGGTATACCGAATTTTCTATACTTAAATGCATGATAATACTGGAGGTGCAAAATTGTGCAGAGTTGTATGGAGAAAAGAATGAATAATTTTATGCTAGAAATGGTTTTGTATATTCTTCATAAACATTATATTTATTTATGTTTTTTCACTGTTCCTGAGCATTTCTCAAGCAGGTTACATGCTAGCGTGAATTACTTTCAAAGCATTTTGAGATTGATTGGAGTCATACTGGTTTGCATATGTATGTAGTGTGCTCATTAATTTTTAAGGTTCTTTTTGCACTACCAAAAAATTAGACCCTGTTATTGTAAATTCACCTTTTACATTGTTATTGGTGAGGACCTATTAATGACTTTCTGCTCTTTTTATGTTACCCAATATTATCAGCTGTTGGTTTACCTAGATTAAATAAATAATTAAATATCAGACTTAAGGTTTTTCAGTAAATTTCTTTTTACTTTTTATTTAAAACACTCACACTAATTAGCCTAGCCCCAAAGTAAACATTTGGGGGTTAATGGTCGTTAGCTTAAATTACAAACATCGATTTGTAATTTAAGCTAACGACCATTAACGTAACGACTGACTGACTTGCTTGAGTTGACATGGACTCTTGCATTGACTTGACTGACCGAGCGACTAAGTTAGACTTAATGGACTGAAGAGTACTTTTTAAGTGGGCTTTGGACTCAGGGGTCCGGATAGGGCTCACTGAATGAACACAGTTCAGTGGGCGCGATTCTTGTATGATTCTGCCTAATAAAATACAACACTGTAAAGCTTGTGTTATGGGATACTAGGGTAACGGATAGTATACATATACCTACTGTACCTACATTTATATATAAACACATATTAAACATCCATGACGGAAGACAAACGCTCGTATTCATCACACAAACATCTGCCCCCACCGGGAATCGAACCCGGGACCTCTCTAGTCGGCCACACCATGAAACCCGGCGTACAAACCACTCGGCCACGAAGGCCGTCATTTATTGATAAAAGACTTTAGTTTATAATAAAGTCTTTTTATGTGATAATAAGACTTGCTTCCGCCTAAGATAGCCCGAGCTTGTCCAGATACAGTCTGTTCACTCGATCTTTTTTTTTTAATGTATAATGCGTTATAATTAGTTGCAACAAGTAGTTCGGTACTTAAAATAACGCTCGAGTTACATTGAGACTTCAATGAGATTGTATCATAACAACATGATTCATTAATTTGTTAGCATACCTACCTATTTGCAGAATGACAATTGAATGACTTGGTTACAGGAATCCGAGAAGGCTCGCGTCAATGAAATAATGAATGAGAACGGACAATCGCCCGACAACGACGTATTCCTTGATGGTGAGCCGACAACCTCTCATAGTAAACGAGTAGTTTTAAGACAGGTAGTATACAACGAATTTCCCGCCCGAATTGGTGCGGCCGTCAGGGAAAGCAATCTTTACCTTACAGAAAACCACAGTAAAATAACACATCGTTTTGGTGGTGTTGTGCTTCTGTTGGTGTTGTTTAGGCTTGTTGAAAATATATCGATGTATCGATATATCGATATTTTTTGTTTTATATATCGATATTTTTTGCCGATATATTTTGATGCGATATATCGATACATCGATACAAAATAACCAATATCGAAATTCGTATCAAAAACGATATTTTTTTAATTATTAGCGGCATATCACGATCTAACTAAATTCGTAACTGGATCTCAGATTAATGATTTTCATCATTCGAAAATAGGGTCTATTTTTAGGGAGATAATTTTCGTTCCATTATTATTCCGCGTGTCATATTTCGTGAGCTACTGTACGATATTTTTGGGAAAATTGGTTCGATATATCGATGTTTTTTTCGCGATATATCGAAGCCGATATTGATATTTTTTAAAAGATCGATGTATCGATATATCGATATTATTTTCAACTTTCGACATCCCAAGTGTTGTTTCGGGGCTCTGCGTGGTAGGGAATTGGGTTCAGACCGGCAAGGTGAGGATGGCTGAAGCAGCACACTTTCTGCCGTATTATTTATCTTGTCGTGGCTGCGCCTTGGTAAATAAAAGTTCTATATTGTATGTCATTTTAATCGTCATCAATACTCTATTAAAGTAATCCAGTAGGACCACCAGTAAGGTGGTAGTGGTGATAGTGGTATACCACATAACAGAAAAAGGTTAGAAGGGCCTTGTGGGCGGGGCAGTTATGTGTGAGCAAAACTTCTGTTTTCGTCATTCTGATTGCGTCGTTGCTCTCGGGTGTGAGCACTGATTGGTTCGTTTGTTTGTTGTCGCGTCGTTTGATTGGCTATTATCTATTTGGTGGAAATGTAGTGGGGGCGAGCCGGCGACATCGTTTCTCGTACAAACTGTCGAGATCAGTTTATAGTTTGCATATATATACCTAGAGTTATTATCTTGAATATGCCCTTATACAATCAACCCGCTTCATTGTGTTAAGATGTCTTGATGAATTTTATTATAGTTATATATAACAAGGCTTTTTATATTTATGTCGGTGTATATAATTGGCTTTTTTATAGTTACTAGCTGGATTGTTACAACGTAGCTTGTGTTTTGTGAGTCACCGACATTGCGGCGCCAGGTGGCAACACTGAATTTAAAGGTGTACTTAACCATCAAATCGCATGTATCTTATAGTATATGGAAAAAAATAGATAAAATTCGCATCAAAAGCTTCATATAAAAGACCATGTCACAATGGCGCCAACTGGTAACGTGAAGTTTCATAAACACTCTAGTTACTATAATGTAGTGACAATATCGAATTCTAATCGTTTGCGAGTCCGAAATGTCGATATCAAATTTTGTATGGAATCTTGAACAGCGGCGCCACAAAGTACGTAACGAGAACTAAAAAACAGTACACATTTGATAATGACATTTCCGACTCGCAAACTATTCGAATTCGATAATGATTCGTGGTCAGGGTACAGAACGATATAGCTAGCTGGTTGTTTCTTCAGACCCCTGCCTGAAGGTGCACTGCAGCGCGGGCCGCGTGTGTGAGATCGACGAGCATGGCGACGCCGTCTGCAACTGCATCAAGGACTGCCCCTACGAGACGGAATCCAGGCGGAAGGTAAGCGTCACCATCATCAGCCTATTAATGTAACCCCACTCAGGTACATACCTCTGCCTGAAGGTGCACTGCATCAAGGACTGCCCCTACGAGACGGAATCCAGGCGGAAGGTAAGCGTCATCATCAGCCTATTAATGTAACCCCACTCAGGTACAGACCTCTGCCTGAAGGTGCACTGCATCAAGGACTGCCCCTACGAGACGGAATCCAGGCGGAAGGTAAGCGTCATCATCAGCCTATTAATGTAACCCCACTCAGGTACAGACCTCTGCCTGAAGGTGCACTGCATCAAGGACTGCCCCTACGAGACGGAATCCAGGCGGAAGGTAAGCGTCATCATCAGCCTATTAATGTAACCCCACTCAAGTACAGACCTCTGCCTGAAGGTGCACTGCATCAAGGACTGCCCCTACGAGACAGAATCCAGGCGGAAGGTAAGCGTCATTATCATCATCATCAGCCTATTAATGTAACCCCACTCAGGTACAGACCTCTGCCTGAAGGTGCACTGCATCAAGGACTGCCCCTACGAGACAGAATCCAGGCGGAAGGTAAGCGTCATTATCATCATCATCAGCCTATTAATGTAACCCCACTCAGGTACAGACCTCTGCCTGAAGGTGCACTGCATCAAGGACTGCCCCTACGAGACAGAATCCAGGCGGAAGGTAAGCGTCATTATCATCATCATCAGCCTATTAATGTAACCCCACTCAGGTACAGACCTCTGCCTGAAGGTGCACTGCATCAAGGACTGCCCCTACGAGACAGAATCCAGGCGGAAGGTAAGCGTCATTATCATCATCATCAGCCTATTAATGTAACCCCACTCAGGTACAGACCTCTGCCTGAAGGTGCACTGCATCAAGGACTGCCCCTACGAGACAGAATCCAGGCGGAAGGTAAGCGTCATCATCATCATCATCAGCCTATTAATGTAACCCCACTCAGGTACAGACCTCTGCCTGAAGGTGCACTGCATCAAGGACTGCCCCTACGAGACAGAATCCAGGCGGAAGGTAAGCGTCATCATCATCATCATCAGCCTATTAATGTAACCCCACTCAGGTACAGACCTCTGCCTGAAGGTGCACTGCAACAAGGACTGCCCCTACGAGACGGAATCCAGGCGAAAGCTAAGCATCATCATCAGCCTATTAATGTTCTTACTAGGTACTAGGTATAGTAAAAATTAATTAATAGGACTGACTTCTGACTATAAAATTAATTGTAACTACATATTTATATTCTAGATGATGTAATGGAAAGTGACTTCAGACGTATTTCTGAAGTAACAATACAGGGAGAAAAAAACAGCCCTTGCTGAGTTTCTTGCCGGTTCCTCTCAGTACAAGGTCTCCCGCCGTAGTTTTGCGAACCGATGGCGTAGCTTCTTGACCTTCACAAATGCTTGTAACAGCCTAGACTGAATAAATGACATTTCATTTCATTTCAAATTAATTACACATCTCGATCACCCCTTTGGCGTTGTCGTAACAAATATTTGAATTACTCGAGTATTGATTTTTAAAAGTTAAATTGCTTGCATTGCTATGTTTGTATGATTGTTCAGGTCAAATCATGCTTAATGGATTGAGATGAAATTTCGTATACACATTTAGTTTGGATTGTAATACACAGAAAAAGTCGTCATCCCAACAATATCCAATATAATGGACAGCATAGTAATTTTTTATTCATTCCCTATCAAACAATATTAGGTGTGAAATGAAAAGGTTTGTCAAAAAATAAATAAATAAACACTATTGCGTTACATTATCTTTTTATTTATTTACGCCCGCGACTTCATCCGCGTAAAGTATAGTTTATTCAGGATCCTGTGAGGAATCTACCATTTTTCCGGAATAAAAAAATCCTATATCTCAATGTAACTGACAACTGCATGTGTGCCAAATTTCATCCAAATCCTTTCAGCCGTTTTTGCGTGTTTGTGTACAACAAATACATACACAAACTTTCACATTTATAATATTTTAATGAGGATTATTTACCGGCGGACTGTCCAACAGCAGTAAATAGGTAGCATTATATTGAATCGCCATATAGAATCGTTTATTTGCAACAGGTGTGCACAAACCACAACGAGACATGGTCTTCTGACTGCGAGGTGTATCGCCAGCGGTGCCTCTGCCTCGACGGCTCCGAGCTCTGCCGCGGCGCTAAGTACCACCATCTGCAGATCGAGTACTACGGCACTTGTAGGGAGATGCCGGTGAGCAACCATTTGTAAAGTTCCTTCTGGTTCTTCCGTACACCGAAACTTAGTGAGGAGTTATTCTCTCTTATTCCATGACAGACCCACTGGTGAAGCCGAATGCGGTAAAGGATATCTGGTGGGGTCGAAACCCTGAGTGGACTGTAGGTGTGGTTCGAAGTATTAAGGGGTTTTGGTTTATGGGATAGGATGAAAAACACTGTGCTTACTTGAGGGCCTCGATGGTGGCGCTGGCTCATACGCCGGCTTCTCCTGCAGCAGTCTTGTCCTGATGCCAGCGGTTAAAGATGGCGGTCAAGAAAGTCCTTTTTGATAGCTATCACCAATCACATACAAACCTCCTATTTGCGATAAAACTGTTCACTTAAAGATTGTTTATTAATCTTCACATTAGTTTAATGCGGAAAAATATCTATATCACAATTGTTGCGGAGCAATGAAAAATACGACCATTTCGTCTTTACGCGGTGACAGAAACTTTTTCTTTTTGTTGATGCGGTGACAGCCTGCTGACAGAGCCATTTCCTTCCGGCCATCCGTCGTTGCAGGCAAATATATTGCGTCTTCTTCCCTCATAAGCATAAGGCACAGTGTTTGAAGGAGAAGGATCTATTGGGATGCGGGTAATTCGAAAGAGAATGACACGGTATGAAATTTAGAGACTAGAATATGTTTTGGCGTTACCACCCACCATACCCCTAGCCATACCACTGGGGGTGGGGTGGGACTGAACCATACCACCGTTGTAGTGCTGGGATTTTATAGAAGAATAGAATAAAAATAGATATCTAACAGATACAAATATTTAGTTTATTAAATAACCCGAATTCCGTTCCGCTCGACGTTTTTTAGGAGTAACTTTTGTTTTATGAATATTGTAAAGAACATTTAACATTTACCTTATATAAGAAGTCTATATATCAAGCTAGGTGAAGTTGAACCTTAAATTACCTATTGCAAGGGACAAAAGGATACTTGAAATAAATACACTATAAGATTATTATTGAGAACAATCAAGTAAAAATGAATTATAAGAACATATTTATACTGTGTCGTATGGGATGCTATTGACACCAGGTATCTACGTAATATTCGGAAAAACAAAACCTGAAAGCATATAGTGCACGGCACTACGGTGGTATGGTTTAGTCCCACCCTACCCCTGGGGGTATGGTGGGTCTGTCATGTCTTATTCCACCTTCCCCTTTCCTTCAGAGGACCACGCGCGCTGGCCGACTAACTGTGGCCACTATTCCAATGCGTACAAAGAAGTTTGGAGACTCATTTCTTTGTCGCACTATTCGTAAATGGAATGCTCTGCCCGCTCATGTTTTCCCTCTCTCTTACTGGGATCCTTTAAAAGAGGCCTGAAGAAGCAACATGCAGGCTGGCAAGGTGAGGATGGCTGGTGTGGCAGGTAGAACTGCTGTACCAGCTATTTTCGCGTCTGTACTTCACCGTCACTTAACATCAGGTGGGGTGAAGACAGTTGTCGGGCCTATCTATAAAAAAAACTGTTCAAACAAACAAATCAAACTGAACAATCGTTGCAGTTATTATCATATTACATTGATATATACTCCATGCACACCACCATTTCCCTTACACCTTACATACACCCATACTCAAATGGGAAATTAAAACTTAACTTTAAATAAATAAATATCCGATCAGTTATGCCATCCCGGAATACTGGGTTTTTTATTTTTAATGAGAATATCCTAAGAAGCCCCTTTCATAATTTAGCCAACCGATTATCCGATCTCTAATTATTATAAGTCGCCTTAGATTTTTGTAAACCCTTAAAGTCATTTGTGTCAAAATAAAGTTTTTTTTTATAGGACTCACTACATTACTATACGCCGCGCCAATAAAGAAACGAATCTAAAATGGCGGCGGCGATCATGCGCTCTCACTCTAAACTATTGCTGTCTTTATATAACACGGCGTGTACTGCATGCAAAAAAATATCAGTTCTGACTCTGTTCTCGCATTATTTCGACATTACCTAATAAACAGTTTTTCTTTTTATTTGTTGACCCTACCATCTGACAGTGCAGGACATTTTCGATTAGTTTCTTTATTGGCGCGGCTTATACACCTCACTCACGCGAAACCACCATCTGCAGATAAAATAGAGCAATCTTAAACAGATGCCACTTAAATTTTATTCATGCTGTCACATCCTTTCTGATCAACATAAGACTAATATAACACCTAACTCAATGGAGTATTAAATTAATTTGACGTTTCTGAGTACAAGTGTTTGTCATTGTCTAATTAACTCGCAGATTAATGAAGGTCTTAAACGTAAAGTACCTGTCGTAAAAAATACATTCCTTAGGAACCGCTTTTAAAAGTATTGTATCAGCTTCATTACAACAAGTGGTTGGTCCTGCGCAGGAGTGCACCGAGAGCGAGATGTCCGACTTCCCGCGGCGCATGCGCGACTGGCTGTTCAACATAATGCGCGACATGGCCGAGCGCCGGGAGCTGACCCCCCACTACCTGCGCATGGAGAGGGAGGCCGAGAACAATCTCACGCGCCGCTGGACCAACGCCGCCATCTGGAAGTGGTGCGACCTGGACGCGCACGACAACGACAGGTGACATATTATATCGTCAACATAATGCGAGACATGGCCGAGCGCCGGGAGCTGACCCCCCACTACCTGCGCATGGAGAGGGAGGCCGAGAACAATCTCACGCGCCGCTGGACCAACGCCGCCATCTGGAAGTGGTGCGACCTGGACGCGCACGACAACGACAGGTGACATATTATATCGTCAACATAATGCGAGACATGGCCGAGCGCCGGGAGCTGACCCCCCACTACCTGCGCATGGAGAGGGAGGCCGAGAACAATCTCACGCGCCGCTGGACCAACGCCGCCATCTGGAAGTGGTGCGACCTGGACGCGCACGACAACGACAGGTGACATATTATATCGTCAACATAATGCGAGACATGGCCGAGCGCCGGGAGCTGACCCCCCACTACCTGCGCATGGAGAGGGAGGCCGAGAACAATCTCACGCGCCGCTGGACCAACGCCGCCATCTGGAAGTGGTGCGACCTGGACGCGCACGACAACGACAGGTGATAACCTCGCCTAGTCATGGCCTTCATCATCACAGCCTTACGACGCCCACTGCTGAGCATAGGCCTCTCTCCCAAGGATCTCCACATCGATCGGTTCTATGCCACGTGCATCCATCGGCTTCCCGCGACCTCCACCATCGTCAGTCTTGTGCTTTGGTGGGGGGTCTTCCAACCTTTCCGCCCCAGCGGCCATCGGTTCTCCTCGCTATGTGTTTCGCCCCCTACCACTTCAGCTGAGCAATCCTTCGAGCGATGTCGGTTACTTTAGTTCTCCTGCGAATTTCCTCATTTCTGATTGTATCACGCAGGGATATACCAAACATCGCTATCTCCATTGCCCGCTGTGCTACCTTGAGCCTTTTTATGATACTAATAGATCACGGGCTTGTTTCCATACATATTATGTCGTCATCAGCCCGGCAATGGGCTAATTTCCATTAATATTTACTTGACAACCTCCGTGGCCGAGTGGTTTGTACGCCGGGTTTCATGGTGTCGCCGACTGGAGAGGTCCCGGGTTCGAATCCCGGTGGGGGCAGATGTTTGTGTGATGAATACGAGCATTTGTACTCCAGTCATGGATGTTTAATATGTATTTCTATAAAAATATAATTATATATGTACTGTATATGTATTCTATACGTTACCCTAGTATCCCATAACACAAGCCACACAGTGCTTACTTTGGAGCTAGGCTAATTGGTGTGAGTGTTGGAAATATTTATTTATTTATTTACTTATAAATGTGTTCCGTTATCTTGAATTGATTAGATAAGATCTGGATCACAAAACACAGAAAAAGATTAGAATGGCCTTGTGGGCGGGGCAGGCAGCGCGCCACGTGAGCTTGGTTCTGATTGCGTCGTTGCTCTCGGCTGTGAGCGCTGATTGGTTCGATTGTGCTGTCGTGTCGTTTGATTGGTTATATCTATAAAGTGGAAGTGTAGTGGGGGCGAGCCGGCGAAATCGGTTCCCGTACAATTGGTCTAATCACCCTTCTAACCTCTTTCTGTGATCTGGAATATTATGATGCATTTGTAGCAACAATGCTTTTTTTCTGATAGGAGATTTAGAAAAGTCTAGAATTCGGTTAATATCAATATATTGATACAGAGTACGTTTCGTTTCGTTGCGACCAGCGCTAGCTTCACAATAGCCATCGAGTTTGAATCGCACATTGTTTTAACTACTTGTACCATAATCATATTATTTATCATCAACAAGCTGAAACAACAGACGTTGTTCTACACGATAAAAATATAAACACCCCAATACGCTACTGCAGCGCCATCTATCGGATAGAGAGGTTTGAGTAAAACTTTTCTAACGCACAACTTTTATTCATCGTTACTGTCATCCATTATGACAAACTAAAATTATTTACCATTTAACAGTATTTTGTAAGTTAATACCTTAACTCTCTTGTTGTGATTTATTCCTATCTCTTTTTTTCAATTTTCGTAAACAACAATAAGTCAAAATTTGCTGATGTTATTTGTTTTATCTTTGTTTTTCTCTCTATGATTTTAAGTACATGCAATGTTGTGTGGTGTACACAGATTCGTGTCCCGTCACGAGTTATTCCCGATCCGCGCTCCTTTGATGTCGCTGGAGCACTGCATCGCGCCATTCCTGGATCGATGCGATGCCGACGACGACCACCGCATCACCCTCGCCGAGTGGGGCCGCTGCCTGCAGCTCGACGAGGTATGACCATTTTTCCAATATCGCGGCGCGAGCGGCAAAAATCGGGTGGCAAAGTCGAAATTCGGAAAGAACACCTCAAAAAGACACCCGGCATTTTGTGCCAAATTTGTATACTTTTTTAATTTTTTTATCTGTGTTTCATAATTGGGTAACGCAGTCTGGCAATATTTGTCATCAGCAGCTAGCTGTCAATGTCAAATACGTAGGTTTGTCAATATAACCTCTATATGTAGCCGGGTCGTCAAGACAAATAACGGATAAAAAGGCAATCACAGCAGAGAACATTCACAATCACAGTACGCGGGAGCGGATGAGAAATGCGAATGATTTTTTTGTTTGTATTTTAGGATTGTCAAATTGACATTTGGTTTTTTATTTAGAAAAAGCAAAGGAATCATGGTTTTTACAGTCACTTCAGTAATATTTTGAAGTAAAATTCTGTCCCTTGAAGATTTAGGGTTTCCATATTAAAAAATATTAATCATTATATAACTTCTTTCCACGATTCACTAAAAATAAGGCAAAAGTAGTTTTATGTAGCAAATAATTTTGGCTTTATTTTGAGACCAAAATCAACTGTATACAAGTTTAGCATTTTTTCTATGAAAAGTGCCGGATCTCCTTTATAAAACTATCAATTTTCAAAACTCCCGAAAAACTTTCTGACTAAACTATTACCCGCATGCATGAATAACATAGAACTGTGTTGACTCAAAATAATAAAAGGTCATTTTTTGTCACAGTCCGAGCTGGAAGACCGATGCGATGAGTTCACGGAGGACTCAGAGTCGGCCGCAAACGACGCGTAGTGTTTGAGCAGACAGCGAAGCAGTCACTGCCATTATACCGCTAAAGAAATTAAGAAAACAACTCGTCTTTTAACCAAAATGTTAAAAGTTAGTTTTAGAACCAACAGGAGTTACTCTTATGGTGTAATATTGTAAATATACTGTGATGATGATTTTACCAAAAACAGTAAACTGTACTATCTTAATGATTGAAATTATGAATTTGTAATTATTTTTAATAAACAACGTAATTTTAAGACTTGTTTCGTTATTCAATTTCGTCCAACATACCAAGATACGGTATGGTCATACTGGCATCAAATAAAATATGCTCCGACTCAATTATTTAAGCAACTCCCACACACGCACACGTCTGTAAATAAACATTCAATCGAGCGAGGTAGACGGAACTGTATCGCTTCAACGCAGCGCGAGCGAAACGGTCAATCTGCGTCCGAGTCCGCACGGCTGAGTATTGTTGTCCTTTTCTTCATAACAAAAAAAAGGCGCTTACGTTAATAACATTCACGACAAACCATGATTTTTGAGAATAAATGTTTCTTCAGTTTTACCAATGAAAAATGTTGCTGAGGCATTTTTTATTTGATTTTGAACTATTTGTGTTATTTGTAAAAGCATCCAAAGCATTGTTTTATCTTATAACTTAAAATATACGCAATATTGTTTTATTGAGTGCACATGCAGGGTGTTTGTCCAATTGTGACTGAAGCGAATTGTGGTCATCAGTGTTGCCAACTCGGATTTTTAAAAGTAGCTAGATCATATCTAAAAAAAGAGCTAGATTTTTCTAAAAAAAGAGCTAAATTATTTTTATGTACCATTTATTAAAAATCAATATGAACAACGTTTGTAATGGATTCGGGATCACTATTTATTTTGGCTAAGGTCGAAACTATTTCAAATCTTTTTTTGCTGTAATACTGAACTACTAACCGAGCAGTTTAGTAATACTGATATTAGTCTCATCTAATAGCAAACTGAATGGTCCATCGCCTATATCTCTTTTTAATACGGTTATAAAATGCGGACTTGGAACATTCTTTATGGTAACACTACATTTTGTTCTGTGTGATTTTAAGTTTTCGGCATCTTTGCATTGTTTATTAAATATACAGACAGGTAATATTGAAGTATGAGCGCTTATAAAAAGGGCCAATGATCATTCAGCGGAATTTGTCCCAGAAAAGAATTTTCGGTTTTGGAGAAAAACTTGAATTTTGATTATTCCGCTGAAAATGGTTGCGCCACTCTAAGGTATTTTTTTCTTTTTATATGATTAAATAAATCACCTTTTTTAGAATTAACCTCGCATTTGCAGTGGGTACCATCATATAATAACTATAGACCGACCTTGAACAATGTAGGTATATTTTGACTATGGAAACAAGTATTTTGAGCTAAAAATAATACAAAAGGATTTATTCATATTGTAAATGAAAAAAAGATAAAATTGTAAAAAAGTAGAGCTAAAGAGCTAGGCCTACTTTTTTAAAGCTAACCAATCTGATTAAGAGCTAAATCTAGCTCTAAAAACTCCGTGTTGGCAACACTGGTGGTCATGCTCACTTTTGAGCCGCGAGTGCCGTATCTTCCCTTTTTATTTTAATCTGAGATTTAATATCAGTGATTAAAACTAAACAGTGTAACAACCCCTATCGGGCGTAAGAACAAACTGACACCTTCCATACAAAATTTGACGATGACATGACGGTACGATTACGGATCCGTGGAAGTTTGTGGTTGGGATCATAACTTAAGACTCAAATAAAACTAAACTCATACTCTCACTCCTCCTTGTAGTATGAATATTGTTTGCTGCAGATGTAGATTTAAAAAACTGGCAAAGTGCGAATTAAATTCACAAACGTATCGTTCCGCATTATGTTACTATATTTAAAAGTAGATCGAGCAAAAAAGTTAATAAATCGCGTTTCGTGTACCTTTGGATAGTTTGGATCCCTTAATTTATTTATAATCGTAATCATTTGTTTTGATATGCGGACGTTTTTAAAAAATAACGGCTGGCGGACCATATCTATTTTCCCAACATTTTTTTTAATAAGTTTTACAGTCGTCAATTTCTCCATTTCGGCCCCATTTTATTTACTTTATTTTAGGGATGATCGATATTCATCGATGTTGAATAAACATCGATGTTTAATTGGAAAACATCGATGTTTTAACATCGATGGGTTGACTTCGATATCATTGAAACATCGATGTTACTAGAATAAAATATCGAAACGGCAATAGGCTAGTTGACTCATGTCGAATTGTATTAAATAAATGTTTATTTCTTAAAGTATTTTGTCTTAGGAACCTAAATATATCGATTTCACTTCATAAAAGCAGAAGATTGCTGTAGAAATTTAATTTAAAAAAACAATTTTTAGTCTATACTTTTTAAACACTAAAAACGCTGTTCGCCACATCCGCCATGATTGTGACGTCTGTTTTAGTAAACAACTAAATGTCATTCATACATAACTTTAAAACTTGTATTATTAAAACTGATAATAAATGAAGAGACTTAAAATATTATTCAATGAGTATTTACATCAAAGTGATCTTCGCAAAAATAAATTTTACTATGAGGCGTTAAAGTTGCAGGATCCCTTTTAGCAAGTTCTAACCAGATATTGCGTAGGTTAGGTATAGGTAATTTCTTTCGGCACTTTAATCCACAACTTTCCTGGAGTCTTCAAAGATTTTTTTTTACATACTCGTACAATACAATAATAATAATTACTATATTTTTCGTGGTATCTATTAGAAATCATGTTTTCTTTTTATTATAAACTCAGATGGGTTATTTTCTACGAGCTTACGAGTTTTTGTTTACTACTGTCAACGTCATAGCATAGATAATCTATAGACTAAAATGGCCGGCAGCGTTTTTGTATGTCCATGAAAAGTCTATTTTAAAATTAAAGATTTGTAGCTTTCTAGGTCTCAAAAAAATACAATACATTTTTTTCGGTCTAATAGAACATTTATTAACCATTTAAAACCTTTTCCAAAAAGGGTCAACTAGCCTATTATGCTTTTGGATGCCGTCTGGCGTGCATTAGGTGTACTAGCTTCAACTAAATGTTGCATAATCATTAGCAGATGACTATCAAGTTACAACTACATATTTTCCACTAGAACACTGATCAAAATAATCGGAGTAAGCCCAAAGCCGTATGTACGAATAAGTTTGTTTTCATTTCTCAAGAGCTAAATAGAATACTGTCCACTTCAATAGGCTAGTTGACTCATGTCGAATTGTATTAAATAAATGTTTATTTCTTACAGTATTTGGTGTAAGGAACCTAAATATATCGATTTCACTTCATAAAAGCAGAAGATTGCTGTAGAAATTTAATTTTAAAAAATATTTTTTAGTCTATATTTTTTAAACACTAAAAACGCTGTTCGCCACATCCGCCATGATTTTGACGTCTCTTTCAGTAAACAACTAAATGTCATTCGCGTGTTATTGTGGGTGGATTCTTTAGTCTCAATAAATTTATCTTAAAACCCTTTTAACTTTAGATAAGTTTCCGTTTACTGTTTTTTTTGATAAAACTAATTATGGATGCCGGCTTTGTGAAAGCACAAATCTGCCAAGAATTGACGCATTGATGGTTGGTGAATTTTTTGCACTAAACCCCGATTACTGCTCTGCGGAGCAGAGAAACGACAAGGCATCTATGTAAGTACAGTGCATTTAGTATTACAATGTAGTAATAAACATAAAACTGATACAACATATGAATAAGTGTAATATAGTTGCGTAGGTTAATTTCTTTCGGCACTTTAATCCACAACATTCCTGGCGTCTTCAAGGATGTGTTTTTATATTCTCGTACAATACAATAATGATAATTATTTTATTTTTCGTGGTATTTATTAGAAATCATGTTCTTTTTATTATAAACTCAGTTATTTTCTACGTGCTTACGAGTTTTTGTTTACTACAGTTGACATCATAGCATAGACAATCTATAGACTAAAATGGCCGACAGCGTTTTTGTATGTCCATGAAAATTCTATTTTAAAATTAAAGATTTGTAGCTTTCTAGGTCTCAAAAAAATACAATACATTTTTTTTCGTTCTAATAGAACATTTATTAACCATTTAAAACCTTTTTCCAAAAAGGGTCAACTAGCCTACACATACACCTACGTTTACTCTCATTATTAAAAATGGAGCCCTTTAAGATGGCCTGTCATCAGAGCCGTGGGGGCCTTTTGCCGAATATTTTATTTCATGTTTAATCGGAACATAATCTACTTTAGAATCCAATAAAAACATTACATCTCTCTCAAAAATACGTGTTTATATTTTAATATTAAAAAGTACACTCTTACCGAGACACCCTATTTAATAAATAAAACATTTCATATTATACTTTAATAGACAGTTTCATTTTTTTCCAAAAACATCGATGCTTTTCTATCGATATTTGTCGTATATCGATATTTTTGATTCGATGTTAACATCGATGTTTTTTTAATATCGATTATCCCTACTTTACTTTTAAAAAATAAAGTAGATTGAGGTAAGTTATAACACGGCCATAGAATGCGCTCGGCTCGCGCGCAATGGCTGGGAATAGATCTCCGATAGTGGAATCCGACAGATTTTTCAGATAATCGGAAGCGCTGGTGCCATACATTTGTTGGAATACTAGTTACACATCCAATCCGATCCGATAGTTGGCTCGAACATCCGAGTCAGAAACAGGGCCAAGGCGTTTACGATTTAATTGCCGGTCCGAATGTCTGAAGGTGCGATCTGTATGCATACTTCTCTACTATCTACTGTTTTTTTCTATAATACCTCGCGATTTTTAAAAATCGGACTTGGCAACACTAGCATGGCACTAAAGGGACGAATCTTATCGTTGTGGTTCGAACTTTCCAGTATATAAGTACTCTTTGGTTCGAACGATGACCGTAAATTGCGACATCTAACGGCTTATTGTGGTTGTAGATTTTAACAGCAAAAGTTTGTCTATCTGTCTGTTACCACTTCACGTTTAAGCCACCGAACCGATTTTGTTGAAATTGGGTGTAGTTTAATGTAACCTTATATACCCTAGTTTAGATCGCACTTTCTTTAGAAGGATATACAGTGCTTTATACTAGATATACCTGCGAGGATATAAAAAACAAATTCTATAATTGAAATTTATATTAAAGTTACTAACCTATTGCTATAGAGCTTAATATTGGTTTCTTGACTTCACGGGTAGAGGTTCTCAATGACTGCTTAGAGAGTTTCTTTAAATTCAGGCGGTACCAATAAATCTTCATTATCAGTAATATACGCAATAACACAAATTAAAACTCAGTTAAAATAAAATAATATGCACGCTTTTTTCTTTTTGTTCTGTTTTCAAAAAGCAAACAATGGTGTCGATTCTGTCGTGATTCTCTAAATTTAACATCAAGGACCTTTTCATTCAGTATAAAGAATGACAAAGATACACTGTTGTCAAATTTATATAAATTATATGTTTAGAGAATAATGCCAGAATCAACACCGATACTAAAAAAATTGATTGTAAAGCCTGCAACATAATACTGGTGTTGATGGAAATTCATTGTTAGAATTTCTATAGACTTTTCTGCCCGCTCAGCGCGTTACAAATAGAATTCCATACACTTATTCAGCCCGCTTAGTAGTATAACAGTAATGAGGTTCTTTCAGCTTCATTTTAAAAACAAGAATAAAGCACTTTCCGATTAGGTGCAGTATAAAGAATAGTTTTCACCCCCAAAATCAACCTTTAAGGGAGTGAAAAGGTGGAAGTATGTATAGGAAACCAATTTTTCCACGAATAGTCGAGGAAGGCGGGTACCACTCAACATAGTTTATAGTATTTGTAGGAAGTAGGAAAAAGCGCATACTTACACCTTCTATAACAATCAAAAAGTTCAAAAGTCGAATTTTAAGTACAGCGTCGTTCATCTTATTTCGCCTAACAGGAGAAAAACAGTAATGCGTCATCCCTTTTTTCATTCTGCTCCATATGCAAGTAAGCACTCGCAGTTGGGGAACGTCTGAGTTCAGAAAAAGTCTAGCGCAAAAATTGGATGTGTATCTAGTACAATACATACGATCAGATAGTCTGATCTGATAATCGGAAACAAAATCTGAAGTATATTCCCAGCCTTACCTAACCTAACCTAGTGTGGACCCAAGAATATCTATATTAAGCCAACGATTCTTTTCTCAATCTTATTGAGGCGACTCGCGTTTTAGCAAAAATCCTATCCTTTTTGGTAAGATTGAGAAAATATAATCGCCGTTTTCTACTTATTCGTGTTTTCGTCAAAATTCAATTAATCAAATCAATTAATTAAAAAATACAGCACGTAGACGATACGACATATATTTTACAGACTAATTAGTAGGGATGCAAACGATACATCGATGTTAGTAAAACATCGAGGTATCGGTCATAAACATCGATGTTAACATCGATGTTTTAATGAGCGATATATCGTCGATACGTCGTTCACTACATTTACAAACATCGACATCGTTCTTGTCTGTTCGGATTTTCGGAATCACTGTGACGTTCGCTCGCATTGCATTGTTGTGCTGACACCTAAAGCGTAGATGAATTTGATTAAATAAAATTTAAAAAAAAAATCAAAATATATTTATTCACCAATACAAAATTTTAACCTAGCTTACAATTAAACAGTGGTTTTTGCACTGAGCTGAGCTCGTAACGCAAAAACCTAACATTTCAGTTTTTCTGAATGGTTCGCATTACATTAAGTTGACAAAACTCCGGAGGTGAACATTGTGAGTGAGGAAGTTAGGGTAATACTTAAATGTTTGAGTAACATTAAGACAAAAAATATGAAAATAGAAAAATTATTAAAGTAACTTTAAACATTTTTACTGAAAATTTTTACAAGTTACATATATATTTAATAAAAAATCCTCGAATTATAATTACTCTATGTGTGTATATGTGAGTGTGAGTCTGTGTGTGTGCGAGTGTGGATGTGTGTGTGCGAGTGTGGATGTGTGTGTACGAGTGTGGATGTGTGTGTGTGAGTGTATGTGTATGCGCGCATGGGTGTGTGTGTGCCTGTTATAATTTTGAACTCGCCCATAGTTAAGTAAGTAGTCAACTTACAGGCCTGATTATGTCCTCTATTTCCTGATATGACAGATCCATGAGCTAAGAGGAAACCATTTTTGACACAAATTATAGACTGAAGGTGAAGATTAACAAAGAAGCGACAAATCTTATTGTAAATGAAAGGAAGAAGAAATGTGGAATGGCGTTGGATGAATGACGTATGTGTGATAGGCATTGGAATCCGAAAGATGATTCTTTGACTACATACCTACACACATTTTAGATTTCGGGTGAGTAATGTACTCGTTGAATTAATTTATAAAGTAGTTAGGTTTTGATGGTTTGCTTTTCTTTAGGTTTTTGTTGGCGGGTACGTGAAAATTGTGCGTATAATTTTAAAGTTAAAAAAAATGACAAAACGAATAACTTGTTGATTAAAGCAGCTTGTGAACTGACAGTTCATATTAATTTGTTTATTTGCCTAATTGAATGATGAGAATCATTTTGTTATAATTTAATTTACCATCATGTAATTCTTATTTTTATTAATCTTTAAGCATCGAGCATACTTATACCGAATAGAGCGGTATTGTTAATTGTTTCAATAAAGCATCCTATTAAAAATAAAAAAACATCTGCAAACACATCGATATATCGCTCTTATCAACGATATTTTAGAACATCGATGTTTTTCATGCAAACATCGATGTTTTAAAATATCGATGTTTTTCAGAACGATGTTGCATCCCTACTAATTAGAGATACTGTATGCTTTCCAATTACAGAGCATACTGCGACTCAGTGCCGCACAATGCCCAATTATGCTGATGCTTAATTGGAACGTGAATTAGTTTTCAAATGCACCAGCAGAGTGCGCTTAGTTCAGTGTTAAAAAAAAAAATCAATGTTTGTACCTTCATCCATACTTATATTTATTTTTTAACAGTTTGAATGAACTTTGATTATTTAAAAAAAAAACTATTTTATGAAACGAAAGCTTTAATAATTTTTCAACAATAAATAATATTACTAACGATAACATATAAATAAAACATTTCGATCAATGCCAACTTAAAGAAAAAACACTTGTTAATTTTCTTTCTCTAAGTTGGTACCATTGCACGTATCACACGAAAGCATCACTTTTGAGAGCGAAGCGTTGCTGTAGTTGGAACACTCAACGTTAAGCATTATGCCGCATAATGCGCAATAATGCTGTAATTGGAAAGCAACCACTACGTATATATATTTCTACTGCATGACTAACACCCATATTCTTAGTCGCGTCCTCAAACGTTCCTCTACTCAAACTCATTCGAGGGCTCCTTAAGGAGTTCCACCAAATAACCTCGAAAATGGTATTCTAGTTGGTATCTTGAACAAACTTGAGAATTCCTCCACTGAGAATTCCTCAACATTGTGACGTCATCATTTGGAGGATTTTATTTCTATAATGCTTAGCAGAGGAAATATTACGTGTATAACTAACGTACTAACGTGTTTCTAAACCGAAAACTTCTTTGAAACGAATCATTGTCGTAAACTTTAAAAGGATTTGCGGCATCACGTAAATACCGTCGCGCCGGATAATTATATGGTTCATCGTCGTGTATGTGTTACTGAATAAATAAATAAATCGTATACGTAATCCATAAAATCCACAAATTCGTCAATAATCTCAAAATCAGACATAATTCTCGATAAAAGCAACATGAAAACACCACTCGACGAAGCCTTAAGGTACGTCGAGAGCTACCTTGAGTTTGAAAGTTTATTCCTCGACTCGACCTCCACTCGAGTGAGGAATATCTCTAGTGAAGGATATTTTTGCTGTTTAAGCATACGAATTTCCTCCAATGAGGTTGAATCAAGTGGAGAAAATCTCGAGGAAATGACTAAGAATATGGATGTACGTCGTCTACTGCGCAAGATTGTTTATCTGTGGTTTTGCTCAAGAAGTTAGCCGTACCTATCAATAAAATAATGTATCTGCATAAATATCAAATATAATGTATTGAAAATAGTGATGAATAAAATAGATGTTTCTATTTAAATTAGAATTATAAGAAACATAAAAAGTAATACAGAAGCAAGGAATTATGTATCAGTTTAGTTGCTACTTTGATTTGACATGACACAAAAGAAAAAAAACTAGTTCCGTAAACCAACACATTTGGCTTGGCAGCACAGTCGTCCCCGCCATTTTAATTTGTTCTGATTGGCTATCCGCTTGTTTACGACTCTTCCGATAGCGTGCAGTTGGCCAACTTGCCAGAGTCGCGGCGGCGCTACTATCTTTTGTGTTGGCTTGGCGCCTTCCTGTGTCGGTGTGATCGTTGTAGTAGTGATTGTGTTACACGTTTCAAAATGGTGAGTTTTGCAAGAATTTCGGGAAATTAGTGAATATTATCAAAGTATTTATGTGTATTTTGGTGGATTGTGATATGGTCGATGACCTGGCGAAGTTTCAACTCCGTACGGTGAAAATTAATCGTTTTTTTCGTGTGTTTTAGGCTGGTGGTAAAGCGGGTAAAGATTCAGGCAAAGCTAAGGCTAAAGCAGTATCGAGATCAGCAAGGGCAGGACTTCAGGTAATCTCGATGGTTTTCATAATTTATTTAATGAATTTTAATAATAGTTTCAATGCTCACAATCGTTCCTAAGAATATATCATTAAATTGAATAATACGCATGACCCTTTTAGTATGGCGGCGGCCAACTTGTCTCTGGAAGTAATCAATATTTTCATCGTTTTTATATTTTTAAAAATGCTTTTAGTTCCCTGTTGGAAGAATCCACAGACATTTGAAAAACAGGACAACAAGTCATGGGCGTGTTGGAGCCACAGCAGCCGTTTATTCAGCAGCTATTTTAGAATATCTTACGGCCGAGGTAAGCTACATGACGCCCTGATAAATATGGCGGCTGCTACTTTACTGTAATTACAAAAGGATTTTTTTTAGCTTTCCTATTTTATTTCCCGCTCATTATTTACCAATTGATGTTATAGTTTCCACTTTTTACTTTTTAAATTCTTAAAAAAATATTTTGAAATTGGTTATTTATGCAAATTATTCCTCTGTATTAATTTGGCGGGAAAATGTTAAACCCGAAAATATTTCGTCTTTTACATTACTTGTTAAAGCTATTAAAGGCCCCTACAAGTAGGTTATCTTGGGCTTTTTTTTCCTTTTACCCTCTTTGTTTCATGGTAATTTAACATTGCACAATAAAATGCTTATGTTTCGTTGACCAGTGTCCTTTAAAAGTTCACTTCTGGTTTTGCTGGGTCTCACATTAAATAAAAAATTAATGTGAGACCCTTTTATTTAGTAAATCTGTATTGTCTGGGAAACATTTATGTACCTACATTAGTAAAATCTTTTCTTGTTTCTGAAGTTTCGCAAACTTGCTATTTACTTCTGTGCATTAGGTATTTATTACTTACATTACTGATTTTTGTTATTCTTGGTCCAGGTCCTTGAATTAGCTGGAAATGCTTCCAAAGATCTGAAGGTGAAACGTATAACCCCAAGGCATTTGCAACTGGCTATCAGAGGAGATGAAGAGTTGGACAGTCTCATCAAAGCGACCATTGCAGGAGGTGGTGTCATTCCTCACATTCACAAATCACTCATCGGAAAGAAAGGTGGTCCTGGTGCACCCGTTTAATCTAGAATTATCAAGACTTCATATTGCATTTGGCTCTGGACAAGACATCAGCATTTCAAAACTCATCATGCAATCGGTAAACATAGTTTTCTAAATAGTGATGTATTGGAGCAGTGATGTGGCTACAGAGAACTATTTGTCCGGACTTGTAGCTTGTAAGAATTAGTTATATTTTAGCATTAAGGAGATTTATGATTGTATTAGAATTGAGTTTGAATTTCTTGGTTTGTTAACTGAATTTTGTATTTGCAAAAAACTAAATGCTCTGTTTATAAATTGTCTTGCCACCAGGTGCAACTTCTTTTGTGAAATTGAATTTGGTGCAACATAATTTTTACTTCTATTGACGACATACAACATTGTAATTTTAGGCTATAAGCTACTTTATTCAGCATTTTGTATTGTTTTTTTTTTACATACTGTAATAATGATGGTCAATACATGTATGTTGTTCTAAATTGTAATTTGGTATGATTGAACTGTTACAAGTTGTAAGAAATGTATTTTGATCTTTAAAATATAATGAAGGACCTAAGAATAATTTTTATTTATCTCTATTTTAACGATAGGCTTATATGAGCACTTTTGAGAAAACTGGAATCACTGGTTTAATACAGAAGATACTCTCAAGTTGATTTACCACTGCTGGCCACATGCCCAAGCCTTGGATAATGCTAATAATGTTCTCAAAATTTAGAGATTTAAATTGAATTAAATTTGTGCGCATTGATAAAAAAGTTAAGTAAGTATATGCTAAAAAAGTAAATTCCCAGTGCCCCCGACAATATTGTCAAGTAATGTTTTTGGGGGAATAAGGGCTGATTCAAACCAGAATTGCATCGACGCGGCCAGCATTTTCTCACTGAAAGAAAGTATTGTGAAATAATTATAAAATCTATCCTACTCACCTACCTACTCCTAAGGCCGTATATAGAAAGAAAGCTGGAAGCCACCAGTGCTGGTTCTTACTGGTAACATTTACATAAAGGAAGCAGATTAAAGCCTATTTGTTCATTAATTTCAAAGGGCGGGCTCGGCGACGTTCGGCGCTGGTCCATAGTAATGCCTGCGCCGGTTACCGGTAAGGACCAGCGCTAAGATGTGCTGGTCGGCTTCCAGCTTTCTTTTTACCCGGCTGCGCAATGCAAGAGCGCGAAGCGCGACGCGCAGACAGGGTTATTGTAGGTGGCACTTATAATATCGACAGTCGCTAAGGCGCTTTGCAGTCAATTTCGCCGCGAACCATAGCTCAAAGTGAATCCTATCCTATCACAGAGGGCAAAAAGACCGCGCCTTGGGTGCCCGGCGGGCACTGGCGGCGCGGCATGTCCGCGGCTGCCCGCCGTGGATCATACAAACCAGTTTATATGGAGTAACGCAGATGGCGGCGCGGGGCGGTTAGCTCAGTCCGCGCCACGCGCTTTTTAGTGATGGACTATTCACTAGAACGAACGTCCTAAACTGACTGCCTCTGCCCGTCGTGTGCTTTGTGTACGCGGCGCGGGCAGCCGCAGACATCGACGGCCAGACGCGGTTTTTATTGCTCCGCGGAAAAAATGCCCGCCCCGCCCCGTCGCAAAACGCCTAAAGTGCGAGCGTGTCGCGGCAGCTGCGGACGATGCGCTAGAAAAAAAACTTTGCTCATTTTATTAGTTTACTGTCGATTTAACGTACGTACCATCGATTCGGGTTACTGTCGATTCATTTACACAACCTATGGCCGAATATAGAAAGAATGCTTACCGGTAACCGGCGCAGGCATTTCTATAGACCAGTGTCGACACGCGCTGGTCAGCCCTGGCACAGCCCTTTGAAATTAATGAATAACTACGCTTCACTCTGCTTCCTTGTAACTGTTACCAGTAAGCAGGTTCGCCAAACGTATGAGAACTCTAACGTTCGAGATTTAACAGTCTCTATACATGATACGAGGTAAATAGAAATCTTTGATATTAACCCTTACCTGTTCACAACGCACGAGCCGCGAACGCGGCGGATGGCGGTTGCACGTATGTTAATTTGTATGTATAGAAACTACAACGCACTGGCATAACCGCGGGGGTAGCGGACGCCGACATCGGGCGCGGTGCACGTTATAAGTTCATAGTAAAAGCACGGTAATATTATCTATGATATTATTACCGTGGTAAAAGTTTTAAAAGAATAATTTATTTTATTCTTTTTTTTTTTAAATAAGTATTGTATGTAAGATTACAAATTTTAGAGCCAATGAAAAACACAAAAGGGTCAAAATGTTACACTTATATCTAACATCAAAGTATAGACTACGTATGTTTAATTTTTATTTCACGTAAATACATGCAGTACGACCTCCGTGGCCTAGTGGTTTGTACGCCGGGTTTCATGGTGTCGCCGACTCGAGAGGTCCCGGGTTCGAATCCCGGTGGGATTGCCATGTTTGTGTGATCAATGAATACGAGCATTTGTACTCCAGTCATGGATGTATTTCCATGATTAATGATCTATGATTAATATGTATTCCTATATAAATATTCTTATTCAAGTACAGTATATGTATCATATCCGTTACCCTAGTATCCCTTAGCACAAGCCTTTACAGTGCTTACTTTGTGGCTAGGCTAATTGGTGTTTAAAAAAAAAGGTATTAACGAAATTTTACTTGTAACTTTAGATATGGACTTTTTGGCGGGATCGGGAAGCGTAACTTTAGCAGCTTTGTTTTTCTTGTTAAAAATTGTGTTGTGGCGGATGTTAGTGTCTAATAATGGTGGATTATTAACCACTAAGTGTTCGGGAACATGCACAAGTGTTGGCAAGTGAAACAAAATAGCGGAAAGTGTCTTTCGACGTTCCCTCAAGAAGTCCACGGGGAGGTTCTAGTAAATCCCCACACTTTTACTGAAACATAGGGAATGGGGGATTGACTTGACTGCCACTTACTTTTACTTTATATTTGTATACATTTTAACACTTGCATTGACTTAATGCACAAGCCGTGAAAAGCCATTTAGAAAAAAAAACTTTAGATTTTTTTTATACCTTTTTATCAAAGTTGTCGATCAGAATCTCAAATTAATAACAAGGCTGTTTGAATTAAGTACACTGAAGAATTAAAATAAACAAAATAATCGGAGTTTTTGGCGGGATCATTAAAATAAGACGCCATCCTCACTCGATGAAAGGTTGGCGTCTTATTTTAATTATTCTTAAATTCGTTCATAGTGGATATTGTGAAATAAAATGAGTGTGATTTCGTGTTACAACCGTCTGCGCAACTGAAGAATTAGTGGAATCTTTAAAATACACGCTATTCCGGTCAAGTGGATGTGAGAACTTTAGTTGACTATCTCACAGAAGCTTATCGAAAAAGCCAACTCGCTATATTTCGTGCCACACAAGAAACAGAATGCGTCACACCGACATTGTAATGTATAAAAAAAAAAGATTATTAAAACTTAAGACTAGGCTGTATGAGCATTGTTCCCTTTGCCTTTCCAAAAAAAGGGAGAATCTTATAAAAAACAAAATAATCGCCATCTTGTTTCATATATGTCAAAGTTACGTCAAGTCGTGGTCAAATCTGAATTTGTTTCTATTGCTGTGTGGCATTTTTATTGGTTAACTTTCGGTGTAGAACTAAATCTTAATTAATTTAACCACATCACCGGACCATAAATAAAATTTTGTTGTGGTATTTTAGGCAGCCAGTGTGAAATTTCTGAATTTGTAGCATGAGTTCGCGTCACAGAGATCGCAGCCGTTCGCGTTCTCGCGATCGTGATCGTGAGCGCGACCGCGGTCGTCATAAGGAGCGAGACCGCGAGAAGACCAGGGATCGCGACAGGGACCGTGACCGCGACCGCGACCGCGACAGAGACCGCGAGCGACATCGTTCTAAGAGGTGCGCTCCATCTAGTTGGCTTCAACTCGCTCAATATTGGAACTTCACTTAATTCACATAATATTACAGAGACAAGGAACGAGATCGCAGCCGCAGCCGTGATAGGCATAAGGAGAAGCGTAGGAGCCGTAGTCGTTCGCGCAGCAGAAGTCGCGGCAGGAAATCTAAAGACAGGTAGGAATGTGTCTTCTAACTGATTGCACTTATGTGTCAAAGCAAAACAGATCATAAATAAATATTTTTTTAAGCACCTAACTCTAGACGTTTACATCTAAATAAATATTAACTTAGTCCCTCCTTGTGAAATATTTTCTAGTAAAATTTTCATTAAAATATAGGTAAAAATTTAGAAATAAGACGCCCGTTTTGGGTTTTGCGAGGGAAGGGGGAGGGGGAGGGAATTGAAAATTGTGCCGCTTCGCCACCCATTGCCGCGCCACGCTCATTTCGCTCGCTCGGCTCGCGCAGTATGGTCACAACACTTACCTAACCTAACCTAATGTGAAGTATCACCACTTGGGTCCTGGAAGTACAGTTTAGTCTTGATGTGTTCTGCATACTTTTGAGTTAAAACCAATCCGTTTGTTTATTATTTTGCTTTAAAGACAACAATTACATGAAACTCATATAAAAATTATGTTCCATTCCACTCATTTACAATTTTATTTTACGAATTTGTGAAAATAGTTTTAAAATATTTATACGCAACTCCGGCAATCGAAAGTTACTTTAGGGAATCAAAAAATATTTTAACCCCTTAAATATTACTTTAACCCCTTTACACATTCAGTAGCCTCAAATTGAGGTGACTTTTTTCAAAATCTAACCTAAAATAGATCTTGTCAAGTTAAATGTTGAAGAGTAAATTTACCTTAATGTACACAGCTGATACTAAAATTCTTTTTACAGAGACGGAACCATAGCCCTGCTAGACCAGATGGTGGGCACTACAACCAAGGCAACGGCTCGTGCCGTCCCCAGCACGGCCTCCCTCAACCCTGCAACTCAGGCTGCTATCCTCGCAGCTGCTGCTGTTGCTCAGGTCAGATTATAAATATTTCTTAAGCCAAGATAAACTTACCATAAACAAATATTTCTTGCAACTGTAAGTCTTGTGCTATGGGATATTGGGGTAATGGTTAGAAGAACATTGTCATGATGTAAAGATAAATACGCTTTTATAGAAATATATATAAACACCCATAACTCAAGTACAAATACTTGTATTCATCATGCAAACATTTGATCCTACCAGTATTCAAACCTTGGACCACCATTATACACCATTCTGCCATGAAGTATTCATGATAAGTATTATGCATATTATAAATTATATTATACCTTCATTACATTTGCAGCATAATGCAAAAGAAAGAGAGGTAGGCCTTGTTTTGATTTAATATTTTATGTATCAAAAGCTTGTATGTCTAATGTTACTCTGCTGTTGAATTCTTTTCATGATAAATGTCTTTATAGTATTTATTAATCTTGTGAATGTGTTTTGTAGAGATACATCAATTTCATGGTATGTAGTTCTTGTTCATTTAACTGATTTTCTAAAGTGCAGTCCTTAGGGGTTGCAGGTAGGAGGTTTGGAAATAAAAGATTTATTTTTCAGAAACAAATCCTTGTATTGTGCCTAAATCAGGCTCCGTGGCCTTTGCAACTTGGCAGGTAGGATAGGGAGAGAAAAGGTGATTGGCCTGGGATTATCTCTTCATATAGGTAGAAGCTCCAGCTTTTTCTCCAACTTCAGACATCAGTATTAATGCTGATGAATGTCTGTTACGTTTCGAATGGTGCAGTTGTTTCCTGGCTGAAGATCCCCATCGCTCTTCTTTGTGCGTTAAGAGTCTTAGATCAGAGATAATAGGCAAGAGTTCTTTAACACTGGCTTAGCTGGTATTTGAATGTGATTTTACAGACTGCGAAATAAGGATGCAAATAACTATTATGGTTTCTGAGAAATTTTGCTTGCTGCTAATTTCACAGCTTACATAAAGTTTGAATTGATATGATGTAAGGAGTCCTATGGGGATTTTAAATAATTATGCATTGTAAACTTAGGTAAACTGGTATATCGGTTACAAGAAGTCGAATACCAAACAGCTGAACGTTAGGTAGGTTGGCTCCGAGGCTGTGCATGGAGCGAAACAGAGTCTGTCCCTCGGTTCGATGGTCCGTCCTCGGCGCGTAAGACTGATGGGCGGACTTTTTGGCGGGATCGGGAAACGTCACTTTAGCAGTTTTGTTTTTCTTGTTAAAAATTGTCTTGTGGCGGATGTTAGTGTCTAATAATGGTGGATTATTAACCACTTAGTGTTCGGAAACATGCACAAGTGTTGGCAATTAAAACAAAATAGCGGAAAGTGTCTTTCGACGTTCTCTCACGAAGTCCACGGGGAGGTTCGAGTAAATCCCCACACATTTACTGAAACATAGGGAAAGGGGGATCGACTCGACCGCCACTCACTTTGACTTGATTGAATATTTTGACCACCAGTGCTATAGAATATGTTAACATTTTATACTTGACATTGGCTAAACGCACAAACCGTGCGAAGCCATATAAGATGTGTGTCGGTGGTGGTATTGGCTGACGCGTGTGTGCCCGTCCCCCGGCAGCAGACGTTCGTGGCGCAGCGCCGCATGGCGGCGGCGGTGCAGCCGGCCGCAGCTGCAGCCGCAGCGCTGTCGGCCGCCACCGCCATCCCGCCGCCCACCTCCGTGCAGCAGAAGCTGGAGCAGCTGCAGGCGCGCACCGAGTCCCGCTACCGGGACAAGCCGCACCAGCACCACCTCGACGACTACCACCCGGACGACGACAAGGATGACGGCCAGGGTATGACGCCTTCCACCTATACTCTATTCGACTTTCTTTGAGCCGAAAGGTAAATAAACCTAAAAAAGTTATTCTATAGATTTTTTCTAAAAACAAAAAAAAACTTTTCGGTCGACAATTCTAATAAGTTATGTAGGTGCATTCTGTTTCCAATGAACGAAGACAAATGTTTTAAAACAGTTTAAGTTGCACCTAATGACGATCCCTTCCTTTGTGACATGGCAAAGGAATAAAGTTACAAATGACGAAATGTTATTTCGTACATACGACCTTTTGTCGACTGACCCGTTGGCTGCGTATTAATCGAACCGATTGAAAATAAGATCTCACGCCTCAAGTGAGGCTTGACCATATTTACCGAGACGAATTTTACGCTCTGACCCGTTACATGTATGGTATGATTGTTATCTGTATTGTTGTTCGAAGAAAAAATCATAATAAAAAAGACCTAAAACTGTACTTCTTCCCGAACTTCCAACACATTATAATACTACTAAATTGAAGAGTAGTGACAAAGCAAATAATTTACGTTGAAATGTGTAATTTTGTAATCAGTCTAGTAACAATGGATATCTTTACTGTTGATAAAAAAGTTTGGAAACATTGGTTTACCTTTTGGCTGAAAGGAAGTTGAATACAGTATAAACCATATTTCTCAATGAAACCCGTACACATACAGAATGAACTGAGAACACTCGCATGACATTGATAACCCTAATAAAAAGTGAGAAAAAAAACTGCTGACATTCATTGTCCCAGTTTTATTATATAATATTAATATAAATAGCTTTTAAGTATAAGTATAATAGTAATATAATGGTTAATCAGGATCCTGCCTCTTTTTATGGCTTCTATGAACATTAGTAACTAACGGGAAATCATTTTCTAATAATTTTCAATTACTCTATTAACGCTACATTAATCTGTGATCAACGTTTTTTTTTATATTTTCGCAATAAGGAAGTCTTCTGCTTTGTGGATTTTTCAATTTTCTACTGCAAATTTTAACATGTACTGCACTCCGACGCTTGCCGGTAAGCGAGAATCGTACATTATTGTCTGTTACTGATGTACTACGGGTATGAAGAGCTCGATGGCGCAGGTGGTTAGCGCGTTCGGCTGCGATCGTTGAAGTTGAACTTTCGCAGTGGTTAGTTATTGGATGGGTGACCAAAAATCTTCTATCTCGAGTTCCTCCGTGTTTCGGTAGGCACGTTAAGCCGTTGGTTCCGGCTGCATCTGCAGTCGTTAGCACCCACGTGGGGGGTCATGGCTCGCACTCCCTATTCCATCCATAGGTTCAGGCCTGGGCCCCAGCAGGGGGACATTGATAGGCTGATGATGATGATGCTGGGTATAGGCAATGTGTGTGAAATTGTTTCTTATATTGGATTTAACTATTCTATATCATGATTTATTGGTTTGTAGTGTCCAGGTAGGTTTAATATTGTAATTTTAATAGATTTGTATTATCTGTGTTTACCTACCTTCCAATGTGAGCATAAAAATTCAAACGTTATATTTTAGTCCTAATTTTCATTTTTTGATAAAATTTAGTATCGGTTTGTTATAATATTGATAAAAATGCACTCGGAAATACTTTTTGTTTTGAAATTACCTTCGATGGATTTTAAATCGTGGATATTTTTGTCTCAAATTAATTTTCTGTCTATACAGATTGTTTTAATTGATTTTATACATCGATAGGAACATTGTTTCGTATCATACGGGAATGGGCGTTAGTTCCGCAACACAATTTTTGCATAACTAAAGCAGATTTAACGATTCATAATTTTATGTAGACTGCACTTGTTCCAAGTTAGTTAGTTTTTAATTGCATGCAAATAATTAATTACAATAAATTAATAAAAAGTCTGGAAAAGGACACAGTCAATAAAGTTCAGTTTTAATTTGAAAAAATAAATAAATAATCAAAATATTCAATTAAAATCGCTACTGAATATAATTTATTAGAACATATGTGATTTGCACTTGTATGAAACTCAAACACGTATTCCGAATATACAAACTAGAAACATGTGGATAAATATTATAAATATGAATACCTATAACTGTTACTTTATTACAAAAAATAAAGATGTTGTTTTTGGTTCTACTACACCAATGGTCAAGAGATGGCTCTGTAGTCTCCTGAATCGCGCTTTGGTTCCGTTGTTCCAGATTAATAAATACTTTTGATATTATAAATATGAATACCTATAACTGTTACTTTATTACAAAAAATAAAGATGTGATTTTTGGTTCTACTACACCAATGGTCAAGAGATGGCGCTGTAATCTCCTGAATCGCGCTTTGGTTCCGTTGTTCCAGATTAATAAATACTTTTGATAGGCCTTCACAATGCAGTCGTTAGCACCCACTAAATAGAGATTCTATTTCTATTTTGTTGGTAGATTTTCTTAATGTGCGGCATGAAGTCGGTCGCTAGAGCGACCAACTTCATGCTGTTAATTTTTGTGTTACAGTGGTGCGCGCGCATCTTAAAATTTCACTCTCATCATTTTTTCATAACGCGCCTAAAGAAGTAAACTTCAATAAAGTTATTATTATTATAGGTCCGCTGGGCGAGACTGCGGCGGAGCGTCGCGCTCGGCGGCGTCGCACGCGCTGGACGGGCTCGGAGCACGACAAGACCTTCATCCCCGGCCTGCCCACCGTGCTGCCCTCCACACTCACCAAGGAGCAGGAGGACCAGTATCTGCGTGAGTATCACACCATGCACAGCCCTCCACCCTCATCGACGACCACCACGCGGTACACCATCTGAACCGACACCCCGTTCATTATTACTCAGATGACTCGGGTGATGCTGCACCACAATAGGGATCATGACTTATTTTTTTTTCTTCGTTTATCAGGTAGATTATCAAAAAGTATTGGACGCGTGTTTTTTCTTTTTTCACACAATATAAACATTGCAGAGATATAATGATTTGAAAAGTCGCATGACGTCACGTTTGAGTACACTTATAAGTGAAAATTCACTCAAAAGTAACGTCACGAGCCCCCACTCCCAAACTTTGACGCGCTATAACTTTGCCATTTTTTGGTTGATTGTCCAAAGAAAAAATACGTGTCCATTATTTTTTGATCATCTAACTGACGGACTAAATAGAATTTCGTTTACTGTACCCCGTCATCACCCCTGTTTACATTAATTTTATCGCGTCCAACTGTCGAACTTATAGTCATTTCGCAATTGAGGGGGATGAAAATGAGCTATAATGCGATTCAACCAAGAATAGGACCGACTGGACGCCATATTGTAATGTCATAGCTGTCAATTCAAACCAAATAGGTAGAGTAAGCAAAAAAAGATTTTATTTAATAAAACTTATTAACTAAGATTTAGCGAGAAAAAACATCAGATTTTTTTAATAAAATTAATTTACTAAGATTGTGAAAAAACACAACCGATTTTTAATAATATTTCTTTAATAAGATTGTGTGAGAAAAAGCAATAATTACAATCTAGCTCTTCAATTCCGCTCATCTCTGCATTATCGCCGGAGTAGTTATGAATAATCATGCAGGTCACATACGAACATGCATCCTTCATGTAAACGAAAGTTGTAAATCGAAATTCTGTCGCAACATAAAGTGACATTTGGTTGACGATTTAGATTATCAACCATTCATAGCCAAAGCTCAATAAAAGAAAAAAAAATATCAACCAATATTACTTAATATTGTATATATAATATTTGTTACTGTGTGTTTAAAAATGTTTGGTTTTTATTCAAGAATTAGCCGAGTACTGAAAGTGTTCCGAGATTTTTTTGCAAACCGTACTTTTCAAGCGACATTTGACAGATGGAGGTCATTGGCTTTCCTATTCTTATTTGAATCGCATTATATGTCATCATATCGCGGCGCTCGCGCTAGGAAGGCTGAGTTAGATCTTGTGACCGTTGCTCTTGCAATGAAGAGCAAAGAGAGAAGAATATTTAATGAGTAATGTGGATAATAAATGAGTGATACGCCCGACATTGCAAATCCGCTCGGACACTGATTCCGCATTAATCTTAGTGATGATATTGTTATAATATTGTCGCTTTTACGCTTAGTTAAAATAAAAAAATGGTTGCCTGTAAAGTCGGTTTTACGGGCGAAGATTTTACGTGACAACGTCTTTTTCTCGGTAGAATATTTATTGATATGAATATAATTAAATTGCACAATAGGAACAAGGAATTGAATGAAAATAAGAATTGCACAAATTTTAACTATAGAAATATATTTTGTTTACTAAAACATTGTACATGTAAACTTAAACTCATCGTAACGTTACCGAGCGTTACACTTTTTCATAAGTGACTCCCAGCCGCAACCTAATTTAAGACGTTGTCACGTCAAAAAAAACACATTTTGAGATAAAAATAAATATGATCATGGCTCAATATTTAAAATAAAATTAAAGTTACTGTTGAAATTTTTAATTTTTGTGATTGAAAAGAGCTTTATAAAAATACTAAGATAACAACCACAATTATATTTTTCGCAGATATATTGTTTGTTTGGTTTGCACATTTTATTACTACAATATAGTTATAAAACGACACATTTCATCAGTATTCCATATAACAGTGCAGCACTTCCTGAGTCATGGTTAACACATTTGTGATGGTAATTATGATTTAGATTATTATTATCCATCCAACACCAACCGCATACTGTAAATTGAACTCCGACTGTAACGATCATTAAAATATTGTTCTTTATGTCACAGTAATCTTATAAGTATTTTAATATTCTGTTCTGTTAATATGACACCTCGAATGTATTTGTTAAATGTAACTTTTTTATAGCTGTACTGTTATCTTCTAGATGATAATTTCATTTCGATGTGTCATATTGATATTCACCAGCAATTCTGTAACATACCACTAAAATTACGTTACAAATGAAATGTATTTTAGTAGTAAATGTTACAGGTTGCTCCTGTTTTCCATTTTTTTATACATTTTTGTTGTGTGTTTTTGTGTATTTGATGACTTATGATATATTTTTACAATAATCAATATGATTTTGTTTGTGTACTTTGAAAGTGTTCTTAATATTTTTGTTACTTGAGATTTTGTTAAGAATTAATTTAAATTTTACTCTTCAGAAGTAGTCTTTATCGTTTTCCAAATATACAGTATTAATGATTTTATTCTAATAATTTTGTTTTTAATAAGACAGGTCTCATAAAGAAAACTTGTCATGATTCTTGGCAATATTTACAGTTTTATCAATAGCAGTTCTGAAACATCTCGTTTTTTTTTAATTATATATTTTTTAATATACATTGTGTTTAATGCCTTTTTAGTGAAACGATAATAAATGAAGCTTATTCCACTCGGCTTTCGATAACTTTACCGTTATAACCATAATGAAACAGTTACCTTTCATTTCAGCTTTCAATTAATAACACATATTTTCAGGAAGCGATATGAGATGATAGGGTTTCAGGGGCTTCCCTGTTCTGTACAATAAGTGATTTGCTATATGTATGAGGGGTGGATATAGCAAGGTAGGTGCGGGGTCGGGGAGTGGGTACCGGGGTGGGTGTTTGTGTGATTCTAATGTGCGTGGGGCACTGGTTGCTGGTTGCAGTTCAGCTGCAGATCGAGGAGGTGAGCCGCAAGCTGCGCTCCGGGGACCTGGGCATCCCCGCCAACATCGAAGAGAGGTTTGCCAGTTTCCTACTCCGAGACGTACACCACATGAGTATACCTTAATTAAGCATTGCCCTAATCTTCTATGTTCGCAGGTTCGTTACGATCGATCGATATAATAAAAAGTTTATAATTACCAATTCTAATGACATTTTGAATAGTATTTTAGGCGCCCGTCGCCGCCGCCGGCCGACGCGTCCCCGCGCTGATGGAATAATCTTTCGTTTTGCAGGTCGAAAAGATCTACAATATCATGATTTATGACTAATCGATTTATTGATTAATTAATCTTACACAGATCTAATCGATTACAATCTTTTCAGCGACTCATGCTAATGATCTAATCGATTATTTTCAGGGCTAACGTTGTTAAAATTTCAGGTTTAACGAAATAATAAGATTTTTTCCTCAGAGCGTTAGGACACTATAGGACCGATTCGAGACGCGCGCTATTCACTCCACTTACGATCATGAAGCGTCGTCCGTATTGGGCTAGGGGCGACTGCCATTTTTTTTTATGTACGACGTTCGCACGTTTCATATATTTTTTAAATATATATACGTTAAATATTATTAAAATATATTTATTATTGTTAAGAATTGATTTTGGCTTTATTGCTTTAGCTGTATTAATCGTAAGATTGAAATATATGGAAACGTGTGATCATGAATTTTTTACAAAGAAAACCTTTCGCGTCTGGAGGCTCGTTCTGAATGTGAGTTAAGCTAAAATTCTGATGATTTTCAAGCCCTTCAATGGTTTTCTAAATAAAGGGCTCTACCATTATTCATAACTCTAAAAATATTAGCTGACGTAGTTGTACTGTCTTTGCAAAAACATCAGAATTTAGTTAACGCGCGTTGAGAGTGCTCCTCCTAGCGCGTCTAACCGCCTGACTACCCGCCGCCATCACTTCAATCTTTTGAAAATTAACACATTGGAAATATTAACTATGGATGTAAGATATTTTAGAACGACAATAAGGCATAGGTCACATGGCATACACATGATATTTTTTATATATATTTTTAGTAGTTTACATCCTCTGAATAAAGTAAAACATAACAACGTCAAAAACATAGTATATTATGTTTAAAATATATAAAAAAAATGGGTGCGTGTACTTATGTAGGCGCGTGAGAAGTTATCCTTCTTTGGCATCGCTTAAAATTAGTTTTTAATTGCATGCAAATAATTAATTACAATAAATTAATAAAAAGTCTGGAAAAGGACACAGTCAATAAAGTTCAGTTTTAATTTGAAAAAATAAATAAATAATCTAAATATTCAATTAAAATCGCTACTGAATATAATTTACTAGTTACTATGCGGGTCTAGTGCGAATTGTTAGATGTTAATGAAGACTTCTGCAGCAGGTACTAAACGAATTTACATCCTTTTGAATGCACACAGGAGATGTTTTAGGTCACCTATCCATTGAGAGGCAGATGAGGCGTTAGCAATCGAAATCTACGCTTCGAAATTTATTACTAAGTTTAATTAAAAAAAAACTAGTAAAATTTTCTTTAGACTCGGGGCCAGACTCAGTGATATTGATTTATTAGTGATGTTACTTATCTTAAAGTGAGATTAAACTTGATGCTGTTCGTTTTTTACCTTCTTCTTTTATTGAATACTAGAGGTCGCCCGCGACTTCGTCTTCGTTAACTTAGTTTCTTGAAAATCCCTCTGGAACTTAACATTTTTTCGGGATAAAAGTAACCTATGTGTGAATCTAGGGTGTCAGCTAACTCCATACCAAATTTTATTAAAATCGCTCCAGCCGTTTAGACGTGAAGAAGTAACAAACATACACACTCACATACTCACAAACTTTCGCCTTTATAATATTAGTGTGATTAGAACATATGTGATTTGCACTTGTATGAAACTCAAACACGTATTACGAATATACAAACTAGAAACATGTGGATAAATATTATAAATATGAATACCTATAACTGTTACTTTATTACAAAAAATAAAGATGTGGTTTTTGGTTCTACTACACCAATGGTCAAGAGATGGCGCTGTAGTCTCCTGAATCGCGCTTTGGTTCCGTTGTTCCAGATTAATAAATACTTTTGATAGGCCTTCACAATGCAGTCGTTAGCACCCACTAAATAAAGATTCTATTTCTATTTTGTTGATAGATTTTCTTAATGTGCGGTAAACTAGACATGCGCAAAACAGTGCTCTATGGCGTGATGTAATATTACATTACATTACTCGCTGAGTAATATCACTCTGTAATATCACTATCACTCGAAACATTACCCGTGATTTTTATTAATATGTGACTTAGTAATAAAAATCACGGGTAATGTTTCGAGTGATGGTTAATCAAATACTGTATTCAACATAGATTTATTTCGTTAGTAGGTATTTAATGCGTCAATATTAACAAAAAAAATACTTGAAACAATAGTTTTGTAATATACAGGCGAATAATTTGAGGAGTGTTTCTTAAAAAAGTAATCTATATTATTCGAACATATTGAAAGTTACCCGGCTAGGCCGCTGTGCGTCGCTAGCGCTGCGTAATGTTTACATTACACTGCGATAGAAAAAACTAAAGAAAACCTTTAGTTGTAAGAACATAAAGTCGTAATTTGTTTTATTCAGTGTACTGCGTGATGTTTTAAAGTGATGGTGTAATGTTTCATTCTGTCGGGTGATATGTGATATGACATTACAACTTCGCGTAATATCATAAATGTAATATCACGCGCATTACTTACACATGTCTACGGTAAACACAAAAGTAACGCATGAAGTTGGTCGCTAAAGCGACAAACTTCATGCTGTTAAAATTTTGTGTTACAGTGATGCGCGCGCACCTGAAAATTTCACTCTCATCATTTTTTCATAACGCGCCTAAAGAAGTATAACTTCAAAAATAGCCACCTTGCACAGGCAATCTGAATAATAATAATTTTACAAATACAAAATTAATAACAAAAAAACCTATTCAAATAGTTACCTATCTTACATTGTATCATATTTATTTGTATTACTTTGATAACAGAAAGTCATTTTAAAAGAGTTTATTTCCGTCAAGCTTTATTTTCGCGATAGAATGTAGCCTATGTTCTCCTACCTCACACCCCTTTAATTTGTATCAAATCGGTTATGTTAGCGTGAAAGCGTAAAAGACTCAGTTTCACCTTTATAGTATGGAGACAGTGGTGTCGATTCTGGCATGATGTTCTAAACTGAAAACTAAATTTAACACCAGTCTCTCCTTTTCATTCTGTATAGAGAATGACAAGGATACACTATTGTCAAATTTTAGTTTAGATTTCGAGAATCATGCCAGAATAGACATTATAATCCTAAATAAATCAATGTCAACGGTATAGATGCACTGATTTATTTATTTATGACGTTTCGCATCTTTTTCAGTAGGGTTGCACTGGATAATTATCTCGTTGATAATAACGAGTAACTGTTATTGTACGAAACAAAATCATAGTACAGAATCTAAAGAAAAGTTTACTAGAAAAAAACCCGTCCGCTGCCTGGTCCGCGGGCCAGGCAGCGGACGGGCACGGGCAGCATAATAAAATCATAATCATAGTACAGTTTATTATTGTTAATAATAACTAAAAGATTTTTTTTTGTTTGAAGATATTATTGATAATTAATCTAAAAATAATCTAAAATAAATAAAAATATAAAAAGACTTTACAAAAAATATATGAATGAATTTAAAATTGAATTATATTTAATTAAAACATTCAATAATAATCAATAATCAAAATCATTTATTCAGTTTAGGCTGTTACAAGCACATATGAATGTCTAGAAGCTACGCCATCGGTTCGTAAATCTACGGCGGGAGACCTTGTACTGAGAAGAACCGGCTAGAAACTCAGCAAGGGCTGTTTTTTTCTCCCTGTTTTATCATTTACAGAGTCGTCAAGTTGAAAAATGACTTCAGAGATGATTCATGAAGTCACCCTTCATTACATAATGTGAAATTATGCATTAATTGTTCACCTGCATTTTGGTTGCTATGTCACACAGTATAAATACATACATTAGTAATAGCAGTCAAAAATTACAATAATTAAGTAGTATACATATCAAAATTAATAGTTTTTTTAATAAAACTAGTCTTAGACTCTTAGGTAAAAGTAATGTCTAAAAATATAAAAAATCTCTAATTTATATATATGTTATTTGATTTGATAGTTGGATAATAGGGGTGATGACGGGGTACAGTAAACGAAATTCTATTTAGTCCGTCAGTTAGATGATCAAAAAATAATAGACACGTATTTTTTTATTTGGGCAATCAACCAAAAAATGACAAAGTTATAGCGCGTCAAAGTTTGGGAGTAGGGGCTCGTGACGTCACTTTTGAGTGAATTTTCACTTATAAGTGTACTCAAACGTGACGTCATGCGACTTTTCAAATCAATATATCTGCAATGTTTATATTATGTGAAAAAAGAAAAAATACGTGTCCAATACTTTTTGATAATCTACCTGATAAACGAAGAAAAAAAAAGTAGTCATCATCCCTATTATCAGAGAAAATAATTATCTTGATAATTTGCAACCCTGCTTTTCAGGCTGCGTCGTCTGAATAAGCAACGCGGCCTGAAAGGGATGCGAAACGTCATAAATAAAGAAATCAGTGCATCTTTACCGTTGAAACTTGTTTTATTTAATGAGTGGTATGCGTGAAAACCTAAGAAACAAATATCGTAATCCTATATTATTAGAGTCCCGTATTAATCAAACGCGGGCAGCGCATATTTCCGTGATCGGCGCGGCGGTAGGACGGCATTAGGGGCTAGTGAGCGAGCGAACGAGTGACTTTATACGTCTATGTGGTGTGCGCAGGTCTCCGTCGCCGGAGCCCATCTACTCGACGGACGGGAAGCGGCTGAACACGCGCGAGTACCGCACCAGGCGCAAGCTGGAGGAGGAGAGGCACCGCCTCGTCACCAGGATGCACCAGATCAACCCCGACTTCAAGCCGCCGCCGGACTACAAGTATGCGCCGCTAACACTACACACCTCTCTCTGGCCGGTCCCTCCGAGGATCGTGGTCAGCATGCTGGTTGCATCCGGAATGGATGATCTGCCTCCACCGGTTTCCGTCCAGCGCGTCTCTCACAACCGTATAAAATTTGGACGACGACGTCGATCGATCGATCAAATCGTTTATTGCACCATGTTGTTACATTGATCTTAGATAGAAATTATAATTATAGATACAAACATGACCCTGCTAGGGCATTGCAAAATACTAAATAAACATAAACATTATCTTAACGTCATGAACGTATTCTATATTAACATTATTTATTGATTGTCACTATTTAAAAATTATCATTATTCAGTAATTGGTTATTAATAATTTATTAAGATTATTCATTTAAAAATTCTCGCAGCGAATAAAAACATTTTTTAACAAGATATTCCTTTAGCATTAACTTAAATTTATTTGTTTCGATCTCTTCTTTAATATTTCTAGGTAACTTGTTATAGTCCGTTTTTTTTACGAAAGAGTACCTTGTAATCCGACATATTACAGATCCAACGATAAGATTACAAATCATACTTTGTTATGTACCTATGTCAAATTTAGTAAATTAAACAACACAATAGAAAGATTACGTTTTATTATAAAAGTAACGTCATTAATGCTATAGAATTTACAAAAAAATATAAAAAACAATACCCTACGCGTCGAGCACAGTAGTGATGGTGCGTACAAGTTGTATAACTTGTTCAATCGTCAATTAGCGAATACTTGTATGTAATAGACGATGTCGGATTATAGGGGGTGCCGCATTAGCCAGGGGCCGGATTACCGGGGCTCCACTGTATTTAATAAAACTTATTTACTAAGATTAAGTGAGAAAAGACATCAATTTTTTTTATTAACATTTATTTGCTAAGATTGAGAAAAAAAAAACACCGAATTTTAATAATATTTATTTATTAAGACCGTGAGAAAAAACATTAATCAGAATCTAGCTCTTCTATTCCGCTCATTTCTGCTTTATCACCGGAGTAGTTATGAATAATCATGCATTATTACTAGGTCACACGACACACGATACGAACATGCATCCTTTATGTAAACGAAAGTTTGAAATCGAGTTTCTGAACGCAACTTAAAGTGACATTTGGTTGACGATTTATTAATTATCAATATTTATTATTGTTTATTTACAAATATTTATTATTGTTCATTACAAAATACAATTTTTATTCTAGAATTAGCAGAGTGCTAAAAAAGGGTTCCAAGTTTTTTTTTTGCAAACCGTACTTTTCAAGCGACATTTGACAGATAGAGGTCATTGACTTTCCTATTCTTATTTGAATCGCTTTATACTACAACGTACATAACAGCGCGAGGAGCTCGATGGCGCGTTAGGTTAGCGTTCAGCTCATACAGGTATAAGAATTGAGTGGGGAAGGCGGCTCTAAAAGTGTCAGTCTAGTAGAAAGAGAAAGAAGATGAGAGACCGCTAGCTATCTCTCTCTCTCTTGTGACGCATGGCATCCAATGGCATCGCATCGAAAGAGTAAGATGCTTACCGTTGCCAATGCGCATGCGCGATTAGAGAGAAAAGCTAGCGGTCTCTCATCTTCTTTCTCTTTCTATTAAAGGACACTTCCACTTGTAGTAGAGTCTATATCTCCCCTACTCTATTCTTATACCTCTATAGTTCGGTTGCGATCGTTAAAGTTAAGCAACTTTCGCAGTGGTCGGTCATTGGATGGGTGTTACTATCTCAATCTCCTCCGTGCTTCGGAAGGCACGTTAAGTCGTTGGTCCCGGCTGCATATTCAGTCGTTAACACCCACCAATCCGCACTTGACCCGCAAGGTGGGTCCTGGCCCAATCTCCCTATTCTATCCGTAGGCTATCTAGGTCTATGCCCCAGCAGTTGGGACATTAATAGGCTGGTGATGATGGTGATGATGACAACACGGAACCCATGCAGACAATGTACTCGAAAAAAGTGTCAATTCGCGTAATGGTCGCACACACATTGGTGTCGATTCTATATTTTTGTTACCAAGGTAACTCAATTATTATGACGTCAATACCGTACAGCAATATGGCATCTATTGCGTCCAGTGTTATCGTAACGTCACTACGTATATTTTTAAAACCCATCGATTAAATTAAAAAATAAAATGATTTTTTGATAGCATACAAGCTCCTTAGAATTTAATTGATATATATTTGGAAATGGTTGTAATATATGATTGCAGGCCGCCCATAATCCGCGTGCACGACAAGGTGATGATCCCGCAGGAGGAGCACCCCGACATCAACTTCGTGGGGCTGCTCATCGGCCCGCGCGGGAATACGCTCAAAGGTATCTATTTACAACTTTACGACAATTACTATCTATATGCTGGATGATAAACAACAATTATTTCGCCCCAAACTAGTGCTTTGGAAGCTAAAGAACGAATAATATGATATGGTTTTCATAATGGTCAGCAGTGTTGGGCAAAATGTAATTAACTTCAAATTAACAATTTCAATTTCAAATTGTAATTGGTGACTTTAATTACAAATTACTTGAAATTATTGAAATGTAATTCAATTAACAATTACAATTAGCAATTGTTATTGTTAATTGCAATTACTCAATTACTTATATATAATCTCTTTTAATGACGAGGTAGTATTTTAAATAAAACTATTATATTATGATTTATCAAATGTTTATTTACGAAATAGATCAGATAAATTGTGTAATTATAACCACCTTTTTTAAAATTAAGACAGTAAATGTTTAATTTATTTTAAATTAGACATTAATACTACTCTTTGTTCAAACATTTGATTAGAAAGTTTGTAAGATTTTGGTAAGTTAATCAATGTAGCATATGAGAACAATCAATCAAAATAAAGGTGCATGCCGCCGAGAGACTAGAAAAGGGATAGGTAGCTGTGTAGGTACAGGTAACGAGGCACACACTTAGACACTCATAAATTCATGGCAAATCATACACTAAAACTTTGTTTGTGTTGTGCTTGTTGTGCTGCGTACGGGGATCAAGCTAATAACCGCTCAATTTTAGTAGTTTATTATGTTGCCCTTAAAAAGTAATTGAGTAATTTGAATTACAAACTAATGTAATTTAAATTACTTCGGACCTAAGTAATTGAATTACAGTAATTTCAAATACATGTAATTTCAATTAAAGTAATTAAATTACTATTCATTGAATTAGTAATTAAATTACAAAAGTAATTAATTACGCCCAACACTGATGGTCAGTGCATCCGCCCGGATAGCGGAAACATGTCCGCAACTTGGCCCCATCGTGAAATTTTTTCTAGTAAAATTTTCTTAAGACTTAATCATTTCTTTTGTCACACAGCCATGGAGAAGGAGACCGGCGCCAAGATAATAATCCGCGGCAAGGGGTCCGTGAAGGAGGGTAAAGTGGGCCGTAAGGACGGCCAGCCGCTGCCCGGCGAGGACGAGCCCCTGCACGCCTACATCACCGCCACCAACGCGGACTGCGTCAACAAGGCCGTCGAGAAGGTGACGTATATGTATACGTATACGTATACGTGTGTAGTGTACTGTGGGCCGCAAGGACGGCCAGGACGAGCCCCTGCACGCCTACATCACCGCCACCAACGCGGACTGCGTCAACAAGGCCGTCGAGAAGGTGACGTATATGTATACGTATACGTATACGTGTGTAGTGTACTGTGGGCCGCAAGGACGGCCAGGACGAGCCCCTGCACGCCTACATCACCGCCACCAACGCGGACTGCGTCAACAAGGCCGTCGAGAAGGTGACGTATATGTATACGTATACGTATACGTGTGTAGTGTACTGTGGGCCGCAAGGACGGCCAGGACGAGCCCCTGCACGCCTACATCACCGCCACCAACGCGGACTGCGTCAACAAGGCCGTCGAGAAGGTGACGTATATGTATACGTATACGTATACGTGTGTAGTGTACTGTGGGCCGCAAGGACGGCCAGGACGAGCCCCTGCACGCCTACATCACCGCCACCAACGCGGACTGCGTCAACAAGGCCGTCGAGAAGGTGACGTATATGTATACGTATACGTATACGTGTGTAGTGTACTGTGGGCCGCAAGGACGGCCAGGACGAGCCCCTGCACGCCTACATCACCGCCACCAACGCGGACTGCGTCAACAAGGCCGTCGAGAAGGTGACGTATATGTATACGTATACGTATACGTGTGTAGTGTACTGTGGGCCGCAAGGACGGCCAGGACGAGCCCCTGCACGCCTACATCACCGCCACCAACGCGGACTGCGTCAACAAGGCCGTCGAGAAGGTGACGTATATGTATACGTATACGTATACGTGTGTAGTGTACTGTGGGCCGCAAGGACGGCCAGGACGAGCCCCTGCACGCCTACATCACCGCCACCAACGCGGACTGCGTCAACAAGGCCGTCGAGAAGGTGACGTATATGTAAACGTATACGTATACGTGTGTAGTGTACTGTGGGCCGCAAGGACGGCCAGGACGAGCCCCTGCACGCCTACATCACCGCCACCAACGCGGACTGCGTCAACAAGGCCGTCGAGAAGGTGACGTATATGTATACGTATACGTATACGTGTGTAGTGTACTGTGGGCCGCAAGGACGGCCAGGACGAGCCCCTGCACGCCTACATCACCGCCACCAACGCGGACTGCGTCAACAAGGCCGTCGAGAAGGTGACGTATATGTAAACGTATACGTATACGTGTGTAGTGTACTAGCGGCCGCCAAAGACGTCGTTCGCGTTAACTTTACCTTTTTTAGAATCTCTCAAGAACTCCTAAATTTTTTAGGGATGAAAAGTAGCTCGCGTCTCTTTCTGGGTCATATTCTGCCTGTATGTAAAATTTCATTCCAATCCGTTCAGCTGTTTTTCCTTGATGGAGTAACAGACATACAAACTTTCACGTTTATATAGAATTATTAGGATGCACTCGTATATACTAGCGGTCCGTCCCGGCTTCACATGTTTATTACTCTTCAAAAATATATGAAGTATGTCGTTGCGTTTGTCCATTCAGATCAAGGAGGTGATCCGTCAAGGCGTGGAAGTGCCCGAGGGCCAGAACGACCTGCGCCGCATGCAGCTGCGGGAGCTGGCGCAGCTCAACGGGACCCTGCGCGAGCACGACGCGCAACGCTGCGCCAACTGCACCGCCACCGACCATAAGACATGGCTGGTGAGTATACACTCTGTCCGACGATTTAGAGTGAAGGAAAAGGAAAGGAAGGGAAGGCGGCTCTGAAAGTGTCCGTCTAGTAGAAAGAGAAAGAATATGAGAGACCGCTAGAGATATTCTCTCTTGTGACGCATGGCATCCTGAATGAACGTTAGAATTGTCCTATTCTGAAAAAATAAGAAGTGTTGCTTCGTTGAGCATTTTTATTATTTGGATAGTTTTTATTAACGTGACAACGTCTTAAATTAGGTTGCGGCTGGGAGTCACTTATGAAAAAGTGTAACGCTCGGTAACGTTACGATGAGTCTCTCGTGTTAAGTTTAAGTTTACATGTACAATGTTTTAGTAAACAAAATATATTTCTATAGTTAAAATTTGTGCAATTCTTATTTTCATTCAATTCCTTGTTCCTATTGTGCAATTTAATTATATTCATATCAATAAATATTCTACCGAGAAAAAGACGTTGTCACGTAAAACCGACTTTACAGGCAACCATTTTTTTTTGGTAAATTTTTGGTTACTGTAGAGTCCGCAAAAACTATATTTTAGGGGGGCCTATATTTGTGCTTTTTTGATTCGGTTTCTTGATCAGGAAATCCAATTCGGAGATCTAATTGCACGTTTCTTAATACAAAATGTCCAGCAAGCACCCACTATTCTTATTTTTTCAGAACGCGTTATCCACTCGCTTTAGCGAGCTCCTTATTAATGCGCCATTGAAAACAATCTTGTCTTTTCGATCAATATTAATCTATTGATATAATATATAATTCGTGTCATAAAAAAAAGGAATCGCAATGCCTACGCAAGGCGTTCTCTCTGTCTCGCACGTTATTTAGGATAGAACGTGCGAGAGGGACAGAATGTCGTACGTCGTCATTTGCAATTCGTTTCTTTATCGACCCGACATGTATGCGTAAGTATCTTTGTTATTGTACAGTGTCCGGACAAACCGAACGTGACGAACAGTATAGTTTGCTCGTCGTGCGGCGGCGCCGGACACATCGCGCGGGACTGTCGCGCGCGACGACCCGGACACCCGCCCCCGCCCGCCGCTGATAAGGTGACCGACACATATACACGCACACACATTCACACTCAAACATACATACACACACACACACGCGCGCGCGTGGAGCCCTTACTGTAGGGGTGACCCCCTACCTAATGATATTAGGATGAAGGAAGGAAGACAACTGATCTTGTTGAATGCATGACGAGCATTGATTTATTATGTAAAATATGTGTTTTTATATAGTTAATACAATGACGTATTATGATGCATTTCTTAGATACAGCTACGTGATTAAAGTAGGTTATGCTTGCTCTGCAGATATACAAGATTACTGTACGTGACTCGTACACTTACCATTATGGCAGGACGAAGTTTCCACCTCTTGCTTCATTCGCTGAATAAGCATGGCGAATTGTTTCAATGCTCACTACATTATTTTTTTAAATTCGTTGTTTAGAATCTATTGTAATAGCTTTACATAATTAGAGACTAAAAAATTACGTATGCTATCCTAAATTTCTTAATTCAAATATTATTAGTAAAAAAAATAGAATGAAAATAATACTTAAAACAAGGTTGTATGAAATTATTAATCTTTAATTTCACAATGGGGAAAAATCTTTAAAAAATTGATGTTTTTTTCTAAATTCTTCCTTTGATGCGGGTCGAAAAACCACCAGTCAAGTCATGATCTCGCGCTATCGCCACGTAGATCGATAGTTTGTTATTGACTTCGCTCACCTGCTTTTACCATGCTCATAGCTTCGTGGCGACAGTCGCATGTGTGACAGAGGATAGTAACACAAGTTATCTAAACTGTCAAATTTACCAACTTATTTTTCGATTAAGATTGATGTTACAGTTTCACTAAACAAACACAGGAAGTGACAAAAGAGCGACGTAAGGCAGTAATCGATAAGCGAAGATTTTTGAAGCAAGCGAAAATTTGTTCTGGGGACTATTGTTAGAATATGATTGCGAAACCAGAATCTGACCATTGGTAATTTTTGGAATCAAACAGAATGAAACTTTATCATGGGTTCGTAGGACACATTTTCGCTTGCTTCAAAAATACCCACTGGTCGCTGTCTGTTTAACAACGCTATTTTATAAAATATTTATATTTTTATAATTCATTTTATTAATAATACTTGTTGTGTAGTGACTATTTATGTGAAATTTTTGCGAAGAGTACAGGTAATGTCATTTGAATCACTAATTAGTCATCTAGTGTATTGTTGATTGACGAAAGAATCTTACAAATGTGTTTGCGTGTTGTGTCGTCGTCCTTGACAAGTTATTTGGAGTAAAATTACTTATTTATTGTGTTTACATAGTTTATAAATACAGAGTGGCATACATAGGAAAAGGTAGAGCAACGACACTTATTATTTTAACACAAAAGAACCATATCCTAAACATAATAGGCCATGCCACAGTGACGCGCAGTTCCGTTTTATTCGGAAAAAATGGGAACATAATCATTTTTCTAAGCTCAAATTTTTAATAACTGACATTCATTGCCACATAACTCATATTTGCCATAATTAAGCCGAATCGTTACCAATTATTCACAACATTATTTTAATTAGAAATAAACCCGCGTAGTCAACCAACAAGCAATAACATTTGACATTTCGGAGACCTCACGCTACACTAGCGCCTCCAGCGGCGGATTCATACGCGATAGCCCTCATTCTCTTAATTAAATTTGACAAAGTGTATCTTCGTTATTCTCTATACGGAATGAAAACGAGAGACTCGTGTTAATTTAATTTAAGTTCAGAGAATCATGACAGAATCCACACCATTATGACATCTATTTATAAAAATAATAATAATAATGCGCACCAAGTTGGTTTAACACGTTGTATCGGTGGCAGGCCAAGATCGACGAGGAGTACATGTCCCTAATGGCGGAGCTGGGCGAGGCGACGCCGTCGGGCCCGGGTGGGGGCGGGGGCGGGGGCGGGGGCCCCAACGGGATGGGGGGTGGCGCGGGCCCCGGGCCCCGGCGCTACCAGCCCTCCCTGTTTGCGCCCCAGCATGTCGCGCGACCCATCATGCCGCCGCCGCGTATGTATACTAACATTTGTTAACATCGTGCCAATCTTCACATTTTCATTGTTTTTAAATAAGTTTTTGAAGTGAAACTTCTTTATCGGCGTTGGAAAAAAATTTACCGTCACATTTTTATTCGGTTACGCGTCACGTTTTTTGGTTACGCGCCATCTTTTTTTTAAAAGAGCACTATTTACCTCATCCGAACAATTGCTTTTTCTGTCAACTTTAAAAAAAAAAAAGTATCGACAGCAAATATTCGTGTTTCACACAAGGTAAGGTAAGGTGTAGTTATACCCCTTTAGTGGGTGAGTTTTTGAAAAATCTTAGCGCACGCCTATATATATATTTCTGGAAAGTTGCATGTAGATCATTTTTCGAAAAAAATAAGGCCATAAAGAAGTTTCACTTCTTACGTGTGTACACTAGTACACGCACACATTTTTTTTTGATGTGTAACATCTGTCGCTTTCCTGCAATTACTGGGAGTGATTTCGTGAAATGGGACGGAAGTGTGTAACAGGAAGTTGCGAAAGAGCGCGATGTTTGATTTGATTTTAGAACATAATGTTCAAATGGCTTATTCCTTTTGTGGTAGGTTTTATTTCCTTTTTATTTATTTTTAAGGTGAGGTTTCAAATGTTACACATCGAACGAGACTACCGTAAGGCTCGCTCGTTTTTATTTTTGTTTTGCTGTTGACCAACGTATTAGTAATGATATGGAATACGACCTGCGCTAACGAGTGTTATGAAATATGCATCTTTAAATTAATTGAAATAAGCTACGGAAATCATAAAAATATACCTTATCGGCAAAAGTTTTTAATATATTACTAAATATTATATTGCGAGCCCATTAAAATACTCATAAACTGAAAGGGTTGGCTACAAGGCAATATACTGAGGCATGTCATTGTCGTATCCAAAGTTCATAGAGCAACGCTGTTGTGAGTGAGGTTGCCAGATGCTGGCTTATCAATAGGCTAGTTGACTCGTGTCGAATTTTATTAAATAAATATTTATTTCTCAAAGTATTTGGTCTAAGGAACCTAAATATATCGAATTCACTTCATAAAAGCAGAAGATTGGTGTAGAAAATTAATTTTAAAAAATGGGTGCGTGTACTTATGTAGGCGCGTGAGAAGTTATCCTTCTTTGGCATCGTTTAAAATTAGTTTTTAATTGCATGCAAATAATTAATTACAATAAATTAATAAAAAGTCTGGAAAAGGACACAGTCAATAAAGTTCAGTTTTAATTTGAAAAAATAAATAAATAATCAAAATATTCAATTAAAATCGCTACTGAATATAATTTATTAGAACATATGTGATTTGCACTTGTATGAAACTCAAACACGTATTCCGAATATACAAACTAGAAACATGTGGATAAATATTATAAACTAGCGGCCCGCCCTCGCTTCGCTTCGGTGTAGAGCTGAAGTGTAGACTACAGTTTTTGTTCTCAGGCTTGTATTATACACAATGACATTCATCTATGATTCTTCTTATACCTGCATGCAAAGTCTCAGCCCGATCAGTTTAAAATTGATAAAGTTTCATACAAACTTTCATTCCATATTTTATCCCCTTGGGATTTTCTTTATATTTTTTTCCGTAAGAACCTTGTACAGAGTATTAGAAAACTACAAAAAAAAAAACAGCCAAATGGGTCAAGCCGTTTTCATGTTATGTCGTGACAACGGAAAACGGGTTTTATTTTTATATATATAGATATGAACACAGTCTCTGTTCTAAATTCAAAACTCGTAATTTTTTGGTGTTAATTTTTTGTGTTACAGATGCGCGCGCATGTTAAAATTTCACTCTTATAATTTTTTTATAACGCGCCTAAAGAAGTATAACTTCAAAAATTTTTTTTAGTCTATACTTTTTAAACACTAAAAACGCTGTTCGCCACATCCGCCATGATTGTGACGTCTCTTTGGTAGTAAACAACTAAATGTCATTCATACATAACCTTAAAAACTGATAATAAATGAAGAGACTTAAAATATTTTTCAATGAGTACTTACATCAAAGTGATTTCCGCAAAAATAAATTTACTATGAGTCGATAAAGTTGCAAGATTCCTTTTAGCAAGTTCTAACTAAGTATTGCGTAGGTTAATTTCTTTCGGCACTTTAATCCACAACTTTCCTGGAGTCTTCAAGGATGTGTTTTTACATTCTCGTACAATACAATTATGATAATTACTATATTTTTTGTGGTATTTATTAGAAATAAGGTTTTTTAGATTATTTTCTACGCGCTTACGAGTTTTTGTTTTCCACCCTGTTGACGTCATAGCATAGATAATCTATAAACTATAATGGCCGACAGCGTTTTTGTATGTTCATAAAGATTCTATTTTAAAATTAAAGATTTGCAGTTTTCTAGGTCTCAAAAAAATACAATACATTTTTTTTTCGGTCTAATAGAACATTTATTAACAATTTAAAACCTTTTTCCAAAAAGGGTCAACTAACCTCTATTCAGGGACATCTGCAGCCCGGCACCAGTTATTAGATATTAACAAGTATTGATTTATAGCGGGCAGCATGATGCCGCTGCCGCCGGGCGGATTTCCGCCGCAGATGCCGCCCGCACCCGCGTCCGGCCCCGGCCCCGGCCCCGGACCCGGCCCCGGCCCCGGCCCGGCCACGTCTGCGCCGGCGCCTGCGCCTTGGCTCGGTAACTATACCACACCACACCTAAAACAACACTCAACTAAATTAAAAAAATATGTTGCACTGCCCACACATTAAAAGTGAAACTTATTATCTTAAATAGCCTAATACTAGGCTCCATTCCCCTACGCCTTATACACATATATAAGGTGTAGGGGAATGGAGTCACTCATATTATATGTCTTTATATATATTTATAATATACGCTCGTAGCGTTTAGTCTTCGTTAGTTACCGTCCAACTTGCATGCTCATCAGAAAGAGTTTCGCACGCATCCCACACACACACACTTATATATATATATATATATATATATATATATATATCACGAGCGTCACGTGCTCGTGACCCATTTCCGTTTCATATTTTCCATAGGATTTTTCCATTTATAGCCTCCGAAAGGAAGTTTCACTTCAAAAAAAATTTGACTGTTTGATTGTTTACCGTATTTAATTACAACGATATATAAAAATGTACGATTTTTGTAGAAAGCTGAGAAACTATTGCTTTCAAAAAGCATAAAATAGAAGTGTAGGATTATATCGGGTATGGAACAGGAAGTAGTAGAGCAGTCACATAGTATGTGTACACACATTTTAAATAAACGACGTATTTTGTGAGTCTATCGGTAAAATGTCTTCCAAAATAAGTAAAGGCTACGAACTCTTACGACTACCATTCTGTTTATTTTAATAACAAAGATATTTTAACTTAGCGTGAAAACAGTTAAACAAGAAGTACAAGACTAACTGAAGCTCGATTTGATCTTCCTGTTTCAAGTCAGAATTAAATATGGTTTATATATGAGGATTATTCATAAGTAGTATTTTGGTTATTTTAAATTTTACTTTAATTTGCGAGTAACCCACATCTCATTATAATTGTTCAATTCCGCAATTTATTTATTTATTTATTTAAAGGTGTACTTACAGCTAAACATATTAAAACATTAAAAAATTAAAAAATACTTATTCTAAGACATATATGCAAGCCTTTACAAGCACACACAACATTCAATTCAGAAAAGTACAATGTAATTAATAATCAATTATAATAAATGGAAATGTATATTTTTCTAGTGATTAAACCTTTGTTATTAAGGGGTAATAGGGTATTTGATAAGTTTTAGAAAACGATCTTACGTAATTGAATAATGTTTATGGAGTCCGTAAAAAGTGGATATTCATCATTCTGTTGTATATTTCAGTTAAAGTAACCAAATCAAAAACTCCATTTTCAAGTTGCAGCTAAAACGTTTCTCTGGACAATATGGCGTCTTACTAGTGTGTGACGTTGTTTTTGGTAAAAATAGTAAAAACCCCTGCCAATATTCATTCTAAACACAGATGCTAACAATTGGCACTTTATTTTTAACACTGTCAAATACCCTATGTAGCGTTCTAATGAAAGAATTTCCTACTAAAAATTTGTCCCGTAGTTTCTTACTATTCGGTCACTAACATTTATTTCATGGACAGCAAAATTATGGAAGATCTGAGACGGGATCCACGGTGCTCCTTCAGTGTTACAAAAACATGGTCCACTTCAAGCGAGATTTAAGTAGAGTGTTCCACGAAAGGCAGCGACATTATCATGATAATATTGTTACAGCGGGCGTGGCAGGCAGCCAGCCGCCTCCTCCGGGCAGCGGGCCGCCGCCGCCGCAGCACGGGCCGCACGGGCCGCAGCTGGGGCCGCACGGGCCGCACCCGGGGCCGCACGGGCCGCACCCGGGGCCGCACCCGCCGCACCTGCCGCACCCGCATCACCCGCACCACCCGCACCAGCACCAACACCAGCACCAGCACCCGCCGCCGCACCACATGCCGCCCCACCACATGCCGCCGCACCAGGTCAGTGCCCCCCCCTACGCGACTGCCGATCTGCGATCTATCGCTAGAAAAGACGCGCGCCTCGATATCGCCAGAACCTCAACTTTCGAGAGGAAAGGCGGGCAATGTTTTTCCCATACGAACGCTCTCGATTTTTATCACTGAACAATTTAATTTTTTTGTCTAAAAATATAATTTTACTCATTCTATCCTCTTTCACCTTCGTTTTGACGTGATATAGTCTTATAAATCGATGAACACCGGCTGCACGCGCGAAAAAGTGTCACGTTCCACCTGAACCTGAGCATGCAAGCGATAGAGAGGCCCGATCGACTCAAGCTGAGGCTTGTACACGTTTATCTCATTCCTCACGTGACATCAGCAATTAATTACTACCAATTGTTTTATTATTATCCAACAACACCAAATATCATATTTTCTCTCGAAATTTGGTGCAATTTTACCCTCTCAAGTCTTGAACGATAAAATTTAATTATTTCCCCCTATTATAAAGAAATACCTTATCTTCAATCAAGAAATATCCCTCCAAAAATGTTTGTTTTTAAATAAATTTGCACGTGCGCTTTTTATTCTTTGGGACCTTATCTTCCTGATGGTATACAAAAAATATAGATAATGAAGTGATTCCTATTCTACCTTCTTCTACAACTCCTATGGAAAAGAAATTACTGCCAATATTGTACGAAATGAAGTACAAACTTACATTATTTGCAGGGCGACAACAAGATGGGTCCGCCTGGTGTCCCGGGAGTGCCGCCGCCGCCTCCGGGTAAGTGCTGGCTGATTCAATTATACTTTATTTCGATAGCGACATATATGTATATATAACTTCATGAGTTATCTCATATTGAAGTCATTTTTCAATTTGACGACTGTATATGGAAAGGATTTTTTTGCTGTTTTTGCAAGTTTTATCATTATGGTACTCCGCTTCTATTGATTATAACTTGTTGTTATTAGATTTTCTCGGATCTATCCAACACAAAAACAATTATCCCATTTGAACCTGTATTCCAAAACGTGGACTGGTCTCGGTTTAAACCTAATGTGGAATGTCTTCTGTTTAGCAAACAAAAGTGACAGCATCACTTTTAAAGCAGATTTAACTTTACTCAACGTTTTGTAATAAGGGGGTTACATATTTTTATTGTGATACTTATACAGGGTGGCCTGTCACGGCGGCTTAGTCACACGGAGGAAAACTATATTGAATATTGAAGTTAGGATATTTTACTAAAAGAAGTCATCTTTTTATTTTTAATATTAACTAGAACTCCGGGAAAGAAACAAAACCGGGAATCAAATTCGCGAAATGTGAAATAAAAAAACATGTATTTTATGATAACTGTCGAAAGGGTCATGAGTGAATGAATCACGAAATTTGACTTTTTTTTAATAATTGAATACAAAGTAAAATAAAAATTAAACAGTGCTAAATTTGTGTATCGCGTTTTTACGTACTTATAGTAAGGAAGTCCTGTTTATTAAGTGAGCAGGTACTAGTTAGTAAATACTTTGAAATGATAACATTAGCTGTTGGAATCATGGAAAAGTAAGAGAAAATTTTCCTGAACCAAATTTGAATTTCATGGTCTTCTTTACATTTAAAATGCTATGTTATTTAGAAAAAAATATGTTTTTTTTTTCAAATTTCACGAATTGATACCCATTTTTAGCAGGCGATTTTAAAAAACTATGAATGTAGTTCTTGATATTGTTAATTATACAATGACGTCTTCTTTCTGTAAAATATCCTATCTTTAATATTTAATACACTTTCGCTTTGTGTGACAAATTCGTGGGACGCCCTGTATACACAACATAGGGTCTAACTTTTAATGTTACTTACCCTCTATACACTATACTAGCGGCCGCCCGCGACTTCGTACGCGTGGAGTTAGTTAGAAATGAAGGTTTACCGCTCTTTCCCCGGAGGTGATAGCGTGATAATATGTAACCTATATGTTGATCAGATTTCTTAATAATATTCGTGCCAAATTTGAAGGAAATCCATGCAGTACTTTTTCAATTTATCCCGGACATACATACAGACAAACAGGCAAAAATTCTAAAAACTATATTTTTAGCTTCGGGATCGATCGTAGATCACACCCCGAGTATTCTTTTAAAAAAGTATTCAATGTACAGTTTTGACTTTGGGTCGTTCAAGTATTACGTAAGCACTATAGGGGGGCAGGGGGTTTTTTTTGTGGCTTATTTTTGATGACATGGGGGGTCGGGGGTCGAGATAGTGATTACGTCAGCATTGTGGATTCGGGTGTCATGGACTGAAGATTGTATACATATACCAAAAAATCGAAAGAAGTTGGTTTTGTTCGTAATAGGACCTTACTCAATGTTGAATACTGTGTCAAAATAGTTTCTTTATATGAATAATAAGTGCGTTAAAGTCCTCTATCCTAAGCCTATTTAAGTACTGCTGCCCATGAAGCTCATAAAAGCTCATGAATGAATAAAAATAAACAGAATACATTTAAGGAAAAATGCATAGTTACCAATGTTTACGTAAGCACGTGAGGGGGGGAGTGAGAGCTTTGCTTACTTTTGCTGACGAGGGGGAGGAGGGGGTAAATAATTGTAATAAATCTGCTTACGTAATACTTGAAGTCCCTATCCTACAGTTTTATTATATGTGTAGATGGTCTGAAAATAAAGGATTATTATTATTATTACGTGTGTCTGTCCGTAGGCGCAGCCCCTGGCCCGGGCGGGTGGCGCGGGTTCCCGTGGGGCGCGCCGCCCTTCCTGGCGCCGCCGCCCCCGCCCCCGCCGGCACCCGCGCCCGCGCCCGCGCCCGTCTCCTCCTCATAGGGGGGGGGGGGGGGAGGGAGGGTCAAACTAATACCAGGAAGAAACGCCATTGAGTGTTAAATTTATTTAACACAGTGTTAAATTTATTTAACACTCAATGGCGCCATTTTAAACCGATGGTAGTGTGCTGTGTTTGATTCGAAGAGTTAGCTGCGCATGGGTACGACAGGAGAGACAATCGGCGCGAAGCTCTGTTTCCCGCCAAGACATCTTAATTTTTACTTCAGCGCAGGAACGGGCAGAACTAAAGTTTTGGGCCGCGACTTATAACATGTGTTGTATATACACCCCCGCCTCTCTAGCACGACCACCGAAACGGGATATGATAAAGCGATATATCGGCATTAACTATCACACTACTGTTTGTTTCTTAGATTTTCGACACATTACTCATTAAAGAAAACTAGTTTTAACGGGTTAATGCACGAAAGGACCATGCAAATCTTGCCTTTGTCTTTGGGCCCAAAAAAATATGTTGTGCAGATTTGGGACATAGACTACGATGTATATATAATAAAACCTTTAACTTTTGTTATGGCGTCGACAAATTGGCCCCAACAAAAAAAAAGTTATAATATGCTGAAGTATTAATTCTGCTGTAATGAAATATATTATTTTACGTCTAAAACCCCTTTTTGAATCTAAGCTGAAACCATACGTCGCCTCGACGGGCGACTCGTCAGACATCAGGCAAAACCCATTTTAGTATTGTCATTGCTGTTCTCTTTCTCTTTTATCTATTTTTTATCATTGGATGTTTCATTCGTACACGACGACCGCTCTGACCCTTTTTTACCTGGCGTGTGCCGTTGCCTGATGTCTGACGAGTCGCCCGTCGAGGCAACGTATGGTGTTAGCTTAGATTCAAAAAGGGGTTTTAGACGTAAAATAATATATTTCATTACAGCAGAATTAATACTTCAGCTTCAGCATATTATAACTTTTTTTTGTTGGGGCCAATTTTGTCGACGCCATAACAAAAGTTAAAGGTGTTTATTAGATCTACATCGTAGTCTATGTCCCAAATCTGCACAACATATTTTATTTTTTGGGCCCATTCACTTGCATTGTCCTTTCTTTATTTAATGACGTATCGCAGCCTTTTCAGGTCTGCATCGTCAGAATAATGATTTTTTATTTGTCAGACTACTGTCAAACTCCACAGTAGTCTGACAGTTAAGGCCGATATATCGCTTTATCATATCCCGTTTCGGTGGTCATGCTGGAGGGGCTGAACTTACCTGACTAAGTAAATGAAACATACGTAAATGATATGATACTGTCCGTCACTCGACAAATAGAAATGTTTCAAGTCTACTTTCTATAGTCATTATGAATTCGTAATGAGCAAAGTGCATCACCAATCTTCTCGAAACCATGTATCGCTACGTAAATGTATTTATGGCTGGTTTTAAATTAAATTTATAGCACAGTGTGACCTAAACCCGCACTTTACGCACGCTTTTCCGTGACCTAAGTTGCCTATTTCTGCACGGTGTGTAAATGAATTGACCAACTTCACTCATGTAGAATTAGTACATTACGATACGCGTAACTTAACTTTACTATGCCAATCGAGGAATAAACGTTCATGGATACATTGAAATTCTATTTTGTTGTAATGATATTTGATTTTTTCCTTTTGAAATATCTATTCTTATATCTATCTATTACTTTCAAAATGGTAATCTGAACCGGAATTCTTTCTTTTCAGAGTTTGACTTGCAGTCTGTATTGCAATTCTTTGTGATTGCAATACATGAATTTTACTTTCAAAACACTAATCGCATCGTTCAAAACACGACCCCCCCCCCCCCCCTCTTGCCCGCGTCCGGGGCGGGTTTATGTCACACTTGCTATAAAGAGTATACGATACTTGTGGCCTAAGTTGTCTATTACTGCACGGCGTGAAGTTAGCGCCCGAGCGGAGCGAGGCAGGTCAAGCAGGCAGGCAACTTAGGTCACGCGTATCGTAATGTACTATTATATCATCACCTTGTATTTATTGAGTATTTTCATTTGCATGAAGTTCAAAAAACGAAGAATAGGCTTGGATTACTTACTCACATATTTTGTCTCTGATCATCGAATGACAAATGGCACTTGAGTGATTTCAACAAAACACGGCGTAAATAGTCGAAGCTTATTCCTCGTTTATTATATATATTATATTAATGGTAAATGAGTTTTATAATTTAAACCGTAATACCAATTATTCTAATAAATTGAGCAAAATTAATTTGACACTTCTGAGAGTGATGATTTGTTTATTTGAATGTATATTAACTCGTAATTTAATCGACTGTGTAGTACAATGTGTACTAATCTTATTTTTATTATTTGAATGAAACCTAAAATAACTCACTTTTAACGCAAATGAAGTCAATCTGCCATTATCAGTCATGATGTTGACTTCAATAGCTGCAGTAGACAGATTCTACGCATGTTTCATATTAAAGTTCTAAACATTATATAAAATAATTGATAGATTTATCAAGTCAGTCTCATTGAAGGTGCACAGTACGGTTCCACCATGTTGTAGTATAGTGAGCTACCCTCTGTATTCGAATCGATTATGAATTTTGTATATTTACCAATACCCAGCAATAAAATATTTAGTTATAAAACTGTTTTTTTTTCTCTATCCTATAAACCTTCCTAACTTACTAATTTTAAAGCATTAACGGAAAAAGATGACGTCTATCATGAGATACAAGTATTTCCACTACCAGAAAGGAGAGGATAAAGGCCTTCGATAAATCATAATACATAAAATTCACGTATCTCGTGCTCTACACGATTTGAAAGGGCATTGAGAACAAAATTTCCTATTATTATATTATTAGCGTCTTTTGAGCTCTCATACGTGTTCGTGGCCGCACGCGAGTCGCCCACCGCGTGTTATCGCATCTCGCGGCCAAGGACACCTCTACAGCCTTAACCGTCACCAATATCGAAAAGAGTAATGTCCTAAAATGTTCCTTGCTATACTCTACTACGAGGCTTAGATTAAAACAAAGAGGGTAGATACGGTACGCTCATACTAGCATCGAATATGATCTGACTCAACTACATAAGCAACTCTCGCTACGCCTGTATATAAACATCAATTGAGCGAACGAGACAGAACTATACGCTTCAACGCAGCGTATTGGTGTCCTTTTCTTGCTTACAAAATGGCGATTACGTAAATAATATTCACGACAAACCGTGATTTTTGAGAAAAATATGTTTTCACAGTTTTATGAATGAAACGTGTTGCCGAGGTATTTGATTTTGAACTATTTGTGTTCTTTATAAAAACATCGAAGGCATTGTTTTATCTTCATAACAGAATATACGCAATATTGTTAAATTGAGTGTACATGCAGCGTGTTTAATGTCAAATTGTGACTAAAGCGAATTATGGTCGTGGACCACAATTTAAGCGGATCACTTGAGCCCCGAATGCCGTATCTTCCCTTTTTGTTTAAATCTAAGCTACGAGGTGCTCTTTTTAATATTTTTGAAATTCGGCCCCGTTCTCAAGATATCGGAAATTTTCTGAGAAATCACACGATTTTTCGATTTCCAAAATAGTTTTTACATCTTCTTAGAGCCCTTCAAATTCCGTTTCTTTTGGTCCCTCCTACGTCCTCGTGGCTCTAAACCTCGGAATATCACGGGCGAGACGCACTTTCAGCGAAAATGACAGCCTACTGGAGCGAAAGAAAAATCATTTTCAATATTAATAATACGTAGTGTAACAAGCCCGAATTTAAACTTTTAGATTTAAACAAACAGCAGCATACTTAAGCGACACTGAGCAGTGTTTCAGGGCTTCAGTTGTTATGTTTCGCTAACATGAAAATCATAGCACCTATCTCTACATCTTATGACGCACGTCTGTTTGCCTGTTGCAAGAAGGTCTGGTGCGGCTTGATAGTTACTGTTGAAGCAATCATTTAGGAATATCGCAATCCTTCCAATGTACATAGCATTGTTACCTACAGTCGGAAGCAGAATATGGTATTGTTTGACGACTAAAAATCTAAAACACATAATTACTAGAAACAGTTTCGAGGGACCTTCGAGTATTTCATGATTCTATATAAGCTGCTCTTCGACACGCATGTAATTAGTTTGTTTGCGAAAATCTCTATAGGCCTTGGATTTGTGCAATTCCAGACTTTAATTTAAATCGAGACACTCGAAATTTTATACAGAGGCTCAAGCACTTACTTGATAGCTTCGTAATAGTATCGCATCGTCAGTTTCTATGGAAAATAAGCAGCGCCCCCTACCGGACGTAAGAACAAACTGGCTGATTCCATTTTACTATGACGATAAGATTACAGATCTCTAAAATTGGTGCTTGGGCCTGTGCTTTAGTCAGAACTTCAGAAAGGAACAGGAGGCCTACTCTAATTCAACGAAAAACGAAATTTTGATCGAAATTTCGCAATTTTCGTACTATGTTTCTGGTTCGTTTTTAATTAAAATAATATTCGTCGTCGAAATATAGATTGAGGTGTAGATTTTCTAAGCCTACTCAAAGAAAGCTTCTATTTCATAATTTATCGTTCAAATTAAGCATTACCTTAAATTGACGAAATTAAATTTCGTTTGAACTTCGTTATCGAAAGTTCGTTTCGGAGAATGAGAGTAGACCGCCAGATCCGTAACCTCATCGGCATCAGAAGTCACCTGGAGGAGGAACCCGTGATATCTCGCATTGAAAAAATGCATCTTGATATCAATTATCACCCACACGCCGTCAATATTTATTTCAGTCATTTTGTACAGAACGGTTTAATTTAACTTTAAAATAATGAAATAACCATAATATTTGATCACATTTTTATTTTTTATTAATAATAAATGTACGACAAAGTCGATAGTACACAATGCGTTGTCGTACCAGTAGATCAATTCATTATCGATTCAACTCCAGATGTTATTTATTAAATGCACAAAATATATCTACAAATTCCTTAAGTATTCTACTTGAGATACAATGAAAATATGAACAAGGCGATAAATAATGAATCAAGAATAAATTAAGAGTATGTGTACATAAATGTAATATTATGTCTACCATTACCACAGGACAAAATGGGTTCTAAGGTAGACGAGACAAAGTCTAGCATAACCTACACGTAGAAATGACCACGGTCAACATGTCTATCATGTTCACTTTATTAGCCTGCGCAGACGACGGACTTTATTTATTTATTTAATTAATTATTAGCCTAGCCCCAAAGTAAGCACTGTAAGGCTTGTGTTATGGGATACAAGGGTAACGGATAGAATACATATACTGTACATATATAAGTATACTAGCTAACCCAGCGAACTTCGTACCGCCATAAAAAAATAGGGGTTGGTGGTAGAAAGTTGAAAATTTAGGGATGTATGTATTTTTGTATGATGTATCATAAAAAAATTAAAAAAAAAATATCTAAAATTGAAAAAAAAAATAGGGGTGGATTACCTTTAACATTTAGGGGGATGAAAAATAGATGTTGTCCGATACTTAGACCTACCCAATATGCACACAAAATTTCATGAGAATCGGGAAAGCCGTTTCGAGGGAGTTTAACCACAAACACCGCGACACGAGAATTTTATATATAAGATTTATATATACTTGACATGACTGGAGTACAAATGCGACCTCTCGAGTCCGCGACACCATGAAACCTGTAACTGTACAAACCCCTCTGCCACTGAGGTCTTCAAAGTAAATAAAATTTCCGCCGAGGGCTTGTCACGGATTCAACGCACACGTGGTGCGAATATCTTGAAACTTAGATAAGCGCACGCAATAGAAATAAATATTGTCAGAATACGTCATTGTATTGTACTTAACATGAAGATTAAGAAAGAGAGAAAACGTCTTAAAAGAGAACTAGCAAACCAGTGAACCAAATGTTCACCAAAATCTGAATAAAAAAAAAAAGAAAAGTATTTAATTAATTGAGAACTTCGGAGATTTTGTGCGGTTTCGTTTGAAATTCGTGATTTCTCGAAAACCGGAAGTGCTACGTTACTCAAATCCGGTTTGTAGTCTAATCAGACTATTCTTAACTTATAACTTAAACATTCTCTTTATCTATCTCTTACGGTTTGGCCGCTGAAACAGCACCACAGACAGACGGACGGACAGACTTGTCTAATAGATAAGAGATACTGAGGCCATTTTTTTAAATCGGCTCGAGCGCGCAACGCGGCTTCCTTGTTCGCAGTGTACGTTTTCTGCGCCTAGTCACATGAGTTCTATTTGTATCGGGGATTCCCGCCTACTTTCGTTCTGTCCGGTTTCTCGGCGAACTCGGTTGTTAGGAGGACTTTTTGTACGCGATAGATTTAATCCATCGCGTGCATTACGCGTTGAAGGTGATCTATTTTTCCGGACAAAAACCCGCGGATATAGTCCCTCGTCTGCGCAGGCTAGTTTATGTATTGCCTTTATAAGTAAAGATTGCTAGAACGTGGATGATTCATCAAACTTCAATGTTCACAAAAGCATGAATATTTGAGACCATATTTACATCAGCTCCGCTACCAACGGATGAATACATTACGATATGTTTGATACGCGAACTAATAGAGCAACCAATGCATTACATACTCGAGTATTCACAAGCACTTCAGTCGCCTTAATGCATAAAAATTAAATTTTATATAACACACGAGTGTTTTGTTTCCAAGTAATAAATATATCAGTCAGCTCACTTAATGTTCATCATTGTTATTATATATAGAAGGGATTCATCACTGTAAATTATTAAATGAAAAGATTTCATAAAACTATAAATAAACAATAAATAAAATATGATTTTAATTATTAAATATAATCTAATTTAACACTTTTCAGTAGGTCCTTGATATTTCATATTAGATTTAATGTTATGTTATATTTATCTATTATTATCATAAGGGAAGGCAATTATCTATTAAGCCTAAGAGTCATCGATGTCCGGCGCGGGCGGGGCGCGGCACCGACGGACCCACGCACCGCTGCATAATACTTATTTATCTACACCCATACTTCAAAACCACTATTAAAGATTCTGAAACAGTTAGCTTATTGCCAACATTGTCATAATAAAAAGAAAATGGTTGTCTGTAAAGTCGGTTTACGGACGATACTTTTACGTGATAACGTCACAAAGAAACATTGATGAAAAATTGCATTATTGCTAGCTCTGACGTCACGCGAGAAGAGAGATAAATGTCTAAAAGCCGACACTTGGCCCGATCGGGCCTCTCTATCGCTTGCTGCGCGCTCTCGCTTGCACGCTCAAGCTCAGGCGGAACGTGACACTTTTTCGTGCGTCCAGCCAGTGTTCATCGAGTTAAAGGCAAGACGTTATCAAATCAAAACATAATAAAGCCCATTTGGGTGTTTTGATAAATTTCATAATAACACTCTTTCACTTATTAAATTCCTTCCGCGCCAATGTGTTTTCACAATTTTCACTGCTACTGCTATTATGAATTTCAAAAAAGAACATTGTCGTTCATTTGCGATTCACTACCACAGCGCCGAAAATTTCATGAATTTTAAGTTCTTAGAACTCGCCATGGTGACAGAATCATTCATGGAGGATTCATATCATGGGTGTAGATATAGGGTGTATTCCGAAATGTATATTAGTATACTGGCCAGTGGTAATGACGTCATGAATCCGACGCCATATTGTACTGGTTTGCTACCATATTTTTACCGGGAAAACGAATATGACGCATGACCGAGAGTGCGTGAGATGCATTCTAATTTTATTTCTTTTTTATTTAAAGAACAATAATGGCATCCGAACAAAAAGAATTCCTTTTAATTGATGAGGTGAATTAAAAATCTTCTTTATTCGCACTATTTTTAATATTTCGTCGATTTATGACGTCAGTGCACTGGCCAATATATTTCGGAACAATTCACCAGTATAGCGTCGATCCATAACGTCATTAGCACTGGCCAGTATACTGGTATCTATTACGGAATACACCCAAAGTCTTGTACGCAACTGTTATAATTAGGTATCAAAACACTCATGTGACCCATAAAAGTTTTTTTTTGTTAATTATGACATCGGATGTCTCAATGTTGCCAATAAGCTGTTTCAGAATCTTTAATAGCAGTTTTAAAGCATGGTTGTAGATAAAATACTTTTATTGGGCGATGAGGTTTAATTTTATAATAATGCGTCGCCGTCGGGCGTCGCTGGAACATAGCTCAGCTCCCGCCTCTACCTTCATACGATTCATTCGTATGTACACAATGACTTATATGTAATGAGGGATACATAGAAGCCATTGAACGTACCGGATCATCTAACATTAGCCGCTGGCCGACGACCAACGACAACTATGTGCAAACTCTCGTCCATCGTTACTTTACTCGTCTCTTTGATTCTTAAACGGTCTGCACACTACAATATCATCTTTATAATATATGGCATAAGTAATACCTTCTCTCTAGGTCTAATTTCAAATATGAATCTCATAAAAATATGATTGTTTTATCACAATTTTTATCAAGCAAGATATTGCTTCAAAGTTGATTGTAAACGTAAAGATTCAATAATAATTCATTTTCTTCGAATAAAACGGATGAGAAAAGAGTAACGCCTAAACATTCTGTTGTCACTCACTACGTGTGTGTGTTGTGGTGGAAGGGATAAAGGGGCGGGGTCGGGGGAGAGGGAGAGGGGAGGGAGAGAGGGAGAGGAGAAGATGTGTGCGAGGGGGAGGGGAGACTCATCGCGCCTCCTTGGCCGTGAGCTTTTCGATCAGTTCCTGCAGTGGTGCCAACTCCCGTCGCTCAATCAGGTTGAATTCCTGTAATAAAATATACTCGTTTTAAAATTACGAAAGTGTGTCTGTCTGCCACCTCTTCACGCTTATACCGTTAATAGTTAGAGCCCTGGGAAAGGACATTTTTATCAAAGAAATCATCCTTTAAATGTGTGAAAGTATATGCAGATGAAGTTCCATGTCCCAGTAATTGTATATCCGCTGTAGCTGGTCTTAATAAACATTGGATTCAGGTTTATGTTTGTTTCATTAGTTAATAGCATCAAATATTTTATTTTGTGTCTTTTTTGCATACATGTATGTACCTAATTAAGATGTATGCATACAAATTAATTTTTGACACAGAGCTGGTATTGTTCATAAATAAATAGATACTACAACAATAGGGGTGCTGACGGGGTACAGTAAACGAAATTCTATTTAGTCCGTCAGTTAGATGATCAAAAAATAATGACACGTATTTTTTCTTTGGGCAATCAACCAAAAAATGACAAAGTTATAGCGCGTCAAAGTTCGGGAGTAGGGGCTCGTGACGTCTCTTTTGAGTGAATTTTCACTTTTATGTGTACTCAAACGTGACGTCATGCGACTTTTCAAATCAATATATCTCTGCAATGTTTATATTATGTGAAAAAAGAAAAATACGTATCCAATACCTTTTGATAATCTACCTTATAAACGAAGAAAAAAAAATTAGTCATCATCCCTATTAAGATTATGTTATTTAATATGAATTCACTGCATTTATATCCTGTTTGTATTGAACGTTACTAAACAGTTAACTGAGATCTAAGTTAGCTGATTGTTTCAACTAGCCCTGGACAGAGGATATTATATTTTATTTGCATTTTGGTGAGGAGCTCGATGACGCAAGTGGATAGCGCGTTCGGCCTGCGATCGTAGAAGTTAAGCAACTTTCGCAGCAGTGGTCAATCATAGGATGGGTGACCAAAACTTATTATCTCTAGCTCCTCCGTGCTTCGGAAGGCATGCGAGGTTCCACCAAAGCCGTTGGTCCCGGCTGCATCTGCAGTCGTGAGCACCAACAAATCAAGCGGCGGGTCATGGCCCAATGGCTATTCCATCCACAGGGAAGGCCTGTGCCGCAGTAGTGACACATTAATAGGCTGGTGATGATGATGATGATGATAAGCACTTTGTATCTTGACTGATCATGGCACTAGCATCATGTGCCCAGACCTAAAGAATCAAGTTAACAAAGAGTTGTTAAGTACATGATTGTGATACTGCACCTGCACAAAAAAGATGAAGTGTTTGAAGGAAGTGTTGAGGTGCGCCTCCTCCCCGAGCTGCACCACCTCCGGGAAGTGCTGGTGGTAGATGTGCGCGTACACGCGGAACAAACGCTTCAGGATCGTCTTCGCCATCGACAGGAAATTTTTAGGGAATGGCACACCTGCACAATTTCAATAACAGTTTAAAAAATTATACATTTAAAGAAAATTTTATTAAAAAAAAATTCTTTAGATTTATATGTGTTACAATTATATTATTATACTTAAAAAATTTAAAATATAACGTATAGATTTTTAAATTCAAGATAATTTTGGTTAACAATAACAAATAACAACTCATAAGCTCCAAAAAAAATTACTACTACAAACAGTACAGTTGCTCGGCAGTCAGTACTGTGACAAATGATAGATGCTTAGTAATGACAGATGGTATTTCCACAATTTACGCAATGCTGTGTAAAATTTTTCACATAAAGGTAAATCACAATCGGTTCAGTGGCAGTACTGTCAGCATATTTGATTAATGATTGTGATATCAGTACTTTAAAAAGGTCTATCAATTTTCACCATTAATTAGCATTTGGCATTGGGTTGTGAACGGAAACTTTATGATCAGAGGTGTATTTTAAAATCTTGCACCCTAGGCCTAGGATTTGCACCCCTCTGGTGGCCCTCTCAGCTCTTGTAGACGACTCTCGCAGCCTGCCGCACGGGACAAAGGCGTTCTTGGCCCCAAGGTAAATACGCCCCTTATTATAGTTTAAAAAGCAAACACAATTCAAATACAAACCTATTTTAGAAGGAAAAAGGGTTTCATCATCAAGCTGATCCTGCGCCCACGTCATGAGATAGTCAATGTATTTTGGTGCCGAGCACTTGATGGGCTTCTTGACAGTGTGACCGTCCGCCCAGTGGTACTCATATTTAGGCCCTGCTGACATTACTGCACATGATTCCTCTGTGCAGAACTCTGTGATTGTACCATACAGCATATTGATCTGGTTGAAGAAGTCTACAGCTGCAGTGAGAGAATTGCTTGTATGAACAAATTATACTATAGATTCAGTTACCTAACACGGAACATATACAAACAAAGGAAATGCATCACAGATAGTGTTATCTAAATATGATTCACTGTTCCACACAATGTACGGTAACTTAGTGCCACTGGAATAAATGTAAAACAATTGATGTTACATTAGCATTGAATGGCTTTAACCCATTGTTTACATGAGTGTAGGATCCTGACAAGAACATAAATCTTATAACATTCAACTGCATCCCAATTTCGATTAATCTATTGCTGATTATTCCTCTACATCTGAATATAATACAACTCTTGTCATTAATGATACCATCATTACTGCTGCCAAAAAGTACAAAGTGGGTAGCTTACACATTAAGATTACAATAGATAGTTTAACATTTATGATTGTTAAGTTTGAGCAAAAAACAATGATAAATGCAGTCATACCATTTCCTGTTAGGGCTTCCCTTAATTTTACATTAAATTAAATTTTTAATTGCCTTGCTACTATTAAGTATGAAACCCTAAAAACTAACTAGAAAATGTGAATGTTTTGGGACATGTGTCTATAGACTATTTGTAAAACAGTGTGGATATGTGTTCCATGTGATGTACTGAGACATGTTTCTATACATTATCTGTAAAACAGTGTGGATTTATATTCCACGTAAGGTACTGACTGTTGACGGCGACCCACTCGTTGAGGTCCTCGCCCTCCGGCAGCATGACGGCGAGCCGCAGGTTGCCGGAGCCCAGTGTGGCCGCCGCGTGCCGCATTAGATCGTACTGGTGTGTACCCTCGGGAATGTTCTTCTTCGGTTTGAAGGTCTTGTTCGACCGGCTCCCGCTGTTGTTTAACAGTACCGTTCATTAGAAACCATATCAAAAAGAATACAAAGAAACAAATATACTTAGTAATCGAACAGCAGGTATAAAAAAAATCGGGTACCGATGCTTTAAAGCTGTCGAAGGGGCCCTGAATGGGCGAACTAGTACTCGAATTTACATATTTGTTTGAACGATACCGAAACTTGGCCGCGAACGTAAACAAGACGTCAGCGGAAAGGAAAATGGTTAGATAAAAATAGACCAGTGCGGTTGACTAAATTTGTCATACTCACAAAAGAAAACTCATTTTTATTGTTTGAAAGGCTCCCCCGGTGATGTATTATGTTAATATTAGCACTAACACTGCTTCGAATCATTAAAAATAGGTTATTATTATTAAGAATCACAGTTCTTTGATGCACTTGTCAAAAGTTTATGCATTTCTGTTTTCTTTCCTCCCGTGTCGGACTGACATGACAGCTAGCTACAAACAATCAATCACTTTTCCTCGATGACACTGTTATTATCAAAAATAATCCTGAACAAGAACACAGCTTGCATTCTAGAACAGCATTCCATTTTACGTAGATATTATGCGCTCTTTAATAACTGCTCTCTTTGCTCCTGAGCTTTGCTCATAGATAATTATTTATTAACTCAGCTTTTTCCAAACTTTAAAGCATCAGATAAAACCTTTGAAATATACGCATTGAAGGGTGCTTAAAAATATCAAGAAAAAATATTAAGCCTGTATGTTACAGTTGCCTTTTAACTTATTATTTTTTAAACGTCTCTGACATATTTTATATAGGGATTGAAAATATTTCTAAATGAAAATATCGATATATATAAAAAGGGTTTACGATTTACTGATTTAATTATTTGAATTTTTATTTTGTTATTGATTGATTTTTAATTAAGTATTTATCATTTTTTCTATGATATAATGGTGTCAATTCTGGCGTGTTTCTCTAAACTTAAAACTAAATTTAACATCAGTCTCTCCTTTTCATTCCGTATAGAGAATGACAGGGATGCACTGTTGCCAAATTTAAGTTTAGCTTTAGAGAATCATGCCAGAATCGACATCAATATCAATATTTTTGCAAAGGAAGTTGGCTCTGTTTCGTATCTTAAATAGTGTCCGACCGAAAGTTCGGTTTCGATTTCGGTTTCTACCGAGTTTCAGACAAAAATTAGGTTTCGGCGACCGTTTCGGTTTCAGCCTAAATTGGCCGAAACTTTTGCCGAAACCGAAACTGATTTCGGAAGTTGTCGTGCACGCTCGCCTTTCTTTCTTTTCTCACATAACAGTCCATATCCTATATTGAGATAAAAGAGATTGATGATTCTTCTAAGTACAAATACAAACCAGAGTATTAATTAATACGATTTCAAAATACCAATGGGTATTTAATGAAACAGTAACAATTTGTGAATTGATTATTGATATCTAATAAAAATTTTGCTATGAGAACTTAATTTGGAAAAATAATAAAAATATTATTAAAAAAAATTTATATTATATTTAATAAATGATTACCTACAACAAAGTTAATATACTGTGTTTCCATTTCATGTCCTAATTAATGCTGAATACTGGGTAAAATGCACCAAATTTCAGTATTTTAAGGAATTTGAATCTTGACAGGTGAGTTTCGGTTTCGGCCGAAACTGAAGCCATGGCCGAATATTCGGTTTCGGCCGGAAAACCAGTTTCGGTCGGACTCTAATCTTAAACAATGTGCAATCATTTCATAACGTACATCATCGATATCGATAAAACTTTTTACCGATATACATCGTCACTAGATAACATCTGCTCTATAATTTTGCCTGCAATATTTTGTCGGTTTTCCTTATCTATTGATTGCGGAAGAAGATTTTTATACGGGCTCAGTTACAAAAAACAGTCGCAATGCAAGGTTTAAGTATCCAGAGTTTGAAGAAGCACAAGGCTGTAAGCATAACTTGTTTTATTTGCTGTACAATAATGCGTTTCAGGTGCAGCAAAAGTCTTACATAATTAACCTTCAAGTGTATAGCTGAAAGAGCACTTTCAGCTCGTTGTGCAATTTAGTGTGTTTTTGTCTGTAGTTGATCCCGCTGTACGTGTGCACGGCGCTCGGATGCGGTGGCGCGGTATTCTACCTGGCGCGCCTGGCCCTGCGCTCCCCCGACGTGTCGTGGAACAAGAAAACCAACCCCGAGCCCTGGCAGGAGTACCACAACAAGCAGTACAAGGTCATTTGCCCTTCTCGCTCTTCACTTACTCATCATTTTACATACAACCTTTTTTGTATTGCATTGAGTAATTAGGTGCCTATGTTGATACCTTTTGTTTTAAAAGTTTACTTTTCGTAACAATTATAGATGTTTGCTTATCTTTGTTAGTAAAACTGCAATTTTACATCAAATCGAATTAAGTGGATAAAATCAACCCTGTTTTCCGAGTGACTAAGTAAGCTGTAGTCCAAAGCCAAATTTATCCTTAAACACTTAGCCCCCCCCAAGTCCTTGAAAATTCAATGAGTTTCTTTCTTCTTTTCTATGTTAAAACTGGTAATTTTAAATATGTATGAATTATATTTAATGTTGAAAAATTAGCATGGATTACAAAAGTGTTTATCACTGCAAAATTGATCCTTCATTTGATGCACTGATTGACAAAACAGAAAGTTTTGCAAACTTTTATAGGTTAGTTAGGGTACAGCTTATTGTCAGTATTTTTGAAAACTGCTTAAATTTAAAGATTAGGGCAAACAATTTAGCACAAAAGTTTTCAAAAATTTGGAAAATACCCTATTGTCCCAACTATTGCCAAAATAAATGTGGTTGTTTGATGAGATTATTGGAAAGTGTCTCTTGATTTAATATATAAAGCTATCTCCCATACTCATGCTCTGTCAACCTTGCAAGTGGACTAACTTTGAATCAAGTACTGTCTGTCTTACATAGGAGCAAGATTTTATTTTAAATTAGATTTAACTTTAGTCAATGTTCAGTAATAAGAGGGTTAGTTTTTTATTTTAGTCATTTTCCAAACTTCTTGTCCAGTATAATATACATTGATCATGTGACTGATAATAACAAATATTTTTCTATTTATTACAGTTCTACTCGCCAAACATTGACCCTACTAAGGAAGGACAATCACCAGCTCCTAAATTCTAATTCAATTAGTTATTATATCAGTGCTACAGTCTAGATGTTATGTTTATCAAATAGATATTATGTGATAACTTAAAATACAGTTTTTTTTAAATGCAAGTACCCTTTATTGTTTCTTTGTATTGTGTCCCTAAAAATATTATTAAAAGTTGAAATGATGATATTCTTATAAGAAATAAAAACATTTTAACAAAAAAAATTATGTACTGTAAAATGGAAAAGCAAAAAATAATATTTTTATTTTTTTTGTCAAACTATTTTTTTTTTCAACACACACCAATTAGCCTATCCCCAAAGTAAGAACTGTAAAGCTTGTGTTATGGGATACTAGGGTAATGGATAGAATACATATACAGTACATATATAAGTATATTTATACTATAGAGATACATAATAAACATCCATGACTGGAGTACAAATGCTTGTATTCATGACATAAACATCTGCCCCACCGGGATTCAACCTCTCGAGTCTGCGACACCATGAAACCTGCCGTACAAACCACTCGACCACGGAGGTCGATATTTGTGTTGTTGGTGCCATACCAACCCTAGTAATAAATGGGAACTCAGATATGTCAGATAAGCATTGCATTGACTCCAAATGTTAATTAGACTAAAGATAAAAAGTTGTATATGCGTTTTATCAGTCCTTGATTTTTTTGTTAATAAGTTTCTATTATGAAATAAAAATTTTAAATGCATAATTATTGTAATATCTCAGCATCAAAATCTGTCAGTGAATTATCACCCCTATTTCCCACCCTTAGGGTAGGTAGGTAGGATTTTTGTTTCCTAATTTATCTGGGACCAACTTCGAAGTATGACTTCTCTGTTACAAGTTATGTATAGTCATACATAATACATAACATAACAAATATAGGGACACGTCGACTTCAGAACCACCTCCATTTTTTTATCTGTTAAAAATAATGAGTTTCAAATATTGTTAGTTTTGTTTGAAAATTATTCTAGCTTCCGCTAGCAAAGTCTCTGTCCGTGTTGTAATTCGTTTTATGAATATCCTATTACTAATTGAAGGATTAACATCCTATTTATTTCCTACGTTTTTACAAACACTACTGATGTAAAGCATAGATTAGCAAATCAGATTGATAGGAATATTCTTAATGCACGTAATAGCATTATAAAAGAACAGGAAACAAATTTTTAATAACAACAACACTAGCTCAGACTATGAATACAAGATAATATGTACCAGCTGCTATGTAGCTCACGCAAAATAGGCACCAGATGTCGAGTTGCGGAAACAGCCCGCCGTTCTACTACTTCTCTGCTATGTAGCTAGCCCATTGGGTCATATCACGATATAATTGACTTGCGATATTGTGATCCTACCTATACAGGTTGTGACAAAAGTCCGAAATAAAACTTTAGGGTTTGGTTGTGTTCCTTGTATAGAATTACCTACGAAAGTTTGACGCCTTTCAGACCACTTTTATTTTTTAATTAAATTAATAAAAATATCGTTTTACACCTGCCTATGACAACCCTATAAATGCGTACGATTACTACTACGTAAACAGACCCCCCCTCTCTCCCCCAGGCGCCCCTGCGCCCCGCTCGGATACCTACAAATTTTTATTTCGGAATACATACCTACTAATTTTATTTCGGAATTCTGTTACATCCTGTATAGTATCGCGATAATATTGATGAAAGATACCCCGTTAACAAAATGGCCTGTTTTGGAAACTATTTCATGTAGTGCGCGACATTTTTCAGCATTCCATACCTAACCCTAATGCCAAATGAATTAAAGATGAGATTATATTGAATGAGTGGGTGTGTGCGACGACTGCAGGGATCGCCGATCTATACAAACCTTCACACCCTATTCAAGTCTTATTTTCACGATGAAAAGTAGCTTTCTGTAAGGTTCCCTTTATTTTAAAACTACATTTCATTAAATCCAGTTTAGCAGTTTAGGCTTTTAGTCCAGGCAACGAATGCTCAAAAACAGGTATAGAGGGAATTGCTTAGAACACAATTTTTGACTTCGTGACTTTGTTAGGACTAGTTAGGAGGTAAACATATCAAAAGTCCCCGCCCGTAGCCCTTAAGCCGGGGGGAGGGGGGGGGGGGGGGGGGGCTTGAAGGTCCCATTTTTAGGTTTTTCGCATATATCTCGAAAACTATGCATCCTAGCGACATGAGACTTTCACAAAAGTGAAAGCTGATTAAATTTGCTACAAGTCTTATTCAGTCAAATTTTTTGATATCTTGTATAGTTTTCGAGATATCCGCTCTTGAAAGTCTGTAATTATGGAAAAAAAAATTGTTCCCATTTTTGCTCTATTTGACCGGATAACTCTTCAACAATGTACCCAAAAAATAAATGCCGGCCGTAGGGTTGTAGAGCATTAAATTATCTTCAATAATAGAAAGAATTGCCTTTATTTTTTTTATTTAAGGACAAAATTGTTAGTGTAGTAGACGTATGGGGGCGGTACGGTGGGCACTAGGCCGCGTACTCAGCCCCCACGCGCGGGCCGTCCTGCGCACGTCTGTGGGGTCCTCGCGATACCCCGGGAGACCCCTGCCGCGGAACCTCGGCAAGGCCGGGAGGCTGCTAGGTGCGGAGACGCGGAAGAATCCCTAAACGGGGATTCCGCGGCTTCGCACTAAGCAGCTTAGAGGGTGTTCGCAGGGTTTTTTAGCGGATATTATGCCGTATAGCGCCCGTAAGGGTTACGGGGTCCTCAGTGGGCAGCCACTGCTGGTGCTCGTAAGGCTTGCGGGAGCCAGGTGTGAGGTCCGTTCGGCGGTGTGCCTCTTAAAGGCGCCGTCGTCTGTAAATAGTATTTTTTGCCTGCGTATAAAAAAAAGGGTAGTAGACGTATTGACTAAAGGGGGTCGCCCGGTAAGAAAACTGGCAGTGTTGGCCGTTGCCTAAATAAGGAGGTGTCTACACCGGGGGGGGGGGGGGGCATGTTCACGACCAACACTACCTATTACATGATTTTTTGATTTTCTGTCGATGCACGAAAGACTGTGCAAGCGCGAAGTGAGGCTGCAAAAAAGCAAGCCTCAAATGTTCCCCAGCGTGCCAAAATTGCCAGGGGAACTGCTTGAATGGGGTCCCTCAAGTTGACTCCGAAGGTGAAGAAGAACAGGAGGATCCTCTGACCGTTTCCCTACAGGGTTCCGATGGAGAAGATGTCACAGAAAAAGAAAATGTAAACGAAGACGAGGATCAAGGTCCTTCCCACCCCAAAAGAGCAAGAAATTGACTATATTGGATTTTTTTACAAATCTCTTTTTGCTAGTCATAGTGAATTGTATCTAAAACTGCTGCCGTATTCGTACCTGTATAGCCAATGAGAACCGGAAAAAAACCAGAGGCACAGGGCCCTACCGTCTCAATTTTTTTTAAAGTCCAGTTTTATAATTTTAATCATTCTTAATACTACTTTTTGTGTTGAGCTGGACCAATACAACACCAGACAATCTTATCATTTAAATAATCATCTAATTTATAATAACCTTTTTTGCATAAAGTAGTTAACTCTTGCAGTTTTTTTTAACTTATTTTCTGGATTGTGTGAAGAACCTGGTCAGTGGGCCAACAAGTACATATTCTAAAATGAGCATGTGTGCTATTTAGACATCGGTGCATCGTTAAAGAGTTATCCGAGAGTTATCCGGTCAAATAGAGCATAAATGTAAAGCATTTTTTTTTCTATAATTACAGATTTTCAAGAGCGGATATCATTATTACAGATATTATTATTAGATAATTACAGTTTCTCAATGACACTAATTTACTTTCTTTTTTACTTATGGACCTCACACCTGGCTCCCGCAAGCCTTACGAGCCCCAGCAGTGGCTGCCCACTGAGGACCCCGTAACCCTTACGGGCGCTATACGGCATAATATCCGCTAAAAAACCCTGCGAACACCCTCTAAGCTGCTTAGTGCGAAGCCGCGGAATCCCCGTTTAGGGATTCTTCCGCGTCTCCGCACCTAGCAGCCTCCCGGCCTTGCCGAGGTTCCGCGGCAGGGGTCTCCCGGGGTATCGCGAGGACCCCACAGACGTGCGCAGGACGGCCCGCGCGTGGGGGCTGAGTACGCGGCCTAGTGCCCACCGTACCGCCCCCATACGTCTACTACACTAACAATTTTGTCCTTAAATAAAAAAAATAAAGGCAATTCTTTCTATTATTGAAGATAATTTAATGCTCTACAACCCTACGGCCGGCATTTATTTTTTGGGTACATTGTTGAAGAGTTATCCGGTCAAATAGAGCAAAAATGGGAACAATTTTTTTTTCCATAATTACAGACTTTCAAGAGCGGATATCTCGAAAACTATACAAGATATCAAAAAATTTGACTGAATAAGACTTGTAGCAAATTTAATCAGCTTTCACTTTTGTGAAAGTCTCAGGTCGCTAGGATGCATAGTTTTCGAGATATATGCGAAAAACCTAAAAATGGGACCTTCAAGCCCCCCCCCCTCCCCCCGGCTTAAGGGCTACGGGCGGGGACTTTTGATATGTTTACCTCCTAACTAGTCCTAACAAAGTCACGAAGTCAAAAATTGTGTTCTAAGCAATTCCCTCTATACCTTTTCGTTGCCTGGACTATTTGGAGCGTAACAAGATTACAATTGAATTTAAAGAACTAAGGTATGCCATATAACACTCTTCTGTTTCTAATTTTGATGCGCTGTCATACCCTATGAAGCGATATAATCATAGATTACTTATTACAATAGGAAAGGAAACATCCCGTAATAAAAAACATATTTATTTAATTCCTAAAATTACAGTATCATTGGTTGCTAATTATTGTTTACATAATAAATTGTTAATAATTTTATTATATTCACTTATATGTTTACTTTCTAATTATATAAAATTACAATAATAATTTTATTGTTAACAATGATCATAATAAAGAATGACCTCCCGAGTGATCGAGGCATAGCCAATGAGACGTCTAAAAATAAAGCATATACTTTTCCCAATACCGAATATTGAAGGCAGAAAATCACAGCTCGCACAGTTTTGTAAAAAATAAATAATAATTGGAAATGCAAAATTCATAGTGTTCGAATCGATTCGAAAAGCAATAACAATAATTAAATATAAATTCGTATTTGATTTCAACGGAGGACTGATTATTTTGAGCCTTATTATTTAATTATAGAAATGCACCCACAACCTATATGATCACATCCCGGTTCGCTTCGGCCGCATCTCTTCTGTTACATCACACAGCTTCGTTCCAAACATTCTAGATACTAATGCCCGTATTATAGAAAGATTCTCAGTGATTAATCTAGTCTTAAGCGTAGTTAGAAAGGGATGTCGCTATAGCACATAGCGATATCCCTTTCTAACTGTACTCAAGTAAAGATCAACACTTAGTTGTCATTCTGTAATACGGGCCTAAGTCGTTAGTATGCGCGGCCTGAAATAACGCGATTCTCACATGTTCACCTTACAGCTACGGTGTCGCCTATAGTTGCGTGTTCGTCGCGTCGGTGTCCAAGATCGACATCTACCCTCTGAATAAATTTTGGATTAGTTTTGCTGTCTCGTCTCAGTTAATCGAATTACAAATGCAATTTGAGTTATGTAGGTATACAAAATGCAAAACTAGTCCAACTTATTCTTTGTTTAATGGAGGGGGGCAGACGCTATACGAACTGTGCTGTGCTTTAGAGAAAAAGTCCTCTACCTTAGTGTTCTATATTTGCTTGCTGACATTAACAAGATCGCACTAATTTCACGATAAAAATTTTAATAATACTCTTATTACAAGCATGTTTCAAGATGGAACTTTAGCACCCCCAGAGTGAGCACAGTGATATTTTCTTTTAATGTTTATGCAGTCAAACAGTCCACCTGATGGTGAGGGGTCACTGCCGCCCGTGGACACTTGCAGCACCAAATTTACCACTCGTGCGTTGCCGGCTCCGAAGGAAAAGGTTTTGAAGACCGCCATATTATATGCTAGGGTAACGAATAGAATACATATATCTAGAAATATATATAAACATCCACAACTAAGGTACAAATGCTCGTATTCATCATACTGAAATTTGCCCCCACCGGGACTCGAACCCGGGATATCTGAGTTTCAGGCGTTCTAGAATATCTACTAGGTTGGTTCCCATCACTGTGTATATACTTATTTAACCTTTTCTGATACACATTATATTATGCATTACATTTTTGTTTTATTATTATTTTTTATATTAAACATTAATCTGCTCGATTTAGAAATATTTAATTATTCAGTAAAAAGTTTCTTAACAGTTCGATTTTGGTATTACATCGCGGTGCTCAAGCTGCGGGGGCTGGACCCTTAGCACGAACCGATATAGAATTCGTTACGTTTGCAAAATGTCATCGTCAAATTTAGTATGGAAATTCGACCTGCAGCGCCACAACGGACGTAACGAGAACTAAAAACCAGTACAAATTCGACGCGTACCCAGATACAATTAGACTTGCATAACGGTTCGTGCTTTGGATACTGGACCCTGAGCCCAAACCAATATCGAATTCGAACAGTTTGCGAGTGCGAAACGTCATTGTCAAATATGTACTGATTTTCAGTTTTCGTCACGTACTTTGTGGCGCTGCTGTTCATGTTTTGTGACACTGTCACTTCGGACTCGTAAGGGGCTGTTCAAGTATTACGTAAGCACTATAGGGGGGCAGGGGGGTCTCCGCTTTGCTTATTTTTGATGACTTGGGGGGGTGGGGGGGGGGGGGGGGGGGGGGGGTAGAGATGGTGATTACGTCAGCATCATCGATTAAGCCTTTTTAAGTACTGCTGGTCATGAAGCTCACGAAAGCTCATGAATCAATAAAAAACAGTATACATTAAAAGAAAAATGCATATAGCTACCAATGTTTACGTAAGGATGGGGGGAGGGGTAAGAGCTTTGCTTACTTTTGCTGACAAGGGGGAGGAGGGGGTAAATAATTGTAATAAATCTGCTCACGTAATACTTGAACGACCCCTAAACCATTTGAATCGGTTATCGGTTCGGGCTATGGGTACTGGGGGCCATTCGCCTAAAGGAAATGCTTTGGAAACCGCTAATGCTTACGATTTCATATTGTTATTTCTAGCCGCCTGAGGTTTTCAAATGCCTCGCACTTTATTTTTTTCTTTTGCATTGGTAATAACTATATTAAAAAAAATGAGCGTGAGGTATTTCAAAACCTTCGGCGGTCAGAAGTAACAAAATTAAATCGAAAGCGTTAGAGTTTTCCAAAGCATTTCCGTTAGGCGAATGGCCCCCTGATTCGTCGAGATGATAACGACCGGATATGGTCGGCGATGAAGGCGCGTAGCTGGTAGAGTTTTACTGCGGGCCGTATGGGTTGTATCCGGGGGGGGGCGGGGGCTGCGGGTACTGCGCGGGGGCGTGCTGGTAGGGCTGGTAGGGCTGCGGGGGCGGCATGCGCGCGTGGTGCGGGTACGGGAGGGTGGCGTAAGGGTTGTACGTGGCCGGCATGGGCGCCGCGTAGTACTGGTACGGGGCGCCGTACGGTAGCGGCATTCCTAAAGGGGGAAACAATACATTGTTTATATCATTTCTATTACATATTTAGGCTTATCTCTAGGTATCTAATAGAGTTCGCTATGATAGTTGTGACGACTATGAAACGTTAAATAAAAGGTTGTATAATGCGATTCAAATAAGAATAGGAAAGCCAATGACCTCTATCTGTCAAATGTCGCTTGAAAAGTACGGTTTGCAAAAAAAACTTGGAACCCTTTTTTAGCACTCCGCTAATTCTAGAATAAAAACCAAACATTTGTAAACAAACAATAACAAATATTGATAATTAATATCGGTAGATATTTTTTTTTTCACTTAATGAGCTTTGACCATGAATGGCTGATAACCTAACTCGTCAACCAAATATCACTTTAAGTTGCGATTTCAAACTTTCGTTTACATAAAGAATACATGTTCGTATGTGACCTAGTAATAGAGCATGATTATTCTTAATTACTCCGGCGGTAATGCAGAGATGAGCGGAATGGAAGAGCTAGATTCTGATTAATGTTTTTTCTCACAGTCTTAATAAATAAATTTTATTAAAAATCGGTGGGTTATTATTCTCAATCTTAGTAAATAAATGTTATTAAAAAATCTGATGCTTTTTCTCACATAATCTTAGTAAATAAGTTTTATTAAATAAAAACTTTTTTTTGCTCACTCTACCTATTTGGTTTGAATTGACAGCTATGACATCACAATATTGCGCCCAGTCGGCCCTATTCTTAGTTGAATCGCATTATATGGTTAAGTCACTTCACTAAGATAAGTTCTACATTACTCTGACTCCAAATATAATGTCTATTTCTAAATGTTATGCGTGCTATTACAATGACTTAAGAATGAGCCTGACGGGATCGGTGGTTATGTGCGACTGGCTCGCGTGACGGGGGCCCGCGCGTCGACGCATATATCAAGTCAGCATTTTTAGAATCCAAGTCGCCACACACAAAAACATTACACTGCCTGATTACAAAACGTAGACTAAATTTAAATGCAGGCTAAAACTGATACTGTTACTTTTGTTTCTTAAAAGAAAGATAGAGACAGCATTACTGTAATAAATTAGTGATAACTAGATATTACTTTATCTAAAAAAAAAAAATATATAGGTCTAATAAATTATTTATTATTAGGGTTTCAACCGTGACTAGCTTTAATCTCCGTTTCGGAATGAGATGGTTAATGTATATTTAAAATTATCAGTAGAAAAATCTTTGACTCCACTTAAGTATTCAATTAGAATCTAACTAACTGCCGTACTAAACTAAGCTCCTGCAACATATTATAGAATTGTCGAATTTCAATTTGGTGCACTTACGACTGCGAGGCTAAACTTTTCGATATAATGCGGGGGCGCCTCCCTGCGGACCATAATACTAACCTTGTGGCTGCATGGGGTAGGGCAGGGCCGCGGCCGCGGGGGCGGGGGCGGTGCTGGGGGCGGGGCCGGGGCCGGCGCCTCCCTGCGGACCATAATACTAACCTTGTGGCTGCATGGGGTAGGGCAGGGCCGCGGCCGCGGGGGCGGGGGCGGTGCTGGGGGCGGGGCCGGGGCCGGCGCCTCCCTGCGGACCATAATACTAACCTTGTGGCTGCATGGGGTAGGGCAGGGCCGCGGCCGCGGGGGCGGGGGCGGTGCTGGGGGCGGGGCCGGGGCCGGCGCCTCCCTGCGGACCATAATACTAACCTTGTGGCTGCATGGGGTAGGGCAGGGCCGCGGCCGCGGGGGCGGGGGCGGTGCTGGGGGCGGGGCCGGGGCCGGCGCCTCCCTGCGGACCATAATACTAACCTTGTGGCTGCATGGGGTAGGGCAGGGCCGCGGCCGCGGGGGCGGGGGCGGTGCTGGGGGCGGGGCCAGCGCTGGGTGCGGTGCTGGGGGGCGGGGGGCGCGGGGGCGCCTCCCTACGGACCATTGTCGGCTGCAAATCAAACATTGTGGTTTCAGCAACATTACAATAACACACTAGAAAGATCGTGGGATTTGAACCATTCGGTAGACCTAATCGCTAACTGCTTTTGACGGATGGAAATGATAGTCACCGAGCTGTTTAGGATCCCTGCTTTATTATAACGCTACTGATATACTTGATCTGAAAAGCGTCGATGAATATGCAAATTTCTCTTTAGTGTCAAATCAAGTGTAAATGTCAAAAAAGTTGGCGAATAGGCCGGCCGGTGGGTCTTCCCAGCGGCTTAGTAACAATATGGAAAACGAACTGCGCTAAAAAGTGGTGTGAAAATAATTAAATGTATAAATATATCACGAGAGTAAAATACGTAGGCAAATTTTCTAAACGATTTTTATTGACAGATAAAAAAGAACAAAATTATTTTACATTAAAACGTCATTTCAAACGTTATAAAAAAAGAAGTTGATAGTCTCCGACAAGTGGTACCACGCGAAACGCGAAAAAAAGCTACGATCAACACGCCAATCATGGGATTGCTTGGGATTTCCGTTTAACTTTATCTTACCCAATTAATGGAATGTCGTATTCATTTGCAGATATTTGATTTGAAAAATTATTTGTTTTGTCTGTGCACGTGTCGCGTTAGTATTGAAGTTAAGCTGAAACTCGTAAGATTGGAACCATATTTTATCGGTTTTTGTTAGAGCATAATGATTCTATATCATTTCTAATTCATTGGGTCTTCCAATAAAAGTATTTGTTTTTAAGTGAATCTTCTTTTCGGATGAGATGTAAATGGAAAAATCCTATGGAAAACTGCACACAGAAATACAACACGAACGTCACACGATTAGTCACGCGTGAAAGTAAGAGGATAACTCGACGAAGGGTGAAACGTTACGAGCGTCACAAGTGATATATATATATATGTCGGCGAATGGCGTCTCACTCGCTCCTTCGAAACGTAAAACCGACAACAAATGTCATTAGTCAGTGTACCATTGCCTTGTGAAACGTCAAGTAATGACAGTGAGAGCTGTCATCACTTGGGAGTGGTCTATGCTAAGGGTAGTATTTAAGGGGCTATGCTTCATTGGAAGGGGCATTTCGGCATTCAGCATTCAGACGTGAGCCGCGATAGTGAACGGACGTTAGCACAGAACTCTCCACGCTTCGCAAAGCAATCCGTTTGTGCCTTTGCAATCATAACTGATTTTGTAAAATGATTAGAAGATTCAAATTAAACGTTAGCTTGGTCACTAGACTACAGTTTTATTTTCGGGAAATATCATTGAATAACCAAGATGGCGGATCAAGATGAACCACGTGGCCAGCCGCCTATCCCGCTCGCCCATCCGACATATATATGAGTGATGCGTGCGCTGTTCCATTCCCCTATGCCTTATTCACTGCCTAATATTAAAGAAACTCAAAATATAAAAATGCTTGAAATCTTTAACTTGATTTCATGATAGTAATATATGTTATTAACGGGATCGTTGAAACAATGTATTGATTTCATGAATTTTTATTTGTTAACCGTACACACCGTCACTGTCACGCCTACATAGACGCGTACATACAGATTGGTCACTCACACAAGGGCGCCGCGATGTCGCAGTACGCAACACTCAACTGGGTCAACCGTGTGCTGAATAAAGTACTGTAAAGCGTGAACGGGCATATGATGCGGAATCCCATATGACGGGATTGTCATATGTATATCAATAGGAATAATTTTTAATGGATGGTGGCTTAGATATGTGTGGTACGAAACTGTTTCTTTTTGTATAAATAAAAATAAAAGTGGGTGACTGTTATTGGCCTCACATGTCACTGTAAAACAAAAATGAAAAACTTAATTGATGGCTGTTAACCTAAATAAATAAATATTGGTATTACCTCAGTGGGCGGTGCCGGGGCGGGTCGGGAAGCCTCCTGCGTGAGGTCCTTCAGTAGTTCGTCCTTCTCCGTCTTGCGCGCGAAGCAGAAGTCAGACACTTTGTTCTGGAACGCCACCAGCAGCTGCAAACGGAACCACGCTGCTATTAGGACGCCATCTATCAACCGTATTGGGATGAAAATACCGGCGGCCAAGTGCGAGTCGGACTTCCGTACCGTTGTGCATACAACATTAGACACTATATTATATATATAATGTCGAGCAAAAATCTTATGTCTGTTGTATGGGAGCCTTCATTAAATATTTATTTTTTAAAGTGCATATATAACTCGATATTCTGTATATCTTTCAAGCATCTACCTGTTATCGTTATTAATATTTTAATTCTTCCTAGATTTGGTATAATTTCCCACATTATTTCCCATGAAAGAGGAAAAAAGGAAACTTTTGGTTGTTTAGGTATAATTTATGTTACAATAGCAATTGGATTACTTGGATTTGTAGTATGAGCTCATCATATATTTACAGTTGGTATAGATATTGATCAGAAAACACAAAAAAAAAAGTTTTTTTTATATTTGTTGTTATAGCAGCAACAGTATACATTATCTGTAAATTTTTTAATAGTTTAAAAGCCAAGTATCAGACAGACAGACAGACGGATAATGGAGTCTAAGAACGATTAAATTGAAAGATCGCAAAGGGAACGATGTGTTCCTTCTTAGTTTTAGCTGCAATAAAAGTCAAAACTCAAAACACTTTCCTGCTTTTCTCATACATTTAATTATTCCTTATACAATAAATTTAATGATATGTCACATGCCGTCTCATTTTATCATAATCTCAACGAAAGTGACAGCATCAAGTTTGGACAAGCTTAAAACTGCAGTGACAAGTCACTGCCATCGCTAGCTGTGGATAAAATCGGCTGTCGAAGTAAAATACTCCATTAAATATATTGGAGGAGTTCGATGGCGCAAGAGGTTTGGACGGGTGACCAAAATTTACTATCTTTATACTATCTCGAGTTTCTCTGTGCTTTGGATGGCACGTTAAGCCGATAGTCTTGCATCTGCCGTAGTTAGCACCTTAAATTAAAACAAAAAGGGAAAATACGGCATACGTGGCTCAAAAGTAATCCGCTTAAATTGTAGTCCACGACCATAATTAGCTTTAGTCACAATTTGACATTCAAACAGGCTGCATGTACACTCAATATAAAAAAATGCGTATATTCTGTGTTATGATTTTTTCCCAAAAATCACGGTTTGTCGTGAATATTATTTACGTAATCGCCATTTTGTAAGCAAGAAAAGGACAATAATACGCTTTATTGGAGCGTATAGTTCTGTCTCGCTCGCGCGATTGATGTTTATATACAGACGTGTGCGTGGCGAGAGTTGCTTATGTAGTTGAGTCGGATCATATTTTGTTTGATGCTAGTATGAGCGTACCGTATCTACCCTTTTTGTTTTAATCTAAGGTTAGCACCCATCAATCCGCAGTGGGCCCGCGTGGTAGGTTACGGTTCAATCTCCCTATTTCATCCAACGAAGGCCTGTGCCCCAGCAGCGGGAACATTAATAAGCTGATCATAATGATGAATATATTTTTTACTAGTTTTGGTTTTTATCGATTCCCTTTCGGCATGATTCTCTTAACTTATAACTTAATCTAACATCAGTCTCTCCCTTTTATTTCGTACGGAGAACGACAAGGATAGACTGTTGTTAAATTATAGTTAAGGTTTAGAGAACCCTGCCAGAATCGACACCATTGTAGGTAGTGTCGCTGGTCATTCGTTTTTTCTTATATAAGGTTACCCATCTGTGGCGCGATGAAGAAAAGGAGAAGGGTGAGTTTGTTCAATTGTGAATAGAGTAGGGTTCAGGCAGACATCCATAGGATTCAGGATTGATAGCTCCGTAATCGTGTCGCATCGTCAAAGGGTCACCTGCGTGAGGTCGTTGTAGAACTTGCTGCCCTCCTGCAGGTTGGCGGTGAGGTCGTGGTAGGCGTCGTGGGCGGCACACAGCCGGCCCAGGGCGGCGTCGCGGTCACCCATCTCTCCGCGGGCCGCTGTCCACGCCGTGTGAGCCGTCTGGATGCGGGAGATCAACGCCTCCTGCCGCGCGATAGACTCCTGCGCATACATAAACAATAGGTTACGCATTGGTGCCGATGCTCGCATGATTTTCAATTTTTTTTTAAATAGGTAGTAAATAATAAATAAATAAATATTTCCAACACTCACACCAATTAGCCTAGCCCCAAAGAAAGCACTGTAAGGCTTCTGTTATGGGATGCTAGGGTAACGGCTAGAATACATTTACTGTACATATATAAGTATATTTATATAGAAATACATAATTAAACATCCATGACTGGAGTACAAATGCTCGTATTCATCACATAAACATCTGCCCCCACCGGGATTCGAACCCGGGACCACTCGAGTCGGCGACACCATGAAACCCGGCGTACAAACCACTCGACCACGGAGGTCGTCATAACAAGACAAAGTTCCGACAAATGACCACCTCACCTGATGTTAGTGTGACGGTGAAGTCCAGACGTGAAATTAGCTGGTACAGCAGTTCTCTTCTTCTTCAGAAAACTTATTAATTATTTGTTCTCCCGGATAGTAAAATCGCTGCTAATATTCATAACAAATACAGATGCCAACTAATTGCTAAATTATTTTACAAAATCATTTTTTTTTTCATAGGTAGGTTCAATAAATGACTCCTCCGCGTCTGATGTTAAGAGATGGTGAAATCCAGATGTGAAGATACCTGGGGTACAGCAGTTCTACCTGCCTCACCAGCCATCCTCACCTTGTCGGTCTGCATGTTGCTTCTTCACGCCTCTTTTAAAGGACTAAAACTAAATAGGGTATTTCTTTGTCGCACTATCCGTAAATGTACTGCTCTGCCCACTCACGTGTTTCCCTCTTACAACCTGGGATCCTTTAAAAGAGGCGTGAAGAAGCAACATGCAGGCCGGCAAGGTGAGGATGGCTGGTGTGGCAGGTAGAACTGCTGTACCCCAGGTATTTTCACATCTGAATTTCACCATTACTTAACATCAGACGAGGAGAAGTTATTTATAGAAACCTATCTATGAAAAAAAACTTTAAAAAACTTTATCTATAAAAAAGAAAAAATTGAGAGTTTGTAATATAAAGTAGCAATTGTTGGCATCTGTATTTGATATGAATATTAGCAGCGATTTTACTATCCGGGAGAATAAATAAATTAATAAGTTTTCTGAGAAAACATTTTATAGAAATGATTCTTTTCATTTGAAAATTGATTTTTTTTACTGATATTCTCAAAAGTATGAAGAATATTCTTATAGACTACGTTAACATAAGTAAATAGCGTGAGATCGTTTTCTAAAACTTATCAAATACCCTACAAATTTCTTTTTGATTACGGCTGCGTGTCGTTACGTGACGATTCTGCCAATGTAACATTAGTTTCTTTTCGTTCTGAATAGAGAATGACAAAGATACACGCGGACAGGGCGGGCTCGTCGATGGATCCGCCCTGCACCAGCGCCTGCTGGGCTAGGGGAGTGCTCACCTCGAGGCGGCGCTGCAGCGGCCCCATGAGGGCGGCGAGGGCGGGCGCGGACAGGGCGGGCTCGTCGATGGATCCGCCCTGCACCAGCGCCTGCTGGGCTAGGGGAGTGCTCACCTCGAGGCGGCGCTGCAGCGGCCCCATGAGGGCGGGCACCAGCGCCTGCTGGGCTAGGGGAGTGCTCACCTCGAGGCGGCGCTGCAGCGGCCCCATGAGGGCGGCGAGGGCGGGCGCGGACAGGGCGGGCTCGTCGATGGATCCGCCCTGCACCAGCGCCTGCGCGAACTGGTCCCGTAGGTCTACACGCGCTTCCTTCAGCTCGCTCTCCAACACTTCGCGATCGCGTTTCAACTCCTCCACCTGATAACGCGAAACAGTCGACGGAATTGATCAGTCTAGTCTGATATGCACTTGTGCAACTAGAAGTGTGTCGTGATCGGTTAACTTGGGCGGGAAAAAAAATATATGAAACAAATTACTTTTAAGGCAAGATTTGGAATAATTTAGGCAAAATATAAACGCATTAAATTAATATTATTTAAAGAAAAGAAATTGTCTGAAAAATCATGATAATAGAATTAAAGAAACTTGGGATGTAAGAGTTACTTTGACAATGATTATGAGAACAAAAAAAGAAATACAATTTAGAAATTTGAGTGGAGGGGAAAGGAAACAAATCAGAGAAATTAAGTTTGTGATAGAAATAAAACTTACAACATTTAAATTTCCAGATGGCCTTAAATTAAAATGTGAATATTAGAAATATGACAGTACGAAAATTTTTAGAAATATAACATGAAACTCAGAAAAGATTTTTATAAAAATGCCTGAGCAACAAAGAAGCAACGAGATTTAAAAAAAAATATCAGTTCGTGTAAGTTCCTAAATGAGATTGTGAAACTGTTAAGAGTGTATATAAGTAAAACCCTCACTTCCTGCATCAGCTGCTGCAACTCTCGCAGGGGCTGATCAGCGGCGGCCATTTGTTCCGGAGCATCCGGCACTTCCGCACTCAGCTCCCCTTCACTTCCGGTCAGCAGTTGGATGCTCTGTCCACACCCACACAACCGATATTTAATGCATTTCCCATTAAAATTTTATAACAAAAGTAATCGTATCATAATCCTAACTAACGTTATAAATGAGAAAGTGAGTTTATTTGTGCGTATGTTACGCTTTCACGCCTAAACCACTGAACGGATTTGGGTAAAGTTTGGTACGCATATAGTTTATGAACAGGATTGAGACACATGATACTTTTTATCCCGGAAAAATATCAGGGTCCCGTGAGATTCTCAAAAAACTAAAGGCAACGCGGACGACATCGCGGGCCGCCACTAGTATCGTACAGTGCCGGCACTTCACAAAGCTATCGTATTTAATAATAATAATTTGTTTATTTTAGACAACTGTGATCCATATTTATTAGTAGACTTATTCTATGTTAGTAGTATGTTACGTAGAAGTAAATGTGTTTGATATTTGTCTTTTTGACAGCAAATTGGCCTTGGGTGTATTCCGAAATATAAACCAGTACGATGGCCAGCGGTAATGAAACGTCATGATTTCGACGCCATATTGCACTGGTGTAGCAGTAGTGTTGTCAATATGGCGTCGAAATCATGACGTTTCATTACCGCTGACGAGCGTACTGGTGTTTGATTCGGAATACACTTTATGAATGAATGAATGAAAGAATGAAAAGAAGAGTCTGTTGACATGTTTACAAACAGCAAATACGTATATTCTGTGGAGTGGGGTGATATCATTGTCGTTTTTTTTGAGTGTGTTTGCTGTTGGTCGCAGATGACCTTTACAGCGACAGCGGGTTTGGGGACGGCGAGATCCTAATGGAACCTCAAGCCGAGAATTGGCGAGTGCCTCTAGAGTTATTATTCCAGGCGGATGGCATCTCCCCACGGGGCGAGTCTCCTCCCCGTTTGGAGCCTCTAGACCATTTGAACCTGAGGGGGTCGGCTCAACTAGAGGGCGTCTCCGAGACTCGGACCTCGGCTCTAGTTAGCCGTCGTCGTGGGGTTATTAGCCATGTCAGTTAACATACATCTGTATGCTGTTGGGATTAAGATTAATGCTACACGATGCGGGTGACAACAATAGGGTATTTGACGAGTTTTAGAAATCTGATCTGACGTTATGGACTAATGTTTATGGATTCCATAAAAAGTGGATATTCATCATTCTGTTGTGTCTTTCAGTAAAAATAACCAAATCAAAACTCCATTTTCAAGTTGCCGTGAAAACGTTTCTCTGGACAATATGGCGTCTTACTAGTGTGTGACGTCACACGACTGTTATTAAAACGTCAATCGATACAATGTATTGTGACTTTAACCGGAAGTTTACTTGCGTGTGACGTCATTTTAGGCTCCGCCAATCCCAAGCGTTTTGGGTCACGTGACAATAAATAAGAAAACTATTATCTTATTAGTAAAATTTTGAATATTTTTTTTGTAAAAATAGTAAAAACCCCTGCCAATATTCATTCTAAACACAGATGCTAATAAAATTGGCACTTTATTTTTAACACTGTCCAATACCCTATTCTGCTAAGCTAGCGTAACAATCGCGTCTCAATACTATCACATTTTGACTTGTGTTCTTGTTACTTAACTATAAAACAATAAATGCATTTAGATAAAAATGTGTGCGTGTACTAGTATACACACGTAGGAAGTGAAACTTCTTTATGGCCTTATTTTTTTCGAAAAATGATCTACATGCAACTTTCCAGAAATATATATATAGGCGTGCGCTAAGATTTTTCAAAAACTCACCCACTAAAGGGGTATAACTACACCTTACCTTACCTTACCTTGTGTGAAACACGAATATTTGCTGTCGATACTTTTTTTTTTTTAAAGTTGACAGAAGAAGCAATTTATCGGATGAGGTAAATAGTGCTCTTTTAAAAAAAAAATGGCGCGTAACCAAAAAACGTGACGCGTAACCAAAAAAAATGTGACGGTAAATTTTTTTCCAACGCCGATAAAGAAGGTCACTTCAAAAATAACTAATGAGGAAGCATAATATGTGTGATTTTGTGTTAGTACGAGCAGACGCGTACATTTGCCCCGTCGGCATTTTACGCCACATGCATTTATTTAGGTTAAATATGAATCAATTGGTCATTGACCATTATTTGTACCACGCGTTCTCATAGTCATATAATTTTAGTTTCGCAATTATCCGTTTGTTGTCAGTAATATATCATTTAAACATATCAAGACTTTCAATTCTCTCTTTTTACATTAAAAGGTGTACAAAATCCGTAGAGTGTATTTGAAACAATAATTGTCAAAAATCTAAACGCCGTTGATTATTACTGTACTGTTTATTGTAGTAACATCGGCGTACGACATTGTCTGGCGGTATTTGGTGGCGTCGGTGATATGTCAGTGTTATATACAGGGCGGCCAATGGGTAGGTCACACGGAGGGAAAGTATATTAAATATTGAAGATAGGAGGATATTTAACTAAAAGCAGAAATCATTTTTTTTTAAATAATAAGTAGAAATGCATCGTATTGCAGGAAAAAATAATCCTCATCTCATCATTATTCTTTGCGACGATTATTACAAAATACATGTCTTTTTTTTTGTTTAACATTTCACGAGTTTGATTACCAGTTGGTTCCTGGGGATTTTTAAGAACTGTGAATGCAATTAAAATAAAAGATGTCCTCTTTCAGTGAAATATCCTATCTTCAATATTTATTATACTTTCCCTCCTTGTGACAGACTCGGGGGACATGTGTGTATTGTATGCGTGTGTGTGTGTGTGTGTGTGTGTGTGTGTGTGTGTGTGGTGGTGCCGGGTGACATACGTCCTTGTGCTGCTGGAACTTCTGCTGCACGATCTGGTCGGCGCGCACGGCGTTGTCTATGATCTGGCGGTACTTGGTGGCGTTGGCGCGGAAGGATTCGGTCAGCTGCGCGGACGGGGTTCGACTCCAGCGGGTCCCGAACTGTTTGCGCAAACTCTCGTCCGAGTCGGCCTCCTCGCGGAGCATGCGCTCCGTCTCGTCCAGGATATCCTGGTGGACACAAACATGGCTTCTATTATACTTTGGCCGAGAAGCTCGACGGCGCAGCTGGTTAGCGCGTTTGGCTGCGGTCGATGAAGTTAAGGAACTTTCGCAGTGGTCGGTCATTGGATGGATAACCAAAAATCTTCTATGACAAGTTCTTCCGTACTTCGGAAGGCACGTTAAGTCGTCGGTCCAGGCCGCATCTGCAGTCGTAAGCTCCAGCCCATCCACACTGGGTCCGTGTGGTGGGTCATCCATAAGGAAGGCTTGTGCCCCAACAATGGGGGCATTAATAGGCTGATGATTATTATGATACTTTAGCCGTCAAAATTTAATGAATCGGAATATAATTTCAATGTTGATATTTTGAATGAAGTTCTTTTAGCTACTGTTGATGTTCAAAAGCTGTGATGTGTGATAAAAAATTAAATTTGGCAAACACTTTTTAAAATCATTTTAGATATTTCGAATATCTTAGAATTTAAATAATACTCAAGTATTCAACAAACAAGAAGTTGAACTTCTAATGTTCATATATGATTTGATATTCTTACAGAATAAGAAGCACAGGGAACGCTCCCTATGGGCAGTACTGTCCCTACTGTCCCGCAGCGCTATGGGCAGGGCACACCCCCCGTTACCTTGTTCCGCTGCAGCAGGTCGGGCATGTCCTGCAGCAGGCGCAGCAGCGCGGGCAAGCCGCCCTGGGCGCGCACGCTGGCCGCCTTGTCCCGCAGCGCTACGGGCAGGCCCCCGGGGCGGCACGCGTCGAGCGCGGCGGGCAGCCCCAGCGAGGCCAGCGCGGCGCTCAGCAGCTGCGTGTGTTCCCTCAGGCGCGCCACTCCGGCGCCCGCAGCCTCCCGCGCGCGCGCCTGCGCCGCCTGCTCCGCCTGGTGCACCGCCAGCGGCACCAGCGACGCGAACAGATCTACAAACGTTAACCCCTCCTTTGACACGTTCGCGACTCGACAAGGCGTCTTAGATTAAAACAAAAAAGGGAAGATACGGTCCGCGCGTCCTAACATCGAATAAAATATAATCCGACTCGACTACATAAGCGACTCCCGCACAAGGACCCGTCTGTAAATAAACATTCGATCGAGCGAGCGAGACGCTGTATTGATGTCCTTTTCTTGATAACAAAATGGCGATTACGTAAACAACATTCCCGACATACCATGATTTTTAAGAAAAACTGAATGAAAAGTATTGCCGAGGCATTTGTTACTTGATTTTGAACTATTTGTGTTCTTCATAAAAACATCGAAAGCGTTGTTTTATCTTTATAACACAGACTTGGATTATTAGTGGGAAGTTTACAAAAAATCAAAATTAACGGATTTGACTAAAGAAAAAAAAACCCACCAAGTGCGAGTCGAGCCCGCACCGAGAGTACCGTACAAACCTGTAGGTACATTGACAGTTATCGAAATTTTTCCTTTATCTATGCTATAAGACGTTGCTTAATACAAAATTTCAAGATTCTAAGTTCACTGGAAGTACCATGCAGGTTTTCCCTTGCTAGTTACAAAAATTTGCGGGAATTTACGGCATAAACCCTTAAATTTTGATCTTTTCACAGCTCCAAGAGACAGTAGATCTGAGTATTTGATATAAATTTTAGCTTCATATCTACACGCGTTACTGAGAAAAAGGGTCTAGACAGACGGACGGATAAAATATGATCCGACAACAAAGTGATCGTATAAGGGTTCCATTTTTTCCTTTCGAGGTACGGAAGCCTAAAAAACTGACTGTTACCGACTTATTTCCATTCCTGCATAGAACAAAGGCATATAAACATTCGTGCCCATCACATCGCACATTTAACACAAATATATATATATATATATATTAAAAAGAACTATCTCAAAATATACGGATCGATATTCATTGTATTACAATTCGATGCAATCAAATCGTTCAAACGCAATCAAACGAAGTTCGCGAGAAATTGCAATCATTGAACATCCAAAAAGCTAGTAGAAACAATAATCCGCATTTCTTAAATTAATCAATGCAATGTCATTTATGTAAAGCAGAAAAAGTGTAGAATCTACAATGCTACCCTGCGGGACTCCTACCGTGAAAGTCTTGTGTGCTTTTGATGTTATGGATCCTAACACATTGCCTCCGATCTGATGAGTAGCTAGTAAACTATTCTGGACAACTTCCCCGTAAACCATAAACTTATAGTTTTTTTAAAAGTATCGGAATTGATATTAAATCCAATGCTTTTGCAAGATCCATTTGGTGATTTATAAAGTAATGAGACTACTGTATTAGTCAGAAGAGTAACAGCATCTTCTATGGATTTGCTCTGTCAAAAACCGAATTGTCGATCATACAATATACCGTTGATGAAAGCTACCACTGCAGCTGCTTCCTTCCAAGATTTTGATAAAAATCCTATTCCTATGAAAAATGTACGTGAATGTTTCTGCATCCACCATCTCTAGTGCATGAGCATGAAGATTTGATGTACAGCTCGTTTTAATAACCCTCGATTGTGTTTGTTTTTTTGGTGATTATAATGAACAAGTGCGTCATTGTTATTCTGTTATTTACCATAAAGGCCACATTTATAAAGCTATATTTAAGAGTATTTTTACATAGTTTCTTTTTAACTTTAAGTTATGTCTAGATGTGAGGATCTGTTATTGGCTCTTTATCGCTACTATACATTTCTAGTATATGAAGATAAGTCGTTGGTCTTCCATGTAACCAAAATAAATAAATAAATAATTATTTTGGTGTCAAGCTTCCATATGTGCCATTTTTTTTACAAGATGTTGTACCTTAGATTTGAGCCTACTGACATGAAATAGCTATTATACGCTTCCACGGAGTTCTATGCACTTCCTGCAATACTTGTTACATCTTGCAAAGATGCGCTAGACTCTTTCGAATATCTATGTGAGATTTTATTTACGAAAGATCAAAGTTATTTTTATTTTCTTTCCATCTACTAATGTCAACAAATTCGAAATGACATGAAAACGAAAAAGTGGTTCCACTCAAAGTGCGATCAAGTAGGCGGGGCGAAAAAAATGCGATCAACACGCCGATCATGGGATTGGGATTTGCGTTTAACATTATTGTTGACAACAGCCGTGCACTGACCCGGGAGAAAAACGTGCCGACCAATCACAAGGCCTACTTTACGGGCGTCAGAGGGGTGCGGGGCATCATGCGACGGGGGATGGCCGCGTGATGGACCGCCAATAGACGGGACTTTTTAAGGGACGCGTGGGGGGCGCGCATTAAAGTGAGCGCTGTGATTCGTCGACGATCCCGGACAACCGGGATCAAATTAGTATATAAGACGAAACATTTGTAAGGCGAGTTGTAGTCTGCCAGGAACAATCATCGTGTGAACAACAAGCCTGAGAAATAAATAAATTAGTAAAGCAACAACCAGCGTTTTGATGCAGTCTACACCGGGGATCCGAGGACTCATCAGTTTCATCACCGACACGTTGGTCCTTCGAGCCGGATTCATTTTCGAAAACCAACAATTATATTATCCAATAAAGTTATTTTGTTATGTCTGTATGCGTGTCGCGTTCCTATCGAAGTTTAGTTGTACGAGCACGGAACCATGTTTTAGCGGCGTTCGTAAGAGACTAATGCTTGTATATGATTTGTGATTCGTTGATCAATGTGCATGATGCATACCAGTATTCGAGGAGCGCGGCCTCGAGTCCGGCGGCAGCGGCGCGGCCACGGTGGCCCGCGATATGGGCTCCAGCTGCCTCGCGTCGGGGATGCGCTCGTGGTAGATGAAGTCGTTGTCTCTGGTCGCTTCTTGCAAGTTCCGCGCGGCTTTAGCGCAGCTCTCCTGAAGCACATTCACCAACACGCGGGCGTTGGCCGCCTTCAACGACTCCACTGCTATCTAAATGAAATGAAATGAATAAACCTTTATTGGCCTACTGATAGAAAGAGACGAAAAGAAGAAAACTTAACCTGAGGACAAAAAATAATCACTAAAACTAAGAAGGCCAATCAGGACCCTGCCACAGCTTATGCTGCCACACTGAGAGAATACTCTCTCACTGTATCAGCGCTGGTATTCTAGCAGGGCCTGTGCGAGGACGTATAAGGCGCTAAAAAGCAAACAGAATAACAGTACATTAAAAAATAATACTTAATAATAAAAAAAAAACAAAAAAAGTACATTTCGACATTGACATTTTTTGCAACAGTAATATAATTAAATCTAAGCCCACATAGAACATTTACACACTAACTATATACACATCCATGCACACATATCCACATATACGCGTATATATCCATATTGCGCATACACATACATACATAGACATGTCAATACACACACAGCTATATATAGTAACATATTCCTAAATAATAAATACATTTACATAAATTAATTAAAATAACTCCATGCTTCGAGCACAATTTTTAATGCACTTCGTCAAAACTTAGAACCGATTTATGGACCCGGAATGTTCGGAACGCACCCCACTCACAGACAACGTTGGAATTATGACATCTCTCCAATCTGTGCATTTTGTACTTTGTACCTTTGAGACCTGTGTACGATTTAATAGAATGAATTGATGTCACGTACCCATTGTCACGTTGGATCGCAATAAAAGCATCCCATAACCCCCAAGGAATCCATCAAAATGGACCAAAATTAAAGAGCAAGCCACACCGTGCCAAACACTAATCTCCGTAGCTCTGTATGCACGACGTGAAAGATCGAACGATAGAACGATCCACGATGGTGGAAGTAAATCGTTCATACAACCACATATGTATAAGTGTTCTGAGGAGTTATTCTCTCTTATTCCACCTTCCCCTCAGAGAACCACGCGCGCTGGCCTTCGTTGTCACCGTGTAGCAGTGGCCACAATTCCAACGCGTACAAAGAATTTTGGTGACTCATTTCTTTGTCGCACTATCTGTAAATGTAATGCTCTGCCCGCTCACGTGTTCCCTCCTTCTTATAACGTGGGATCCTTTAAAAGAGGCGTGAAGAAGCAACATGCAGGCCGGCAAGGTGGGGTGCGGCAGGTAGAACTGCTGTACCAGGTATCTTGACGTCTGGTCTTCATCGTCACTTAACATCAGGTGGGGTGAATTTATTTGTCGGACCTATCTATAAAAAACTAAATGTAAAAGGATTGAATCGACTGTTGACATAATGACACTCGAAAATTTAAATTGCAATCCTAAGATGCCAGTCATCTTTTTATTAATTTTTGATAAGCTTCCTCCTCAAAACATTAATTTGACACGTTTTCATAAAAATAAAGAAAACAAGTGAAACATTTTGTTATGTTTTTATTTTGTCTACTTTCATAATACTGTATAATGCATTTGTGAGACCACACCTTGAATATGCCTCGTGTATGGAATCCACAGTATAATACATACATTGATGCTATTGAAAGAATTCGACACAAATTTGTAAAGTACTTAGAAAACAGAATTAATGTTAACTTGATTATTAATGATTGTGAAGCAAAGTTACAGGTTACATCCTTGCAACATCGCAGAACTGTTAGAGATCAATTATTTCTTTACAAACTTATTAATGACCTTGTAGATTCGCCGTTCCTTTTGCGGAGGATTGGTTTACGTTGTCTAAATAGAACTAGGTCTGACAACACGTTTATAATACAATTCAGCAGGACCAAGTTTGCTGCAAATAGTTTCATTTCTAGAGCATGTCACAGCTATAATAAATACTTCAGGGGATTGGATATATTTTGCCTTTCTTACAATCAATTTAGAAACGAATGCTATAAGGTCGTTTTACCCTAACACTTAGTATTTTCTTTTATTCACATAACTCTAAATATTGTACGCAGTCTTAAGTAAATTATGTAAGTATATGAATGTTTCAGTCTGTTGAAACTTAACTGGTTTATGAACAAGTAATAAGTGTGACTTAATTGAATCGTGTAAAACTGTATGTTTCCCAAATGAAAATAAATAAATTATCATAAAGGATTTGTGTAAGTACCTGTAGTCGCGCAATCTCCTCGCCGACGGCCTTGTTGTTGCGGCACACCAGGCTCTGGTAGTACTGCGCCAGCCCGCGGAACGCTGCCTGCTTCGCCTGCACCTGCAAGAGGGCATCAACGACACCGGTCAGCATTACGACGACACTTCTTGGCTATGTAAACTTGACATCGGTCTGTCTTTTCGTTCCTTGTAGAGCATGATAAGGGCAAACTGTTGTCAAGTTTACAAAACATCATCATCATCAGCCTATTAATGTCCCTGCTGGGGTACAGGCCTTCCCTGTGGATGGAATAGGGAGTGCGGGCCATGACGCGGGCCCAGTGCGGATTGGCGGGTGCTAACGACTGCAGATGCAGCCGGGACCGACGGTTTGACGTGCCTTCCGAACAACGGAGAATCTCGAGATAGAAAATTTTTGGTCACCCATCCAATGACCGACCACTGCGAAAGTTGCTTAACTTCAACGACCGCACCCGAACGCGATAACCACCCGCGCCATTGAGCTCCTCGTAGTTTACAAATAGCAAACGCGAATAGCCAGGTGAAGTGCCAGCATTGTATTATACTAGCTTGCTTTCCTAACGTTACATTTGTCTATCGAGGACCGAAGATTTGAGTTTAGTTTTATGCAAACACTAAGTAGAAGAAAAAAACACACTAATTAGCCAAACACCAAAGTAAGCATTATGGGCTTGGGTTATGGGATACTAGGATAACGGATAGGATACATATACTGATACATACAGGGTGTAAAAAAACCTTTAACGAAGTCGAAGGCCACGTATTTTCCACAACATGACGATCATTTTTTTCTTCTAGACCATACCTGGGAAATTTATGGTTATGGAGATATTGAAGGTCAAAGTCAATTTTTTTTTTCATTTTTTTACAAAAACGTTATTTAGAAACTTGATTATCGACGTACTTACACATACGCACACACATACACACAGGCACATTGTTTGCGTAGCGCCACAGTAGCGCGCCGCGCTATAAATTGCGTACTGGACATTTTTTTAACTTAAAAATACAAATGTTTCCCATAATATTTTGTAATATTACTTGTTAGGGTGTACAGAATACGTAGGTTTAGTCTTTGTCATAGGTTTTTTTACACCTTGTATATAAGTATATTTAAAATACATATTAAACATCCTTTACTGGAGTACTATAATGTTCGTGAGTAAATGTTCGTATTCATCACACAAACATCTACCTCCACCGGGATTCGAACTCCTCTCGAGTAGGCGACACCTTGAAACCTGGCGAACAAATGACGACGGAGAATAACTATTTGCATAGAAAATTTAAGCGCAATCAATTTGATGGTAGTACTGACCGTGGGCAGCCAGTCGCGGTCCCACAGCGGTTTCTGGTTGTCCTTCTGCATGGCCCGCAGCGCATCCGTGTACAGCTCCTCACACTGCGCGCACACTTTTGCCACCATGCTCTCTTTCATCTCATCTGACAACAACACACAAACAATATCAAGTTTTAATTCCTACCGCGCTTCCTACGGGCAGTTGCTGAAAATCAGCATTTTGTCTATTAAGGCAAAAACACTGCTGAGCTTCTGCCTATTTGCATCACTGTCACTACTAATGATTGTAGTTCATACTAGTTATTTAAGAACTGTTAAACTTATAATCATTTATTTCTGCTTATTATTAATTGTATTAATTTGTGATGCAAATAAATGAATTTATTATTATTATTAATTATTAACAATAACAAATTATAAGAAATGAGCTTTTTTTTTTATTTCTGTGTTCAAAAGTTCTTAATTTGTTGGTCATAATCTTATTTGATAGAAACTATATTGATCATCTAAATCAACCTGCACTAAATTATGCTATAACTGAATGATTTTCATATCGATTGATATCACTGTTTAGAGCTTGTTGACTAAATTAATATTAATATTTTTGTTTAAAAAATCCTGGAAAAACAAATTTATGAATCTACCCATCAGTCTATTTAATAAAAAGATGTTTTTAACTCCAAAATGACTTATAAATTTAAAGATAACATAGGTAATTAAAATTTAAATTCTCCATTTGGTATGGAATACTACAGTGCGAAGTTCGACACACACTTGACCGCTTTCTTTTACTGACAAACAATCATAAATAAGGGATTGAAATTTCTAAGAGATTTTTGTAGTACATTTCCACAGTACAGTTAATCATTGGTATTATAATTAGGTCGGGCGTCGTCTCCTGGTGCACCCCCATCATTATATGGTATCATAGTTACCGCGGATGCACTTGTACGCGATCACCTCCTGCGCCTGCGCCAGCATGAGCTGCGAGAGCGCGTGCAGCGTGTCGGGGCTGAGGTCGGGCGTCGTCTCCTGGTGTACGGCCATCATTATGTTCGACTTCAGGTACGCGAACGTGCCCGCAGCTTGCTAAACGGATATGTTGAAACAATATCAACTTATTTATGATATTAAAACACCTCCTATGGTAATCGAGTTTGTTTATTTTGAGTACTGCATGGAGAAACATATAGACGCTAGATAAAGATAAATAGTCTCTTTACTGCACATTATACAAAAAAAATAATGTATATCTTAATACAATAAAAAAGGAAGTTCATTATGTTATTGAAATATATCATTATCTAGTGTAAGATTAGAATTTTATAATTTGGGAAATATGAAAAACTTATATTTTTAAAACTTTTCTCGACTTTGTAATAAGAATAAAGAAAGACATATTAATTTATTTAGTACAAATGTGATTCAGACAGCTGCTTGGAAAAGTACCCCGTATGTTGAGCGCGCCCCACTAAACATAATAGTTTCTAAAGAAAATATAAGTAGAAAAAATTCCACGCGGACCAGGCAGCAGACGGGACTCGAACCCGCACCCTTCGCAATCGAAAGGCGAAGGCGAATGCACAATGGCTAGAAGAATTTCGACGCGGTCCGTGAGGGCCGCGGTAGCATAATTGGTCAGTTCGAGTCCCGTCTGCTGCCTGGTCCGTTTTTTTCTAGTTATATTTTCTTTAGATTAAAACATCAAGCGGTAACATGCTTTAAAAATAATAAAAATTATAACTATAATAGTTTCTTCCGAAATAAAAAAGAAAATTTTAGAGAAACGCCGTTTGCGAAGTTTTTGGCACCAAACTAGAAGAGAGGTCGAAAAAAAGTGTTTAACCGCGCTGTAAAACACCTAAAGTTAGTTCTAGAGACAACTAGGAATGCTAATATCAAACAATAATTGGAAAGTATGTCACCACATGGTAAAGGTGAATATTCTCTGTATAAGAACACGAGGATCGTTAGCAAACCAAAACAATGCACTTCGCACATTAGATCTTCTTTTACTTCCTGGGCAAAAACAAATGCAGAGAAAGCTGAAGTTTTCGCTACCCATCTTGCCACAAGTTTAAAGCCTTACGATGCTCTAGAGGATAAAACAGTGCTTGGTCAAGATCTCCAGCTACGCCTGCCTCTGATCCCTGCCTCCTCAAAAATAAATTGCAAGAGAAATTAAATTACTCTATTCGAAAAAGGCGCCTGGTTTCGGCCTCACATCAACACGGGTCTTAAATGAACTGCCTAAAAAATGTATTACCTTCCTGGCATGTCTGTTTAACGTCATATTTAGGACGTCTAGTTCCCCAGCCATATGGAAGATCTCTGAAGTCATCGTGATACACAAACCAGGAAAACCTTTACATGACCCTACATCCTACAGACCTTTAGCTTGACGCCTACACTCTAAACTGTGGGAAAATATTGTCCTTACCCGCCTTAAATTTTGAATGGATAACTGTGACCTTATCCCCACACATCAATTTGGTTTTAGAAAATCCCACTCCACCATAGAACAAATGCATCATGTATATAACACAGTCAGAAATTGCTATTGCTCAGTGTCTTTCCTAGATGTGCAACAGGCATTTGACTAGTTTTGGCACAAGAGTCTCTTTTACAAGTTCAAAAAGAATCTGCCACACTCGGTTTACCTCATAATTGCATTGTACCTGTCAGAAAGATACTTCAGGGTTAAAGTCCGTGACTCTCGATCTTCCTTGCAAGCTGTAGAGGCTGGTGTCCTGCAAGGATCGGCACTTGGTCCGGTTCTGTATAACATATTCACGTACGACCTTCCCACTGCTAGCGACGCCGTATTTGCTACATATGCTGATGACATTGCATACCTTGCCTGCGATAAAGATCCTGACACAGCAAGTGCACAGCTACAGAACCTATTAGATCAAACTCACGCATGGCTCAAAAAATGGCGTATACGAGTCAGTGGTCAAAAATCAAACGACATTATGTTTGCACTAAGGAAGGGAAACTTCTCCTGTTCACATCGGTTGGACACACTCCCACACTCATATTGCATAATCTTGGTTTCCACTTGGATAGGAGACTAACCTGGAAGCAGCTCATAAAGAAAAAGAGAGATGAGGTCAATATAAAATATAGAAACTTTAATTGGCTTATGAACCGCAACTCTGCCTTGTCAATTGACAACAAGATTTTCATATACAATTCCATTACTAAATCAGTTTGGACTTATGGGATACAGTTGTGAAGCAATACTAGCAAAAGCAACATTACTTGCCTGCAACAAGTTCGAAATAATATCCTCAAAACAATAGTAAATGGACCATGGTTCACAAAAAATGTCGATATTCATGAATACTTGAACATGCCCACTGACGCAGATAAGATAGACAAATGCAAATCGAGGTACACTGAACGCCTCTCAAACCATCCAAATTCTCTAATAAGCCAATTACTTAAGCAAGCAAGTTGACCACGTCACAAGACTGAAGAGGAAAAATATTATTTAAAGGAAGTGGTGGCACTGGCCGACCACTACTGTCATGTTTGGTTGCTCTCAATAAATTAGCTCATAGTCTAAAAACTGATTGCAAATAATAATAAAAAATAAAAAAAATGTGTGAAATAAAGCATATATTCTCCAAAAGTAATGTAATCTAATGAAAAAATCAAAGTTACCTGTAAAAGTTTAGTAGCAAGTTTGAGAGAGTCCTCTGTATCGAGTGGTTGCTGCGCTGCAACTGCACTCTGCATGGCCCCCATGTTGAACAGCACACACATGCGCTCGTAAGCCAGAGAGCTTATTGCTGTACAAACAGTAATGACCAAGTGTTATTTTATTAAATAATCAATATCACAGTTTTACAAAAGTTTAATGGACCTTTTTGAAGCACTGGGGACATCAATATAACAAATTTTTGGTTACCCATTATGTGACTGGCCATTATGATGTGGCTTTATTTCCAAAATCAAAGACAGAACACTGCACTATCAAGCTTCTTGTTGTGATTAGGTGAGCTTTTATACTTCATATAATTGTAGAAAATATTTTGAAAATAGGTTCTCCTATTTAACTTCTTAACAAGTACAGGAATAAATAAATTGTGATGGCAACTACACTGTTTCATTTTCGCATAAGGCTTTATGGATTTGTATCCTGGCTATGTCATTTGCTAATTAAAAAGAAAAAATATCGTACAGTTAACCATTGCTATGTGGCTTTTTTAATTAATTAATGTTGTGCATTTCCACAGTAAATTGACTATACTGATAGCATAGCAGAAAAAATAATAAATTAAAAAAGGTAACTATCAAAGTATGGTATTCAGTAAGGCTAATAATAATATTGTAAAATACTCACTGAGACTCATCCTTCCTCCAAATAAAGATCCTTTGTCAAAAGCATCCTTCCATTTAAAAGGTATTTGAACTTCTTGAGGAGGGATTTTTGATTCCAGAGCCACAAGCTGGTCATAGTAGCTAGAGAAATAGAAGGAACCAATTGTAGTCTATCCACAGAGAATAACTCATTATTCTCATGACTAACAAGTTAAAAAAATAAATTATGACATCATACTTTTATTGCATTAACATTTCTACTATTAGTAGCAAAAGGATTAGAAATTTTGTTTAAGGAGGGTATTCTAATATGATTCACTGATTATTACACCGAGAAGTGGTGACTCATAATTATCAAATGCTACACTATTTACCTGTAAATAAGATCTAGTGAAGACTTCTCAAACACTTTCCATATAGCATTGGTCCTAAGACGACTTAGTTCATTCAAAGCATCGGTGAAATCTTCAGAACTTTTTTCAGAATTGTAAGTAGACTGGATCAAGTTTTTCAAAGGTTTCACAATATCTACGTCCGAAGACTTTTTCAAAGGAACAGATAACAAATCGGCCATTTCTGCTGCAAAATCAAAATGATGAATGAATGATGGTGACAAAATAGGATATGACAGTTGACAGCTGAAACTCAATGTGACAGCTAGATTTTTTTAAGATTATTCCTTTTTAGGGAAGGCAAAGGAAACAATGCCAATACAGCCTAGTCTTAAGTTATAATAATCTTTTTTTTACATTAGAATGTGGGTGTGACGCATTCTAATATTTTAAGTATTTGGCACGAAATGTATAGTTCCATGGTCCATCCATGGGATCTTAGCATGGATCCAGAGACTATGAATGGATCTTATAAAGTAATGGCACAGTCTACATATAATGAGGTTTTATAAACTAAATAGATTTAATTACGAAATAAAACAATTGTGTTGCTCAGAAATGAGAAACAACATTTATAGCTATTATTTCGTACAATTTTTCGTGCACAAATATTATATTTTATTTATTAATTGACGGATGTCAAAACCATATCTTTTTCTATGGTCACTCACTATTTTACCGTCTGTATTGAATGAAGGGTAATGAACCTCATTTACATCTCCCCCCCCCCCTTTAAATACAGTAGGATCTTTACTCCTGTAACACTGGAACAAGTTTTGTTATGTGATAGAGGTTTGATTCACATTTCTTGTGTCCTGTATCAACTTTGTATATAGTATTCGAAATTTTTTCTAAAACTTTAAATGGTCCAATTTTTATTTCATCCAATTTTTTCCTGTTTAATCGATTTCCGTTTTCAACATATACTAAATCTCCTATTTTTAATTCACATTTTTTTCTACCTTTGTCAAAGTGTTGTTTATTATAAGTATGTGATTTTATCGTATTTTCCAATGCAACTTTTCTGTCTTTCAACAAATCATTTAGTGTTCTTTTTTGTTTTATTTCTTCAGGTAATATATCTACATTTTCTCCTTCCAAAAGATATAATGGGGAAAAACCTGTAATCGTATGCTCTGTTTCATTATATTTTTTTGTACATTCGTGAGCAATAGTAGTCCACGCCAGTTTATTGTTCTTTTCGTTTATTTTGCATCTAATTTTGTTTACTAAGGTTTGGTTTAGTCTCTCATTCAATCCATTTGAAAATGGCGCATTAACTGCGGTGAAGATAATAGTTATGTTTTCCTTATTTAAAAAATCTTTAAAGCTCTTTGAATTTATACCTGGATATTGATCTGATAGAATCATGCCAATCTTATTTCCAAACTGCGTTACCTTTTGAACTAGCTTTATAAAATCATTGGCGCTTTGAGTTTTCGATGTTAAAATATAGGCATATCTTGTGAAGTGGTCCACGAGAAGGTGCAAATATTTTTTTGTAGAACGTGTGCCACCAAATCCACCAATTGTATCAATAGATATTATTTCAAATGGGTAGGTAGCAGGACCCAAATGAGACATTAGTCCATATTTATATTTACCTCTTGTTTTATTTTTTATGCAGATTTCACATTCTTCACATATCTTCTTTATATTATAAGTCATGTTTTTCGCTGCATAAAAAGGAGTAATTTTATTTTTCAATTGTTGAATTCCAATGTGACAGTAAAGATAATGTATTTTTTTTATAAAGTCTCTACTAAATTCTTCTGTTAGTACTATCTTTGGTTTTTTCCCTGTTTTTTTATAGTAAACTGTATCTTTCAATTCAAAAGCTTTCTTATTTTGTTTTATATCTTCATTCCTTTGTTGGTCATTTTGAATCTCTTCCATTTTAATAACATTTACAAGTCTTAAATTATCGTCTTGATTTTCGTCTGACTCTAACACCGGATTTCTACTTAAGCTGTCTGCTTCAATGTTATATTTTCCTGGAGAATATATTATCTCAAAATTAAATTGTGAAAGGTAGTAAGTAAGATCTCCTATTTCGTCGTCCGTTCTAGCTTTTATATTCATTTTTTCCAAGGGCTTGTGGTCAGAAAAAACCTTAAATCTTAACCCAATCAGCCAGTGCTGCCAATATTTTATTGCTTCTTTTATTGCCAAGCACTCCAGATAGATAGCTTTTTTCTTTTTCTGTATGTTATTCAGTTTTCTTGAAAAATATGCAACAGGATTTTCCTCTCCATTGTTTTGTGGCTGTTTTAAGACAGCGCCTATACCCTGTATGCTAGCGTCCGTGTAAATATGTATGGGGAGATCTGGATCAAATATTTGTAAAATAGGTTTCTGGCAAAGTAATTCTTTAATTGTTTCAAAAGCTTCATGACATTTTTCTGACCAAACAAAATTTTGTCCTTTTCTCAATAAATTATGTAACGGGTCTAATATAATAGATAAATTTGGTACATATTTCCCATAAAAATTTATTTTTCCCAAAAACTGTCTAATGTTTTTCTGTGTTTTTGGTATTGGAAATTGTTTTATCGCAATCAAATTATCTTTTAGAGGTGTAATTGTATTATTTTGTATTATGTGTCCTAAATATTTCACAGATTTTTGTGCAAAATTACATTTTGAAAATTTTAATCTGAAACCTTCTGCGGATATTGCTTCCAACAGTAATGATAGGTGATTAATGTGATTATTAAATGTTTCTGAAAAAATCAAAATATCATCAATGTAATTGACAGTAAAATCTGTCAATTTATGTTTTCTTATAATGCTACTCAATATTCTTTGGAAAATTGCCGGCGATGTTTTTAAGCCGAATGGTAAGCAGGTCCACTGAAAGTGTCCGTCTTGGGTAACAAATCCTGTTTTATGTCTATCTTCAATTTTTAAAGGAATAGCCCAAAATGCCGAATTTATGTCAAGGGTTGTAAAATATTTGCATCTTCTAGTCTTAACCATTAAGTCTTCAATTAGTGGAAAGGGCTGTGATTGAGGAACTACAATTTTATTAAGGTCGCGGAAATCTATACAAAGCCTTGATTTTTTTCCTTCTTCCTTTTTATAAGCCAGTGTTACTGGCGCAGCGAAAGGACTGTAAGATTCCTCAATCAAATTTCCTTCTAATAATTTCGATATCTGTTGTTCTATTTCCTTTTTATCTTGAATAGTGCACCTGTATGGTCTTTTACTGCAATATTTATCAACTAACAAATCAATGTGTGCTTCGTAGCCTTTTACAGTACCAATATCATATTTATCTTTAGCAAATAGAGATTTATATTTGTAAATTAGTTTTTCTATTTCTGCTTGATTTTCCATATTCAAATGATTTATTGAAATATTGAAATTATATTCTTCAATATGTTCATTAAAGTTTACTTTATATTTATGATTGTCTTTATTTGTAGATTCTTTTAAACTATTGATATTGTTATTTAATATACCGTCTTTCATATTTTTCTTGTTACCCGAAATTTTAGAAGTATTTTTCTTATTTATCTCATCTTTATTATATTTCAATTTCGAGTTTCGTATATTTTGAGTTACTTCTAACTCATCATTTTGAATAAGATGAAAGTTTTGTATACAATCTAAACCAATCAAGAAGTCGTAATCAAAATTTTCTTCATCCACTACAAAAACATTCATATTTTGTTCAATCTCGAAAATCTTTATCTTTATTGTAATTATTCCTTTAGTCTTTTTTACACCATTAATCGTTTTCAAGTTCGCATTTTCAAAGCTATTATTTTCACAGGTATTCTTTAATGACAACAATTTCGAGTTAATCAAAGTGACATTTGATCCTGAATCGTAAATACCCATAGTTTCTAAGGTGTCATTTAATAATACTTTGATTTTGATTAATGGTGGAATAACTAGTTTTTTGGATTAATTTCGTTTAATTCTATTTCTAATTCAGAATTATTGACATGCCTTATCTGATCCCTTTGAGGTTTATCCATACTTCGGTTTCTGAACCAACATGAGGATTCACTGTGATACCGGTTGCCCCTATTTCTTTGTTCACAAATCTTACATGGTCTATCTTTTCCATCTTTATCTTTATTATCAAAACCTTTTTTCTCAATACTTTTCTTATATACCAAATGTTCTAAACTTCTAATACTACTAAATAAATCTCTTGTATCACTTAAATTGCTTCTATCAATTTTATCTGCTATAAAGTTTGGAAGTCCAATAGCAATTAGATCAATTATAGTAGGTTTGTCTATCAATTTATTAATTTCCAATAAAAGCCTTTCCTTTTTTACAGCATACTCTAAAAGGGATCCTTGTCTATATTTAAACAACATGGCATACCTGACCGGCGACCAACTTCTGTCCATGTATGTTTCACAAAAGTTTTCTTTCCACATTGACCATTTCGAATCTACTGTATATTTTATTAGCATAGAGTTATACCAGTCAAGACATGATTCATCCAAAAATAATCTCAAGGCCTCAATTTTCTTAGTATCCTCTTCTATTTCAAAACGAGTGCATTCTGTTTCAAAAGTATCCATCCATTGAGGTACATTTGAAGTTTTTCGAGTGAATTTATTTATTACAAACAGCTCCTTCAACTTGCCAATATTACTAGATTTAGGCGAAATCTTCTTCATTTCGGAAAAACTTTCAATAATCCTTGTAAAATCTTTTTCTGTAATGCCAGCCGTAGCACCCTGTGTTTCTGGGGTTAATTCTTGTAACAAATATCCTCCGAATTGCATGTTTCCATCTTCATCTATGTAGGTTTCATGAATCTCTGGAGTGATAGAGATCCAAACCTGTCTTTTTTCATGTCTCTTTTGTAGTGTAGTTTTTACTTTTTGAAAAGCTGGAGTTTTTATTACCGCATCATGCAATCTTGCCTGTTGAAAATGTTCCGGTAGTAAGAAGGTGCATTTGTTGGTGTCAGTGATTGATATTATGCAGATTGTATTGGTTTTCGGATCCTCACTTGCTTTCACTACAAACTCAAACTTTAACTTTTCCATTGTAGTAAAATAGCTGTAGAAAATGTTGTTTTATAATGAGGTTTTATAAACTAAATAGATTTAATTACGAAATAAAACAATTGTGTTGCTCAGAAATGAGAAACAACATTTATAGCTATTATTTCGTACAATTTTTCGTGCACAAATATTATATTTTATTTATTAATTGACGGATGTCAAAACCATATCTTTTTCTATGGTCACTCACTATTTTACCGTCTGTATTGAATGAAGGGTAATGAACCTCATTTACAT